TATCATAATATTACTTCTGCTTCGGTTAATTTTACAATTGGTCATAACTATTGAACTTATACTGTCAAATCATTACCACAATCAAAGTGTTTCACAGGGTATGCGTGTAATTGGTGCATGCCTTACACAGTGCAGTTTTAATGTCGTACTTCAGAATTTTGTTGCAGCTGAGGACATAGTGTTTCATAGGGATCAAAAGAATACACTGTGCTTCATATGTATTTCACGTATAAGATCCAAACTATGTGTAAATACTTAGCCTATATCATAGACAGGAACGTATGGTACCGAGATATATCATCTATATTATATGTCTCTGGTATAGGTAACTTAACAATCAAAACAGATCACAACTAACTAAATTGAATTTGGTATTTAAAACGACGATCATGAAAACTAATATTTCTAAATTTCGTGATAAGCGTTTTTGTCGAATCATTATTGAACACTTGTACACTTTTCCATTTTTTTCCTGTCAACGTGTATTGTTTTACCACTGTACAACATGTTTACTGCTAAGTCAAGTGCAGCGGGACAACAAAGTCTCTATCTATTGTGTTTATTGTTTTACCCATGTCAACATGTTTACTGCTAAGTCAAGCGCAGCGGGACAACAAAGTCTCTATCTATTGTGTTTATTGTTTTACCCCTGTACAACATGTTTACTGCTAAGTCAAGTGCAGCGGGACAACAAAGTCTCTATCTATTGTGCTTATTGTTTTACCCATGTACAACATGTTTACTGCTAAGTCAAGTGCAGCGGGACAACAAAGTCTCTATCTATTGTGTTTATTGTTTTACCCCTGTACAACATGTTTACTGCTAAGTCAAGCGCAGCGGAACAACAAAGTCTCTATCTATTGTGCTTATTGTTTTACCCATGTACAACATGTTTACTGCTAAGTCAAGTGCAGCGGGACAACAAAGTCTCTATCTATTGTGTTTATTGTTTTACCCCTGTACAACATATTTGGAAAAATGTATTTTCTGTCAACCGGATCGGCGTATATTGCCCATTGATTTCCTCGGAAATCAGACACTGTTAACAATTGTATTAGTTTTAAGCTTATTACTATTTCTTATCATTATTTATCACAAAAATCGATTTTACTTATTTATCGACGACTGAAAATTCCATTTAATGTTTGAATGATATGGAATGAAACGGGAGTTTAGACTGGTGAGGACACAAGTGACGTCACAAGTCGATCAGCCTCGTTATCGCCCACAGAATATGCATATGCACATCACAGTCATCAGATGTTATATCTCGTATGCCAGTTCCGTAGGTGCGGGGATGGGCGGCGTCTTGTGAATTACAGCAACCGTTACGTTATATTGACGGAAAACGTGAAATTGCGTGCCATGTCCTTTGTCTTCCTCAAATAGCAATCTCTTTCCCTGTCCCTCATAAAATCAATGAGATTTGTATATAAAACCCAACCGTATTCCTGTGTAGTGGTAAAAGATGGTGGTTAATTGGCGGCAATGATTCTGCACAAATCAGGTTGAAAGTTTGAAAGGTGATGTCATCCGGTCGCTGTCACATTTACACCTGGAGATATTTACAGACTACTACTACTGTTAATTGTCAAGTGAAAACAAATTTAAAAACTCCGCCTTACGTCTGTGTCCGGTGTTAACATTTCATTTTTATTTTGAATTATTTCCTTCAATGATTCCGTTCTGTATCAACAACTCCGTAAAGAAAAGACTACATAAACAAAATGACCGTTGGTCTTACAAAGAAGCACTTGACAAAGCCCTACGGTCATTTTAATTGGGTCAGTACTAGCTACTTTCCCACAAAACTGACCATACGTTTTGGTAGACTGGCCCCAAAGTTCGGTAATGTGTCCTCGAGAAAGCTGCGATTATTGCTGGTCGGATGAGCTGGACAAACACCCGTAGGTGGTATGAACGGACATACCGTACAGTGGTGTATGTTGCACAGGCACTCGAGGCCAGGATATTATTTTTTAAACGTTGATTTTTGTTTTAGCACTCATGACTGACGTTATTTAAACGAAATATCAGCAGAATTCAAGTTTATGTGCCGGTTGACAAATCCGAGGTCCACGGTCATTAAAAATACACAAGGCAAGCAACTCCAGATTTTAAAAAATCGACCCCTCGCTTGGAAACTGGCTCAAAAAAAGTAGTTATGATAAGTTCCTTGTAAAACAATATGTATCCGTAGGTAGTGTGTATATTTACCTTTTATTTGGTGCATAACATTACAGGCAACGAGAAATTCACAATACGTACATGAGATTAACATCTCAATAATCGGAGATTTTATCGTCCATGTAATTATCTTTGACGGAAGTAACATGCCATTTCAAGGGCGGTCACTCCGACTTTTTGGGAGAGGAGTTCCGGATAGCACTATACCAGTGAACAGGTAAGAAAGTTTCCGATGTCATTACGCGCGTAACTTCAAAATAGATATTTTTATTTCTACAAATACATTTGCGGGGATGGAAAAATAATGGCTGGGCAAAGAAAGTCCACAGTTGCCAACTCGGATACAATATCATGGTAAGGGATTATACAGAATGCATCAACTTTCAATCAAGCTGGCGGTAATGAGAATTTTTTTTCAAAAAAAAAATAGAAAAAAAATCATGCAGATAATGAAAAAAGGGCGCAATTTATGAAAAATATCGTGGGGGAAATATATTAACTTAGAAATTGGAAATTAAATGATTTTTTTTCTATTTTTTTTTTTTAATGCCCAGCCATTATTTTTCCATCCCCGCAAATGTATTTGTAGAAATAAAAATATCTATTTTGAAGTTACGCGCGTAATGACATCGGAAACTTTCTTACCTGTTCACTGGTATAGTGCTATCCGGAACTCCTCTCCCAAAAAGTCGGAGTGACCGCCCTTGAAATGGCATGTTACTTCCGTCAAAGATAATTACATGGACGATAAAATCTCCGATTATTGAGATGTTAATCTCATGTACGTATTGTGAATTTCTCGTTGCCTGTAATGTTTATGCACCAAATAAAAGGTAAATATACACACTACCTACGGATACATATTGTTTTACAAGGAACTTATCATAACTACTTTTTTTGAGCCAGTTTCCAAGCGAGGGGTCGATTTTTTAAAATCTGGAGTTGCTTGCCTTGTGTATTTTTAATGACCGTGGACCTCGGATTTGTCAACCGGCACATAAACTTGAATTCTGCTGATATTTCGTTTAAATAACGTCAGTCATGAGTGCTAAAACAAAAATCAACGTTTAAAAAATAATATCCTGGCCTCGAGTGCCTGTGGTATGTTGTAGTCACGTGATATTACATGTCGATGTTTATTTCCGACCCATTCACGGGTGAGGTTTACACGTTCTCATTCTCTGATCTTATTCATCAATGAAGTTCTAACGAAATTTGATAATGGTTACGTATCTTAAAAATGTCTATCCTTTTGTCGCACGCTTGCTTTTCTAACAGCGTTTTTGCAGTGCAACACATGTCGCGGTTTTTTTTTTTATTTTGTTGCAGTTTTGTTTAGGAATCCGCGATGTTTTCAGTTCATCACAATAATTTCAGAATGAAAAGTATGAGAGAAAAATCATCAATTACTCACTTCTGTGTGATGGAGATCGATCAAGACAAATATCTATCCACATCACAAGTAGATATTGATCTTCTTATATGAAAACTGCTATATACGGGCATATCCAGAACTGGAAAGGAAGAATTGGGGGTCTACATAGATTTGGTTTTAGCAAGGGTAATTAAGAAGTCGGTCTAATGCCTTTATAAAAATTCTAGCCTAACACTATACATAGATATCTGGACAAGTATTATTACGCCAGTTCTTTTTTTAAATCACAGAGAGATCTTTAGCGTGCTTGAGTTGACTGTCCTCAAACACGTTACAGATTTTAAGGACGGGTCTGTTGGGTCTATATCTGGCATATATATAATTCTTCAATCTATTAAATAAGATGATAAAAAAATCTTAAATATTCTATACATCATGAAAAGTTTTTTTCTCTCGTAGAAATAGTATTCCCATAATTAACGACAGTACAAATCTTGAAAACGATGGAGCGAAGGGAGACAACTCGTCCATCTCCTGCACGAGAGATGGATGACACCAGTTTAAATTTCAATTTCCGATGATGGCTACTTTCTCTGATTTCCAACTGCCTCTGTAAGATAATGATTTTGTAGTGATTATTTCAGTTACATTGTACTTATATAGGACACTTAAGATAATGATTTTGTACAGCATTAAGAATCAATAAAGATTTGCTTAAACATCTAGTTTAACATATATAACTTTAAAGACCTCTTATCCAGCACGAGCTGATCTAGTTTGATAGGACAAGGGCAAGGCGATGAACTGTATATACAAGAAATTGGTCCCATTAAACTTCTCGGCGTTAGCGAATCAGCATTGTTTCACGTTCATTATCAAACAGTTATATACAGAGCATTAAAAATATTTTGTACGGTAACTTGTTTGTAAACAAGGTATGGTGTATGTTTATCCACTGAAATAATTTTAACTTTGAAGTGTTTAGGAGTTTAATACAGACTTTAAGATTGTCTACTTATCAGTTGTCTCAGGATCTGATGTTAATGAAACAGATGTAAAAAGTTAGAAAACCGATATCGACAAAAATCAATTTATAATTCTACATTTATTCAGAACGAAATAACAGAAATGCAACATACTGGTCAGTGTATGGCTTGTTTTTTGTCACGAAAAAATCAATGTAATGCCTAGTTGAATATCCCATATGTACCAAAATGAGAGATTTACATGTCTATAATTGCCTCAAAAGTATGCAAAATAAATCGAATGTCTTTTTTTAAATGAAACCAATTTTCATAATGATAACAACAAACCTTGAACCCTGAAAGATATTTACGTGCTCCTATGTACTAGGGGAAGTAACTCGTATAAGATGTGTCGGAATTTGACAACCAATCAGAACATTTCTTACAAGCCTGTGGTCGGATTGACAGAGGCAACATGGCTGCCTTCGGCATGTTGTTGGGACGATCGATCGCAAGATCGTCTAGTGTACTCGGAAAATCAACTGGTAAAGATATTCTGAAAGCAGTTCTGTTTTTAATATCATAATTTTGATTTAATTCGCGTGACTGTCATGATGTGTTAATGGAATGTAGCCTGCTGCGGTCCGCAGTGTCACATTAACAGTTAGCTTAAATAGTTTAAAAGGTGGTGTCCTCTAACTTTCAAATACGTGAGAATCTGATGAACAAAAATGCATAGCATATATTTGTTTGAGAGTTCTTGGAATGAAGCTTGACAAAAATTGTTAAATGATATTACTTTGACCCATGTACGATATATCAGCGAGAATATATTGTCTGTTCGCGATCTCGGGTCAAGTTTATAACACCAGAAATTGACAAGCTAAACAGAAAATACAAAGATAGACACTCAGGTTTGCAACCAGAAACCATTCCAGTTTAGATGGATGTATGTCCAAAATGCTTGAGGAACTGGAACTACCACAATCCAGATGAACAGCACAACACCTCATATTTATAAGTGGTTGGGGGTTGATAGCCATAATACCATCTGCCTTTTCACAAAAATGTAGACCCGAAAGAGCCATTCATTCACCAATTAACTTCAGTAAATTATAACCAAAACATATTGTCAACATATATACTGCCATTAAGTGCAAACCATACAGTTCGGATTGCTACCACTCTACGTACAACTTAGACTGGACTCACCTTGAAGATAAAGATGTGTGTGTGTGATTAATCAAAGGATTTGAATTGTCTCTCATCAAGCACTACCAACCAAGACATTGATCTCTCTCCCATCCTGTAAAAAAACAGCATTGGGATCTGTGACAAACTGATACAAGATACATTATTTCTGAAATGCAGCATGACTTCTGTCAATTTATCCTGTATCAGCCTGTATTAAATAAATATCAATACACAGTTTCTTTATAACTGTAGTCATCTGTTTGGCCACAAATCATTGAACGATTGAAATGTGAAAATGATACATTTTTTTCTATTTATATGTTTTCAGAGTTGAACACCTTGCTGATGGGGGTTGTGAGTAGACCATCACTATTGCAGCAATGTTGTGCTCCAAGTGCAATCGTCATTACCAGAGATGCCAGTATCTTTAACAGAGGTATATGAACTTGGCAATATTCCCATCTACTCCATGCAGAGGTTTTTAATACCAAATTTCACTTTTTTACCATTTGTTACAAAGGGTATCTGAACATTGCACAATATTGATTTTTCACCCAAACTTTAGCAACAGCAGGAACCTTGCAATGTCAGACTGTTAATTAGGGAACATAGTTAAATCTCTAGATTTCAGTCTACACTATAAGTCAAAGCTCTTAAAATCTAAATTCTTAAAATTTAAACTCTACAAGTCTAATCTCTACAAATCTAATCTCTACAAGTAAAAATTCTACATAGTCTAAATTCCATAAGTTTAAACTCTACAATTCTAAACTATACAAGTTTAAACTCTTCAAAGAAGCAAAGGCCTGTTTGACAGTAGTTTGACAGTGTGGAATAGGAACAAGGGAGTTTGCCACCAAAGGTGTAGTAAGTAGCTGGATATTTCTGGAATTCTTGAACATCTTTGTCTTAATTTTTTGCTATGTTAATGGGATACACTTCTATCACTAGGATTTTGACACAAAAATTTGATGGTCGTTGAATTAAAGGAATATATTACTTTATCATACATCATCTAACTAACAGATTTGGTGTTTCATTGGATAAATAGATTATCTTATTTTATTCCTACAATATCTGAAACTTTGATCTGGTTTTTCATTGGATAATTGCATTTTTTTTTCTTTATTCATGTAGTGTCTGATGCACAGATCTGGGAAAGTGTCACTGGTGTCAGTAATCAAGGAAAAATGAAAGGACGTGCCAAAGGCAAACGCAGAAAGTTCCGTGTCGTTGTGAAATTTGGAGAAGGAGGTAAACTGTCAAAAAAAAATACCTGCTAAATAATGATGAATTTCGATAACTACGGAATCCACTTAGTCTTATAAATACAAATAGGAATGGTAAGAAAACTTCGAAGATTACAACAAGAACTTCAAAAAAGGAAAATTGATATTTCAGGTGTCCCTGAAAAAAGGAGACAGTAGAAAACTGTTTATTCCTATATTTTCTTAAGTACAGCAAGCAAAACATCTGCAAGAAATTTGAGATTTTGTTTCATATATCTGCATTAAAAAACATATTATTCTGTAGAATTGTTGTGAAAATTACCATTGGTCACTTTGGTGTCAAAACTGGGTAACATCTGAAAGTCTCCTTTATCTTACTCCTCACTATTGCATTTTTAATCTCCAGGTAAGTATAAAATGAATTACCCAACAATGAGTGAAGAAAAAAGCACAAGAATCACTTCTGAGAAAGCAACAGGCTCCTATGTTCAAGAGGAGAAAAACAAAGTTGCAAAGAGAGAAAAAATATACCCATTGCAGCGAGGCTACGTTGGGAGACGAATAGTTGGAGCAAAACTGGACCCTCCAAAACCTAAAGGAGAATGTAAGTTTTTGTCCATTTCAGCATGGAGTTTTGGTTTGTCCTCTTTCAGTAATTTTTAAAGAATACATCAGTCTATATTAGAGAAATGTTTTGTCATTTTCAAGGAAATGAGAACTGTATTACTCTATATACAATATTTACTGTATAGTAGTTGTATTATCAGATGTCGGGGCATCACCCTACATCCAGGGTCTATCCCTGGTTTGTCCATTAACAGTTCTTATGGTTGCTATCTCTTAAGAAGGACTGCATAGATCCTTCTCAGATTTCATTTGTAGCCCACCACTTGATCCATAGTTGTAATCTTTTCATTTTGGGATTGATCAGAAAAACAAAGTTGCTGACTAGGGTTCATCATCATTCTTGAGAAGTACAGAATCTCTTAAGCTTAATATGTATGTTTTCCGTGGTCCTTAGTTGTGCTCATATAAGTGTTAGAGAGATTGATGAAACAAAATGACCAACAAGCAGCCGTCCTGGATTTTGACTGTTGAAGTTTGTTATCACTGTTTCTCAGAAAGTTCTTGTCTCTTCTCAGGTTTCATTTGTAAAGTTCTATGATTAATAAATGATTCAGAGGAAAAGTAGAGAAAATATCTGTCTTGCAAAAATTCTAATAAGTTCCTTCAGTATCGGGCACCAAGATCCCAATTGTATCACCTGTATAGTGTTTATTTTTATGGTATGAGTATGTTTTGTTGAATGTTTTTTTAATTTTCTTGGGTTTTTAAAGATCTCAATGAAACTCTTTAGTTGTGAAAACCTAGGAAATTTCAAAGAAATATTTATATACAGCAAGTGTATTTATCGTATAAACTTTCTATTATCTAATCCTTTATATTTTCAGTCACCTTTGAGGGTTTTCAGTCCGTGTGTGTTCATGTGAGTATAACATTGATACACAAATCAGTAAATTGTAAAATCAGGATTTTTTGTGGGGAATTATTTTCCTTTAATTTGTTGGAATCCACAAAATTATCTGCCCACAAACTGTTAAAATAAGATTTATTTAGTTATATTTATCCATTAAATCAATTGTCGACTAAATATTGATTTAAATTGAACCCTGTGAAAATGTATAATTTTAAAGCTACTGGTTTGGTAGTAGTTGTCTGTTTAATAACGTTTGATCTATTTTAGGAAATGTTTATTATTTTTTCAATGTTTATGAGATCATGACAGTTTTTTGGACATATTCTGTGAATGAAGTTTTAAAAGCACATTTATCATGATTACATGAAGTTGTCGTATGATTCAGGATTTCTCACAAATGTCCTGTCAGTATTTTCATATGTTCACATGTTCAGTGTTATATTATTACCTTGTAGACGCAAAAAGTTTTTGCGTCAAATTAAATTTCATCCGTTTCACGTTTTTTACATTATGGATGAATTCAGCACTGGAGAAAGACAATTTCGTTGATAGGAGGGTGAAAACAACCAAATTACTTAATGAATTAATGTTTCCCCAGCAGCTATAAGGGAAATGAAACATTTTTTAGTAAGAGGAAATTTCCACACTAAAAAAAAATTGTATATTGGATTTCCTGCCTGATGTTGCATTATGATATTTTTCAGCAATCGGTTGTTGCCAATATGACAGGAACCTTAGGACGAAAGCGTTCCTTTAAAGCTGTTGTCGTGGTAGGAAACGGCAAAGGTCTGGCAGGTAGGACAGTATTTGTTTGAAAAACATTAACATCATTCTGTATAGATTTCTTTATTTCTACCATAAAACTTTGTCATACCCCTCACAGAAAATTGTGTAAACATGCTGACAATTTGACAAATGAATGATTTATGTAGAACTAGTGGTGTCTGACCTGGTCTTTTGTTCAGTTGAGAAGTTGAACTTTGACCAAAAGGGTGCTTAATGCTCTCGCTGAAATTGAAATGCATAATGAGTGAGTGACCTTGAGAGTGAGACTTTGAGGAAAATCATGGTAAGGAGACATTGAGTGTGAGATTTGAGAAAGATCTTGAGGGAGGAACATTGAGTGTGATGTACTGAGGATAAAATTCTAGATGGTGATATCTTTAGGTTGAGACAGACTATATTTATATCCTGTAAGCATATTCATTGTAAAAACATTATGGATTTTTATATACAGGGTATGGCACTTCCTCTTCTACAACTGGAATGCGTTGTATTGAAAAGGTAAGTATAAAATTCAAAATAATGAATTAGTTTGAAAAACATAAAAAAAGTAGATAAAAATTAATTTAACAATGCAAATAGAAATTATATGGGAAACGTGACTGCCAGCTTATTAAGATTGCAACAGGAAAGCATGTGTTGCTTTTCTCAGACAGACAGAAATAACGATGTCCCCCAGAGGGTATTTGAAGAAGGTTGATAAGATATGTGTACGATCAGTAACGTGTATTGACATAAGTAAAACATAAAACCTAAAGCTATCTACAACAGTATTGTTGTCACATGTTGATAATCAGATGTGGTTTCTGTTGCTTATGTGATTTCTTCTGTTTTAGGCAAGAGACAAAGCAGCACAACAACTTCTACATGTTGACCTGTATGATGGTCATACAGGTAGGTACCTGGTCCCCCAAACTAGAATCAGGTGTCAGACAGCAGAAGTTATATGGAGATTAAAATTGTCAGACCAACGTTTATATTCAGGGAGTAAAAATCCAGGCAATTCATTAAACTGTGAATTGACTAGATTCATCAGAATTGTTAAAATAGGCGAAAAGATCAGCTTATTGTAACAGCCTTTGGACTAGAAGTTTCTACCAATCCTACCTTTCTGATTGGCAGAAAAATGATTACCATGCCCTCTAGTGGTGGTTGTATGCTGTTAAAAATGCTGCCATTTTCAAAACAGTGTTATGCATGATCACTATGAGACAAACAATTATTATACTAAAAACTTGCACCTGCCACTATTCAGTTTGACTTGCATTGATCACAACCTAGCAATGTTCAATTCAAAATTTTAAAATTCAAAATAAACTTAATCCATTACAAAACAAGTTTTTCCAACTTATGTTAATAATTTTGTTGGCCTGGATGGAAGCATGGAAAGGGTCTTACTGTGGGAAGAATGAGCTACCACTGTGCCACCCGACCACCCTATCATTATAGTTTTATTTATTTCTCCGAGACAGGAAAATATGACAGGATGCTCAGAATTTAGGATCACTGACATATATTTTTAATGTCATTTACGGTAATTGGATTTGAACTTTTGCGTCATCACACACATTATTATAATGTAGTTTATTTACTTACAGTATTCCACAACATGCGGGCTACAGTAGGACATACCACGGTGATGGTGAATAAACAAGATAGAGGTAAGACAACTTTGATATCACTGAGTGTTATAGGAATATTGTAAATATTTTTGTGGGGCTCAATTATCATGGTTTATCAAAAAGTGAATTGCTGTTTCGTGGATATGTGATTTTGTGGATTTATATTGCTCGACAGGTCGACTTATACTTATTTTAAAGAGTTCATTTACCCGTTGATGGCCTAATGACCTTTTATGTGTTGACAGGCAGTGAAGAATGTCATAATTATGAAAATATTTTACAGTTCATGGACATTCATGAATTAAAAGTACTCACAAAGTTAACGGAAATGTTCCCCCCACCAAAATTAATGATTGTATAGAATTGAATGGAAATTATCTGAAGTCACTTGGACCTGCATTTCGACCTTCTACCGAAACTAAAAATGAGTGATACTAACAGTTCAAATTAACGATATTGCCTCTTTGGATTGATGATATCACTTATAGGTTTAAACTTCTGGTATCTCTTACTGGAGTAAGTGATATTACCACTTCAGAATCTTTGTACTATTCTTCATATTTGTATTAACTTGTGAAATAAGAAGGGAGGTAGTATTTCATTGTACAGAAATCCATTTTGGAATCTTTGTACTGATCTTCATATTTGTGTTAACTTGTGAAAATATAATATAATAACACTAGTCATTAAAGGTTGTACAACATTAAATGATTTAATTAAAGCAGTCATATCCTTGAACAAAGATTAGAGTTTTATTGTGAAATGTAACCCCTAAGAATCTGTTCTGATGGAAATACCAGAACTGCAAAATTATACATCTACAGGTATACAATACTCATTTTTTTTATTTGATGAAATTTTTTGCCATCAGATGAAAGACCTATGAAATATAAGGCATTGTATCTTGTTTCCACAGGTTATGGACTAAAATGTCATAGGATAATTAAGTCCATCTGTGAGCTGTATGGAATTGAGAATCTCCACGTGAAGATTGAGGGAAGAATTAATGATACTAACATTGCAAAAGCCTTCTTCAAGGCCCTTCTACATCAGGTAACAAACAAAACACTCTCAGGTTCAGTGGTCATCAGGAGTTAGGATAGGAGTCATGTTAGTGTGTCCTTGAGGTGGAGTGTTGTGTTATTGTGTCCTTGATGTGGAGTGTTGTGTTACTGTGTCCTTGATGTGGAGTGTTGTGTTACTGTGTCCTTGAGGTGGAGTGTTATGTTACTGTGTCCTTGAGGTGGAGTGTCATGTTACTATGTCCTTGAGGTGGAGTATCATGTTACTGTGTCTTTGAGGTGGAGTGTCATGTTACTGTGTCCTTGAGGTGGAGTGTCATGTTATTGTGTCCTTGAGGTGGAGTGTCAGGTTACTGTGTCCTTGAGGTGGAGTGTCAGGTTACTGTGTCCTTGAAGTGGAGTGTCATGTTATTGTGCCCTTGAGATGGAGTGTCATGTTATTGTCCGTGATCTAACAACTGCATTGCTGAGGAGATTTTCACACAAAATGACACAAATGTCAAGTTGGAGAATATTTCAGATGAATTTCATAGCTTAATGTTGAAGTTTTTTATGTAAAATCTGTGTTACAGAGTAATGGGTTATTTCACTATATAAGCACTTACAAGTAATCTGTTTAGTAAAGTTATAAATCAATACTATTACATTGTTCTGTAATAAGCCCACCTCGTGACTTAAAGTAACAAGTTAAGTATTGCCTACCTGTCTTCAGCTTATTGTGGAATAGATACAGTAAACATATGTAACCTGATTTTTTACTGTAGGAAACGCACCAGGAACTGGCTGACCGTATGAAGATGCACGTTGTAGAGTTCCGCAGGGAGAAACACTATTTTCCACTAGTAGTTGCTTCACCACAAGATGGCGCCATCATAAAGCCACCAAAGGATAAGGAAAACTATGACTTTGAAAACTTTTATTTTAAAGGAAAAACTCAATTTTTCCTGAAAAGACCACCAATTTTCTACAAAGGCTCTCCATCATGGTACAAAAAGGCACATCAATTATATAAAATTAGAAATCAGAAAAAGGCTCAGATGGAACGACGCATTCAGGGATTTGAAGATTATGTCAACAGAGCTTCGTAATTCATGAGAAATAACAACTTGTTATAACTTTTATATACCAGTGCGAGTGTTGAAGAGTATATCTAAGACATTTTGTAGTGAGTGTTGGAGAGAATATAGGTTTGAGACAATACATTTGTTTTAAGTGTTTAATTCAGACTTTTAAGAAAAAATTGATATAAAGAAATGTCCAGTCCAGTCATGATGTGGAAAGAAAGTTACCAGGTATGGAAGAAAACTTAAACAGCATCAGTATTTAAGAATAACCTCAAAACAGAACCATTAACATTGAAGAACAAAGTTTGAGGTGAAATTTTGTAGATAAAGACATCAGCAGAAACCAGGGGATCAAACAAACCTGAATCAAAACTAAATTACCTGGTAAAAATAACATTTTATACACCATGTAAAGGTCTGTTAGCTAGACAGGAAAGGTTGATCAAATTAAAACCAAATATCCTGGTAATGAAAATATTCACCTATTGCCTTCAGTTAGAAAGGCTGGAAAGGTTGGTTGAATTGAAACCAAGTTTTCTGGTAAAGAAAACATTTCCATTCACCATATAGATTTCAGTCAGGCTGGAAAGGCCAGATGTTTTACTGAGGAATGGAAAACTTACAGTTCCCCTCTCTGTGATATATGTTTAATAGAGTGTAGAAAGCTTGCCATATGAAAAATTCTCTCATTGTTAATTGGGTCAAGTTTTTGACATGGTAAGCTTCTACCCTTTATTTAATATCAACTACAGAGAGGTTTCATCAGTTTTGCTGAATGTTTACTTAGGCCATCAAAACTTCTAAAATATGTCTTGATCAGTAGACTGTACCAAAAAAAAAAGAAAAGCGCCTTTCAGTACAGAATTAAAAATGCAGCTGTTCGTCCGAGGACTCATCAGTAATGATATGTTCAATTTAGGAGGCAACTGAAAATCAAAATTTATATTCTTAACTGTTATAAACTGGAGGGACTGTACAAAAGACACACAAGTGAATAACACTTTTCAGTACAAATTCAGAATTTGATGCAATATAGACAAATAATGAATTAAACTGCATCATAAAGCTGTTCTTCAAGGACTCATGAGTGATCCTGAGCTTGTCAATGATGCTGAAGGCCTGGATTGTAGCTGGCAATCAAGGAAATACAAAAGTGATAGAATTGAATGTAAAAAGTCAGTGGGCAAGTCCTCAAATTCAATAAATTTATAACAACATCAAGTATGATTTTATAGCAAGATCTTTACCGCTATTCCAATGAATTCAACAGTGACATTCAGCTAATGGGACAAAGAATCCACCAGCAGTATCTACTACCTACAGTCTAAAAACTACAAAGAAACAAAAGCGAATTGTATCTTTCAATTCAAATTCTGAATTTGATACAGTAGAGCCAAATAATGTATTTGTCTGCATCATACAGCTGTTTTATCCGAGGATTTGTCCGAGAAAAACAGACACAGACATCTATGTGGCTTATGTTAATCTGTTTACATACAAGTTACTGGTAGTTATGTCATAACACTTTAGTCCCATCCTCGTAACTCCAAGGATTACGATTACAGAAAATTTCCACTGAAGTGGTTTTAACCCATGGATTTCTTACATGACCTTCCAAACGAGAGACCCTGTGCCTCACAACTAATTTTGGAGATGAAAGGACCAAAATAATTAAAGCATTGTTTTTTGTTTCAAGGAAACATGTGGATCTTGTAGACAGCACGATAAAATACAACACATAGTCAGTGCTATAGAGTATCAGAGAGGAGAAAAGTGATATTTATCGACCAGGTCAACCAAAAATTGTGCTGAAGATCTCTCTTAACAAGTTCAAACATTTTCTAAGGCAAGCAGATAGTTTCAATACTTATTTGTACAAAACAATCCTTGTGGAAGACAAAATGACAAGTTTTACTTGTGCCACTGCTTGGAAATGAAACCCTGCTACCTACACAACAGAAACCCAGGTTGAGGGGTTGTACACAGTATTTATACCACAACTCTAGTACTTCATAGTTCTGTTATTGACTTTTCAAATACAGTGAAAAAAATAAAATAGCTGATAATATTGAGAGAAACATAAAATCAGCTATTGGCTTCCATCACAACTTGTCTACGTCATAGCTTTGGGAAATTAAAATATGTGTGGTCACATTTCTCCTTCATTAGCTCACCTAAGACAAAGTCTCGTGGTGACCAATATAGATCGCCTTTAGTCAGTTGTGGTGTGGTGTGTCATATACTTTGAATATTTTTAACGACTTCTGGAAAACTCTTGGACCAATTTTAAGGAAATCATGCAGAAACCTCTCGTGGCCAAAGGTTAGCCAAAATTGTTTATTATATTGCCCTAAGGCCCAGAGGGGTGCACCAAAAATGTGTCAAAGTCATTGAAATTTCAAAATCTTTTTTACAATACCCAAGTATGGTAGAATCAAATACGCTTCATGTAAGTAAAACCCTGGTAAATGCTAACCGCAATATACTGCTCTATAACTCGATCAGTTGAGCATCAGGTGTCCAGGGTTCGAATCCTAGCGGAAATGAATAATGACCTCTTTATCATACATGTTTAAAAGGAAAGATCGGGGCAGAACGTGGGAACTTTTAGAGAAAGTTTGATTAAAGTCTTGTTAAAAGCCACAGTGTCATACTGATAAACTTCTATTCTGTCATTTGCCGCTAAATGCAGCACAAGTTTTGAGAAATCTGTAGCAAGACTTCTTGATGATAACTCACAATATCAGATAGCAATAATTTGCAGGTCTATATGGCTGGGTGTTTTAGTGTCGTAAATCATGAGTTTGAGGTCGAGATAGGGAACGAGTCAAAAATTATCTTCCTTCGTCAGTTGTGTTACATATTCAAATATACCTCAACACCCTATCACTCAATTCATGAATATCCTACTTCTATGGTATTCAATTCTGATGAAATAGTACACTGAGAATAAGACCAGATGTTCCATAAGAGTAAGCGTCTTCTGCTTGAGAAAACCTATACTACACTGACACACTCCAACACGCTACCTACAGGGGTCGAATACCCAACATAATGTACCATTTATAGATGGTTGAATAAATTAACAACGTCTACTGCCTTATAAAAAATCGTCATGTGTTGCAAGAGCGCCATTTCTGATTTTTTAAATTTTAATCTTATCTGCATTTAAGTGAGTTTACTTTCATTATTTATTATAGACGTGATGCATTTAGCAAGACTAAAGCACGGACTGTTATACAATAAGAACAGTATCGTGTACATACATAGATAAAAATAAGGATATCAAATACCAATTTCAACAGGTCGACAGTTTTCTTTTATGAAATCAGTTTCATAATCGTTGACAGATTGTATAAAAGCGGCGAGAGAACTTTGAAAGAGACCGCTTTCACATTAAGACAGTTGTGCTTATCTTAAACACATGATTCAACATTTTCATTAATCTTCAAAATTTACCTTGAAATTCATGTTTTACAAGGTCATGCCACATGATACTTCTATCAATGAGATCAAATCGGATCAACCCTTGTGTTCCTGAATGGAATAGGGTTCCCGATTCTACTGGTTTTGTGGTTTCAACAAACACTGGCGTATATAATTCGTATCGCCTGATACTGTTCAAAATATAAGGACTTTTTTGTGAAATTGACCTGCATGTACACAATCCGAGCGTTGATTCCAGACTACACGGTCTGCTTCTTAAAGATAAATAATTTTGTCAAATAATATTGCACTCCATGACAACTCGGCTTTAAGGAAAATTGAAAAAGTCCCTATACTCGGTCGTAAAGGAGACAGATCTACGGAGTATATTGATGAAGTAGGTCTGTCCTGATGAATGCAATTCTTAACCAGACATTGATATAAACACGTCGGGATACACCTGTGACAATTTCTCAGGTCAACAAGATAATTGTTTTTGTCTATTGATTTTCTTATAGATTTGGTTTAGGTTATGAAAATAAAAACACCTTCCTTAATGTTGGACATGAGATGTTTTTCAGCTCACTTAAAGTTAAAGTAATTTCTACTTTAATATGTTCACTGGTATAACCAGATCGTTTTGAGATCGTTTAATGGACAGTCTAAAGGAGTTATCTTTCTTCATTGCACCAATATATTAGCCACTAGAAGGCGCTGGCTCTACTTCCACTTCATCCTCATCGATCACAGTTGTCTTTTTTAGGGAAGTGTAACTTGCTGTTTGATTGTGAATTCGTCTTTCCTGTGGTATGGCCGCTATCACTAAAAAGCCTGTGGACGACGACGCCAGTGTTGGAGGTGACATGTCTCTGGAGGACAAGCTGGCTTACTTGGATAAGGAAATTCGGCTGCTACACCGGTTTTGTACAGAATCTGGCTACAGCCAACAACACATCGCACGATGTGCCGAGCCATTTTTCAGGCCCATAAGAGCAGCCAAGCGGAAGAAATTGAGGTGTCATCTGATTCTGATGGCAGCAGCAGTGGCCGTATTCTCAGCTCTGCTCTATATCGATCCAGCGTACAGACTAGTGGTTTCCACAGGGCGACTGGCGTACATAAAAGTTAGTAGATATTAAATTTACTGTACTGTTGTACTGTATGCTAAAAATGAATGTAAATTACATTTGTTTGTTTTCTAGGTGTAACCATTCCCCGAGAAAAGCAATGGTCATTTTGTATGGGCCCCTTTTAAAATTGTAGTAACTGCATCATATACGGCAGTTCCCTTGATGAAGGTAATGCGGGAGATCTACAACATGGTAACCATAGCAGTAAATATTAAATGTCTGACACAGTGAAAGAAGAAACAGGGTCATGTGTGTCTTCAGCTTCTTGAGAAACACAAACAACTGGTATCAATTAATGAATCTGGTCATACATTTGGTCGTGATTTATTTATTAATTTGTTTACAATTCAATACTGAATTTCTCCTAAGCCTCGTGATTATGAATTAATAGAGAGATTTTTTACCAGGATTCTGATGTTACTAGGATTGTTCCTATTGTAAATGAATTGGTTTTGTGATACATGTATTATATATCTGTTTATTAAACAGATTCTTCCTTATTGGAATTGGTCAGCCATGTTTGACTGGAATTGTCTCATCAACAATCCATTGTATACAGATGACTTGAAGGAGGATGATTGCAAAGTATGTACAGGGATAAACTATATGGGTCATCTCTGATAATGTTTTATTACTTTGTACACATGCCTGTCAGTTGAAATGAGGATTATTAAATATTGAGACTTGAAATTAAAGAGAGTTGTTAAAAATAAATGAAAATTTTCTCTATCAGTGAAGAAAATCTAAGGCATCTACGACTATAGATGTTTAGATAGAAAACCTGGGGCCAACATGATAATCCACATTAGCCTGGTTGTGTAATACTGGTAGTTGCAATGATTGCTGACCAATTCTTGTCATCAGCTGCTAATTCATATTTCGTTCATGAGATCACAATATTTCTGTGCTTGGATTTGTCAAGAAAGAGATAAACTTGATGTTGAAAATTTATAGATAGAATTGGCAAGTCATAAGTAAGTTAACAAAAATTTCTAGAAACATTTGTGAGAATTGGTCAGTGAACCAGAGTATGTCCTTGTTGAGAATTGATATAGCTTTTCTGTGGTTTCCATATCTGAATGATAAAATAATATTGTCATTCAAAATTGAAAACATTAGCTTTTTTTCTTTATGGCCAATTGAAATATTTTTGTTTGATGTCATAGTCCTGTGTGGCTATTGAGGCTATAGAGAGAGCAAGTAATCTGGACTCCGTCTACTTCGGAGAGGTTTATCTTAAGAAAGATGTCCCAGTGATTGTAGAGGATGGATTGAAAGGCTGGCCGGAAAACAACATAACCATCGCTAAAATCAAGGAAGTAAGTCTCAGGAAAATGGAAGCAAGGCGATGCAATCACAACACATCCTAGCCTAAACAATTCACTTGTTTTATTTACCTTTAAACTAATGTATATTTATATTTGCCAGCAGATTTGCATGGGGAGGGCTTTGTCAGGGCAATAACAATACTTCTGTTGTTTCCTATGATACTTTCTTGCAAACAAGTCTGCTCTTAGTTTATTGTTGTCCTCATCAAGTGATGATGTGATTCCTGCAACCTTGGCAACCTTTATTGAGAGACCATTTGTATGAAAACGGTAGGGGAAAAGAAAGTAACTTCTGTATCACTAATCTCAGGAGTCAGTTTAATAGTGTCATGGTGGTTTAATACAAGAGTGAAGGAGGTTAGGTTTTTTCTTGAGAACTGAAAAGGATATCGTCTATTTATATATCCACCATATTATTGGTGTTTTGTGACGTGTTTTGAGAAAGTTTGTTTTCAAGTGTTACATGAATAAGTTGACATGGTTAGGTGTTGTTGTTATACCTTGTAACTAAAGGTAATATGTATTATCAAAACTGAATCTGTAGGCATCTGGCTGATCTGAATTGTGGGACTGTGGGTACAGGTACATGTATCATTAAAACTGAATCTGTAGGTGTCTGACTGATCTGAAGTGTGGGACAGTGGGTACAGGTATGTGTATCATTAAAACTGAATCTGTAGGCGTCTGACTGATCTGAAGTGTGGGACTCGGTACAGGTATGTGTATCATTAAAACTGAATCTGTAGGTGTCTGACTGATCTGAATTGTGGAACTGGGTACAGGTATGTGTATCATTAAAACTGAATCTGTAGGCGTCTGACTGATCTGAATTGTGGAACTGGGTACAGGTATGTGTATCATTAAAACTGAATCTGTGGGCGTCTGACTGATCTGAATTGTGGAACTGGGTACAGGTATGTGTATCATTAAAACTGAATCTGTGGGCGTCTGGCTGATCTGAATTGTGGAACTGGGTACAGGTATGTGTATCATTAAAACTGAATCTGTAGGCGTCTGACTGATCTGAATTGTGGAACTGGGTACAGGTATGTGTATCATTAAAACTGAATCTGTAGGCATCTGACTGATCTGAATTGTGGAACTGGGTGCAGGTATGTGTATCATTAAAACTGAATCTGTAGGCATCTGACTGATCTGAATTGTGGAACTGGGTGCAGGTATGTGTATCATTAAAACTGAATCTGTAGGTGTCTGACTGATCTGGTGGGACTGTGGGTACAGGTACATGTATCATTAAAACTGAATCTGTAGGTGTCTGACTGATCTGAAGTGTGGGACAGTGGGTACAGGTATGTGTATCATTAAAACTGAATCTGTAGGCGTCTGACTGATCTGAAGTGTGGGACTCGGTACAGGTATGTGTATCATTAAAACTGAATCTGTAGGTGTCTGACTGATCTGAATTGTGGAACTGGGTACAGGTATGTGTATCATTAAAACTGAATCTGTAGGCGTCTGACTGATCTGAATTGTGGAACTGGGTACAGGTATGTGTATCATTAAAACTGAATCTGTGGGCGTCTGACTGATCTGAATTGTGGAACTGGGTACAGGTATGTGTATCATTAAAACTGAATCTGTGGGCGTCTGGCTGATCTGAATTGTGGAACTGGGTACAGGTATGTGTATCATTAAAACTGAATCTGTAGGCGTCTGACTGATCTGAATTGTGGAACTGGGTACAGGTATGTGTATCATTAAAACTGAATCTGTAGGCATCTGACTGATCTGAATTGTGGAACTGGGTGCAGGTATGTGTATCATTAAAACTGAATCTGTAGGCATCTGACTGATCTGAATTGTGGAACTGGGTGCAGGTATGTGTATCATTAAAACTGAATCTGTAGGTGTCTGACTGATCTGAATTGTGGGACTGTGGGTACAGGTACATGTATCATTAAAACTGAATCTGTAGGTGTCTGACTGATCTGAAGTGTGGGACAGTGGGTACAGGTATGTGTATCATTAAAACTGAATCTGTAGGCGTCTGACTGATCTGAAGTGTGGGACTGGGTACAGGTATGTGTATCATTAAAACTGAATCTGTAGGTGTCTGACTGATCTGAATTGTGGAACTGGGTACAGGTATGTGTATCATTAAAACTGAATCTGTAGGCGTCTGACTGATCTGAATTGTGGAACTGGGTACAGGTATGTGTATCATTAAAACTGAATCTGTAGGCGTCTGACTGATCTGAATTGTGGAACTGGGTACAGGTATGTGTATCATTAAAACTGAATCTGTGGGCGTCTGACTGATCTGAATTGTGGAACTGGGTACAGGTATGTGTATCATTAAAACTGAATCTGTAGGCGTCTGACTGATCTGAATTGTGGAACTGGGTACAGGTATGTGTATCATTAAAACTGAATCTGTAGGCATCTGACTGATCTGAATTGTGGAACTGGGTGCAGGTATGTGTATCATTAAAACTGAATCTGTAGGCGTCTGGCTGATCTGAAGTGTGGAACTGGGTACAGGTATGTGTATCATTAAAACTGAATCTGTAGGCGTCTGACTGATCTGAAGTGTGGAACTGGGTACAGGTATGTGTATCATTAAAACTGAATTGTAGGCGTCTGACTGATCTGAAGTAGCGGACTGTGCGTTAATTGTGTGATGTTTTTGTTGACACTTGTTGAAGAAAAAGCTTGTAATACATACTATATTGGTGGTGGTAGACATGGTTGAGGTGCAGCATAAGTGATCTTAATGTAGGACTCTGTGTATAGCAGATCTGGATAGATGCAGGGGCTCAAGTTACCTAAGAACAATCCAGAAAAGTGGGGAGGGGAGGGGGTGGGTGGGTGGGGGGGCAACACCTTGCTTCATCTTTGTAGTGGTGTATTGGATTTGTCATCTAGGTATGGATACCTTATAGTTTGCAGGGTGATTACATATGAACAATGATTTCCTTAGGATTAACAAATTATGTTGTTTTTTTCAATGACAGTTCAGTATTTATATGTAAACTTTGAGAAAAACAGAGCTTTTTTTTTTTGAGAACTAAATACTTAATATATCATAGATGTAACATATTCCAATTTATTTTAAACAAAGAAATTGATTTTCTTTCAGTATTACAACATCACCAGAATGTTTGAAAAAGTATTCATTTGAATAAGTACATGAAATAATCAACAATTAAAAAATAACATAATATAAGAATAAGGGATATTTCAGTAAGACATCTACTCCAGGACTCCAAATCAATCACTTCTATCCAGGAACCAGATTCTTGCCCATTGTTTGTGAGCAAGACAGAAAGACCACGTTTATGATTATTAAGACAACCAGTGATATGTAAAATACTATTGTAATTTCCACTTCTCTACAATACCTTACAATACATTCCAGTTTGCAAGAACCTTCACCACAGCAAAGCATTTTTCAAAACTTTAATGAGAGATGTGTTCTGTTTGTAGCTGTATGAAGAGAACAAGGTTATGGCTCAACACTCTGTGTGTAACATGACGAGCAGTATCACAGTCAAGAAAGACAAATATCATCCTATCCACAGAAAAGTGCTCGACGAGATGAGAAACCAGAAATTCTTTCTGCAGTGGTGAGTGTGCTGGCTATATCACAGATTTTCTGTCATTTAATTTCCATTTCTTACATCTGATAGGAAGGAAAATAGAACATAAACATTCATTGATCTGCAGAGTTTTTTATGTCCTAGGATTTTCTAGCATGCCAAGCTTTAGTTATACTTCTGTAATGGTGAAATATTTTTCTAAAACTTTCAAAACATATGAACCACACATCTAACACTGTTCCTAGTACTTATCGTCTCCAAGATAGATCTACATACAAGTCCAGAGTCCTGTATACATAGAACTAGGATGGGACTCCTAGAACTTCTGGAAATATTGAAATTTTACATTGTGGAACCCATTGCTTTTAGTGGTGAAGTGTAGATAATTGTAGATTGTTCTCATTAGGCTCTCATCAGACATGTTCCTGTTAAATATCTGTACACCATATTCACCAAGGGAAACACCACTTGGCTTCTCCACATTCTGAATGCTGAAGTGGCATCAAATAAACATATGTTAGTGTGTGACCAAGAGAAAAAGTGAGTATCAACATTACACATGAGATATGATCACTTGCTGAAAGGAACATTTACATTTGTTGAAGGGAGGTTGACAACTGGTGGAATATTGAACAGGTTATTTGGTGGTGCAGTGTGGCAAAATTTACATTTGTTGAAGGGAGGTTAACAACTGGTGGAATATTGAACAGGTTATTTGGTGGTGCAGTAGTAACACGCTTGGCTTTTACCTAGATGTCTGGGGTTTGATTCCCCAAGCAGGCATGAACGGTATTGGGGTCACTGGCCGACCTTGTTTTCCTTCCAGAGTAAGATCCCTCGAACACTTTCATCTGCTGATAGAATATTAAGTATTATTAACATTTTGAAGGGAGGGTGATCAACTGATAGATCTGCATGTTTTGTAGGGAGAATTGTCAGCCGAAAGCAGGAAAGATGTTCCGATCAGAGTTCTACCGTCGACCGTACTTTATGCCTCAGATGGTAGAAGTTGATACAAGTAACTGGCTGTTGATGTCCCGTGGGAAACCAAAATCAGAGGCTCAACCAGTACTGGTATTTATACTATGTTTACTACTGATGACACCATTTTCGTATGCGTGATAAGTCTGAAATTTCCACAAGTTGATATCAGCCTAGGTGATATCAAAACCCCTGAAGTAATATCTCACCCCCTTGAAAGTGTTGACACACCCCCCCAAAGTGATAATACACCCCCTTGAAAGTGATAACACACCCCCTGAAGTGATATCAAAACCCCTGAAGTGATAACACACACCCTAATGTGATAACACACCCCCTGAAGTGATAACTCACCCCCTAAAGTGATAACACATCTCCTAAAGTGATAACACACCCCCTAAAGTGATAACACATCCCCTGAAGTGATAACACATCCCCTAAAGTGATAACACACCCCCTAAAGTGATAACACATCCCCTGAAGTGATAACACACCCCCTAAAGTGATAACACATCCCCTAAAGTGATAACACACCCCCTTAGAAAGTGATGCCACTCTCCCTTAGAAAGTGATGCCACTCTCCCTTAGAAAGTGATGCCACTCACCCTTTCAGATTTTTCATATTTTGCTGCTTCCTCTTATCACTGCCTGATTTGAACATAAATATTGTAGGCATGGAGGAAATAATGCATTCTTTTTTTCTTAGGAAAAATTAATCCCACTCAAATTTCCGCACAGTGCCATTTCCAGATTGGTTTCCTCTATTGGTGATAAAACTACAGCTGTCATCTGTAAATGTAAACAACAATTTCAAAAGAATTTGCAGCAAGAATTTTTGAGTTGAATGAGTTCAAGAGAAAAAAAATATAAAAAGCCCTTGACTGATATCAGGACTTTCGAGCTGGAAGGGGATGTGATATCAAAATTGTCATATAGTAATCTCTAAATATTTTATGCCAGAATCATCGTCCAGAATAGAAAATCAATTACTGTATTTATCCAGTAATAAGCCTAAGCCTTACAGTGATATTGTTAAGAGACTAATGGAGATTTTAAGGAACTAATTGAGATATTATTAAGAATCTAATATAGAGATATGTATGAGTTATGAATTAATGGAGGTTTGACTAATGCATGTTAGATAAATGGTAAAAGACAGGGCCTCATTTCTGTAGTAGATTATCTCTGATGCTGGCCTGGAATATTATATAAAACTTATCAATAGAAATGAGCTTCTGTGCTCTGAGCAGTCTGGAAAACTGTATTTAATTAAGATTAGATTCTTTGGGCCTGTTTTTGAAACATGTCTGATCATAGACTTGTATTCCAGAAAATGCAAGTAAACTTTTGTACTTATCTTCAGGTGATTTGTAAATCATCTATCATGTAATTTTAGGTTTTATTTTAACTATATTCTGTCCTTCTCAAAATTGGTTGTAAACATGTACATTGTCTGGTGCAGACCTTTGTGATCAGGCCTGTTATACCTTGGTTTGTTGTAAACATGTACATTGTCTGGTGCAGACCTTTGTGATCAGACCTGTTATACTGTGGTTTGTTGTAAACATGTACATTGTCTGGTGCAGACCTTTGTGATCAGGCCTGTTATACCTTGGTTTGTTGTAAACATGTACATTGTCTGGTGCAGAGTGATCAGGCCTGTTATACCTTGGTTTGTTGTAAACATGTACATTGTCTGGTGCAGACCTTTGTGATCAGGCCTGTTATAACTTGGTTTGTTGTAAACATGTACATTGTCTGGTGCAGAGTGATCAGGCCTGTTATACCTTGGTTTGTTGTAAACATGTACATTGTCTGGTGCAGACCTTTGTGATCAGGCCTGTTATAACTTGGTTTGTTGTAAACATGTACATTGTCTAGTGCAGACCTGTTATACTGTGGTTTGTTGTAAACATGTACATTGTCTAGTGCAGACCTGTTATACCTTGGTTTGTTGTAAACATGTACATTGTCTGGTGCAGAGTGATCAGGCCTGTTATACCTTGGTTTGTTGTAAACATGTACATTGTCTGGTGCAGAGTGATCAGACCTGTTATACTGTGGTTTGTTGTAAACATGTACATTGTCTGGTGCAGAGTGATCAGGCCTGTTATACCTTGGTTTGTTGTAAACATGTACATTGTCTGGTGCAGAGTGATCAGACCTGTTATACTGTGGTTTGTTGTAAACATGTACATTGTCTGGTGCAGAGTGATCAGACCTGTTATACTGTGGTTTGTTGTAAACATGTACATTGTCTGGTGCAGAGTGATCAGACCTGTTATACTGTGGTTTGTTGTAAACATGTACATTGTCTAGTGCAGACCTGTTATACCTTGGTTTGTTGTAAACATGTACATTGTCTGGTGCAGAGTGATCAGGCCTGTTATACCTTGGTTTGTTGTAAACATGTACATTGTCTGGTGCAGAGTGATCAGGCCTGTTATACCTTGGTTTGTTGTAAACATGTACATTGTCTGGTGCAGACCTTTGTGATCAGGCCTGTTATACCTTGGTTTGTTGTAAACATGTACATTGTCTGTTGCAGACCTTTGTGATCAGGCCTGTTATACCTTGGTTTGTTGTAAACATGTACATTGTCTGGTGCAGAGTGATCAGGCCTGTTATACCTTGGTTTGTTGTAAACATGTACATTGTCTGGTGCAGACCTTTGTGATCAGGCCTGTTATACCTTGGTTTGTTGTAAACATGTACATTGTCTGGTGCAGAGTGATCAGGCCTGTTATACTGTGGTTTGTTGTAAACATGTACATTGTCTGGTGCAGAGTGATCAGACCTGTTATACTGTGGTTTGTTGTAAACATGTACATTGTCTGGTGCAGAGTGATCAGGCCTGTTATACCTTGGTTTGTTGTAAACATGTACATTGTCTGGTGCAGACCTTTGTGATCAGGCCTGTTATACCTTGGTTTGTTGTAAACATGTACATTGTCTGGTGCAGACCTTTGTGATCAGGCCTGTTATACCTTGGTTTGTTGTAAACATGTACATTGTCTGGTGCAGAGTGATCAGGCCTGTTATACCTTGGTTTGTTGTAAACATGTACATTGTCTGGTGCAGACCTTTGTGATCAGGCCTGTTATACCTTGGTTTGTTGTAAACATGTACATTGTCTGGTGCAGAGTGATCAGGCCTGTTATAACTTGGTTTGTTGTAAACATGTACATTGTCTGGTGCAGAGTGATCAGGCCTGTTATACCTTGGTTTGTTGTAAACATGTACATTGTCTGGTGCAGACCTTTGTGATCAGGCCTGTTATACCTTGGTTTGTTGTAAACATGTACATTGTCTGGTGCAGAGTGATCAGGCCTGTTATACCTTGGTTTGTTGTAAACATGTACATTGTCTGGTGCAGACCTTTGTGATCAGGCCTGTTATACCTTGGTTTGTTGTAAACATGTACATTGTCTGGTGCAGAGTGATCAGGCCTGTTATACCTTGGTTTGTTGTAAACATGTACATTGTCTGGTGCAGAGTGATCAGACCTGTTATACTGTGGTTTGTTGTAAACATGTACATTGTCTGGTGCAGAGTGATCAGGCCTGTTATACCTTGGTTTGTTGTAAACATGTACATTGTCTGGTGCAGACCTTTGTGATCAGGCCTGTTATACCTTGGTTTGTTGTAAACATGTACATTGTCTGGTGCAAACCTTTGTGATCAGGCCTGTTATACCTTGGTTTGTTGTAAACATGTACATTGTCTGGTGCAGAGTGATCAGGCCTGTTATACCTTGGTTTGTTGTAAACATGTACATTGTCTGGTGCAGACCTTTGTGATCAGGCCTGTTATAACTTGGTTTGTTGTAAACATGTACATTGTCTGGTGCAGAGTGATCAGGCCTGTTATACCTTGGTTTGTTGTAAACTTGTACATTGTCCGGTGCAGACCTTTGTGATCAGACCTGTTATACTGTGGTTTGTTGTAAACATGTACATTGTCTGGTGCAGACCTTTGTGATCAGGCCTGTTATACCTTGGTTTGTTGTAAACATGTACATTGTCTGGTGCAGACCTTTGTGATCAGGCCTGTTATACCTTGGTTTGTTGTAAACATGTACATTGTCTGGTGCAGACCTTTGTGATCAGGCCTGTTATACTGTGGTTTGTTGTAAACATGTACATTGTCTGGTGCTGACCTTTGTGATCAGGCCTGTTATACCTTGGTTTGTTGTATACATGTACATTGTATGGTGCAGACCTTTGTGATCGGGCCTGTTACACCTTGGTTTGTTGGTTGGGTACAGGATGTTGTCTCCTTCATTCGTCCTATTACTATACAATGTCTCAATGAGGAGTGTCAAGTGTTCTACACTATGTACCTATGAATATATCATGACCTTTGACCTTCCTTAACAGATACCTATCCACAAGCAGCTACTGATTCTGATCCAACTGAAGGGTGAAGTGGAGGTACACATCGTACCTGACAAGTTGTGTGAGACGCAGTGTAAATCACTAACAGCAGTTGTCGCCGAGGGACAGATACGTATGTGTACAAAATTTAATGAAACTTCAAAAGGTCAGGCCCATAGAGGTTTTACAAATTCCTTGATTACTCTGGAATAAGACCTTGAGTCTTAGATTTTTTTCTCCAATACAAATGCAGCAAGTGGAACAATGCCAAGTTATTAGTTTACAAAACTAAGAGAGACATATAAATAGATTGACTACAGGATATTGCTGGTTCAATATAGTACGTAAATATCAAAACAAATTCACAAAATGATTATCAGACTGGCATTGTGTCATGATATGAGATTTGTAGGGATCATGCTGTTAAGTCTAGAGCTCTCTTCTATTGAATGATTTCTAGGTAAAGTCCAAATAATTAGTCTATCTTCTGGTCTTATGAACCTTGTGTACTTATATTTTCTCTGTTTCAGTTTCCGTGACAATGACAGATGTTCTGTATGACGTCCTTTATCTACCGTACGGGGATGAAGAAAACATCTCAGTAGCAATATCGGGAATTTATGATTAAATCAAAGGACATTACTAGATTGAGTGAAAGGATTGATTTACCTAACACCATCCGTGAAGATCTTACCAATGATAAAGTCACATCTACTGCAGAAGATTTAAAAATAAGGAGGAAAACGTGGTTCATTGTGAGATGTACTAGTTGTCAATGAAATTTCTTGGCGAGAAGATAAGATTTTTGATTTTATTTTTGTAATATCAAAATATCACTTTGAAGAAATTGTCTGCAAGTTCTCGCCTCTGATGTTCTAGTTGTATGTATTTCTGATAATAAAGTCAGACACATTTTATATCATTACTGTCTTAAACTTCTGTCAATAAAAATTCTACAGTAACTTGCTTTTAAGGAAACCAAGATAGATGCATGTAGTAGTAATCCAAATAGTTTGTGTAATAAAGTTAGTTATATAGAAGTATAATAAAGCAAAAATTTTCTGTCAGCATTTTTCTGTTGTTCAAATCCTTGTTCACTGCCGAAGTATTGCCTACTCAGATTCTTTGGTGGAGAAACCGACCGTACAGTAAAATCATTTATTTCAGTGGGCGATTAATTTTCATTGATTCCCTGACATGTCCACAAACTATTAGAACTTGGTACAAATATATTTATTGAACCTCTATATGTCTAAGAAATCAGGTATATGCTAAAATAATTTTTTTCAAACCAACAAAAACAAATGATTTTCCAGTAAATGCTGAGCAATATTGAAAACTCGACAATTACATTAAATTAGTTGAATTTATTCAATATTTAGTACAATAATCAAAATCCAACTCTTTCAGTAACATCAACAAATTGTTGTACTTGTACAACGTAACATTATAAATTCTGATCCCCAAACCATACACACGAAAACTAATTTCATTAAAGACTGACGAGATATCTTAATCATGGACCAGTAATTCATTATCCTGGATCAATATAAAACTAAGCCATCAATATTTACGGACGTAATCAATACTGTAGTTGGATGCCCTGCACTTAAGAATGTCTTTCTTTCACCAAGTTTTCATCTCTTACACTTTTCTTGAAAAAGTACTGTTTAGCATGGCTATGAAGATAATGAGATTTGGAAGCATTCCCAGCTTGTAAATACTTAATACTTTACCTTCATCTGTTGATATCTGTTTGATGTGAGATGTAAACAATATATAACTGCTGCTGATATATTTTTTATCAAACATCTATTGCATTGCAGTATTTAAAGTCTATTTCTCATAATATTGTTTTACCTACTCTACATAACATTTTTCTTCTGATTTAAGTTGTATTTACAAAAGGTCAATACTCCACAAGAGTAATTGATATATTTGATATTAAAGGAAAGACATCTGACAATGGATGAAAGGTAGCATGAACAGTCAAATGATAGTAAAGAGCATAAAAAAATTCAATACCTCTGACTGTAGTTTAATTATGGGTGAAGACAAGTCTTGTACATTAACATTTTAGGACGGGGATGCAAAAAGAAATCTTGTTCTGAATACATAAAGACTCCTTTGTATTGTAAACATAAAGTCTCAAATGTTAAGTGCAAGATGAAAAAAAAAAAAGAATAAAAAAATAAGCTACATTGGCAAACTAAATGGCACAAATTGATTTTGATGATCTTATGTCTGATAATACTTTATTACATAAATTGATTGTGCCACTTCATTGTTTTTACAAAACTAGGCACAATTGAGCAATATATATGCAAGAAACGGTGAGAAATTATGATTTTCCAACTATAGAATGCATCTGTGATAATCATAACCTAAAGATATATGTTGAGCAGATTCAGATAATTGATCAAGGATTAATTAGCAATTATTAGGATTTGTTAGCAATGCTTACATAATATTTTTCTTCATTACAAAAGGTACTGTCAGATGACATTGGTGGTGTTCTGTATATAGGATTAGGGCAACTCATTAGTCCAATGCCAGTATGTGGTACTGTAAGTGATAATTCAAAACATTCAAAGATATTACAGTTCAGTTGTTTCCTCCTTTTGGTGAAAAAATAGGGGCACTGTTAAATGACTATGAACAAAGGGTGATAACTATGTTCATATTAAGAAAAATCACCTGATTTATGTAAACAGCACTCTGTCAACCAAGGACAAATTTGGCAACTGTGGGCGACAATATAGAAGATAATACCCCACACAAATAGTGTGTACAATCCAAGAGTTCTGTAGAAATTCCTATCTGTCATCATAACAAAAGAATTGAAATAATTCATCCTCTAAGTTAATCCCTTCAATCAGTACTAGATAACAAATTTCAGAAGTTCACCGGAATATTGCATCGTCTCCATACATTTGCATGATTAAACAACCTCAACGACCTTCAGTTTTGTAGCATTACTTTCCTAACACTTTCCGTTTGCCACAAATTACACTAAATCATCCAAGTCCATTTTCTTCTTCACATTAAATTTTCCCTCAGTAACTAAAGTTTGTATGGACTACTAGAGTTATGAATGCCCTTGTCGGGCTAGCTGTATGTTTGTAGTGCTGTTTGTCAGGACTGGTGGTGATATCCATGATGATAACCAGCACCATAGTGTCCTCCCCACTGAGGGCCGTAATTGTATCCAGAGTTCTGAAACACAAAATAACATTCTCAAGTGGAATTCTCATGAAGAAAGTTTTACCTTCTATCTCTCCAGTCTTTTAAAATCTGAAATATATCGCAAGGGGCAGCACTCGCTTATATTAACATCAAATTTAAGTCTTTCACCCAATATAAACTCAACATGTATGTCAGCTTCCTCTCTCTGCCCTTACAAAATTGTAGTTTCACAAGATTAAGTTTTCAGTGTTAATTGAGCTGAAGCCAAAGATGTGCTTTCAGAATCATATTCTTCTCTTCTTCTTTGTACAACTCAATTGTGTAAATTTAAGAAAATGGAATCCATCATTTCCAGATTTCAAAAACTTATCATTAGAAAATAAATGTATTGATAACCGTGCTGATCTGTTATAGGTGAAATAACATACATTACATTTTTTTGTGTGTTTTGAAGATTTCTAAAAGTGATAAACACAATTTTACATTTTTTCCGATTTTATATACATGAAGAGACGAAGAATTCTTCCCAGACTAACAAATTACATAGTTGTCTCCCCCTGTATACCTGATATCCCCCCCAGTGATAGGGGTAGTTTGCGTGACCGCTGTCCGGAGGTGGCACGCTCATGTCACCAGCACCGTTCTGCACCGTCTCATTCTTACTTCTCTTCTCTGCTGGCTCTTCACTGAAACGTGAATTACAAAATAAAGGTGGAATTAGACTGTGTATACATCACTCAAGAAACAAATGTTTCAGCTTATTTGATATATTCAAAATCACTCTTAGCAGATACATACTCACATAGTGTGTCCTTTAGATTCAAATGTTTGTTGTCAATATTTTCTCTATACGGTTGATGTATATGAAATATGATTGGATGATATTCAGTGAAAAATTAGAATACTGACTGTGAATGACCTGACTGCTCAAGTGGCCTCTTTTTGCGCTCAGCATGTAAATCTTTCATTAGTTTCTGGTGTTCATCATAGGCTTCCTTTAATCTGAAATCAACAAGTGGTTTATATAAATATTGAAATAAGTGACTTCAATTAAAATTTTAATTCATCAGGAATCATGTGTATGTGAATAATCATAAACTCTAACTATCTATCAATATTACATTGTAAAGGGTTTTACAGTGTTTAAATAAGTACAGCTGTTCAGGTCTGATATCAGATGATGTGACATTGAAGAGGGAACATCCTCAAGCTGTAAAGTAATATAAGCTTACTAAAATATAGTGAAGAGGAGCAATTCCAGGTTTCTAAACAGTATATTCTTTCTTCTATAGCTGGTTGTCAACAATATAAACTTGCATAAGAAGACATATCATATATCTATCCCAGTAATACACATTCAAAGATTTGTTGGTTAAGATCCACTATCAATATTGGACCATACTGTCTATATTACTATTCTATATATATATAGATATATATAGAAAAAACTTGATTTGACGAGATGCGAGTAAATTATAAATAAAAATGATTTTTGACAAAAGAAGAAAGACGTTACATTTTGCACTAGCGCTTTCACTGTATTAGATCTTCAGGTGCATAATAACTGTACATAATGGTGTGGCGTCACAACATGTATTCTGTTGATGACATCATAATATAAAAGGGGCATAATTATATTTTGCAAACTTTACAATGCGGTTAAACATTAATATTCAAGTCTGGTTTTAAAATGTTTATAATTTCTGACTCCTTGGCTTCTCTTTGTATTTGATTGGTTTCAGATGAAAAAGTATACGGGGGAAGATTTGGAAAAAGCCGTCGTTGCATCCTGCTACGTGTCGGCTGATTGGTAGATGTCTGTATCTTTCGTGGGATATTTGTTTGCGATGTAATGTTACGCGTTTGTGGAGGTTTTCTGTTTGTCCTATATAGAAACTTCCACATTTTGGACAAAGGATTAAGTAAATCACGTTTTTTGATTTACAGTTCATACTGCTTTTAACTTCCCACTTCTTTCCACTTTTTAATTGTAAGGAATTCCCTGTTATGATATGTTGACACGTTCCACATCTCTTTTCTCGACAAGTATTGACTTCCGGTAACTTTGTTTCTGATGAAAATGATGCACGTGCTAGATATTTTTTCAAATTTTTTGGCTGACGCCACACCATTATGTACAGTTACTATGCACCTGAAGATCTAATACAGTGAAAACGCTAGTGCAAAATGTAACGTCTTTCTTCTTTTGTCAAAAATCATTTTTATTTACATATATATATATAGACATATATATCTCAGATAGAAGGATGCTTGGGGTCCCATTGAAGGTGGAAAACAGCAATAAAGAAAGCCCAAATGGTTGAACAAGTGACCCTTTTTTGTGTAGATAACAATTAATATTTACTTTGAAATGGTTCCTCCAAAATCTTCCAGGAACTCTAGCTTCCTCTGTGACATCTTAACTTTGGTTTCTAAGGGAAAATTTTCACACTCTAGGATCATAGAAAACACTTCTGTGATCTTCTCCTCCTCAACTGGATAGCTCTGGTACTCCAGATCAATAAGTTGGAGGTACAACTTTAGGTTACCCTGTATAGCAAAACATCCAGTTGAATTTACAATTTTTATCACAATTTCAAAATGAACACTTTCCATCAGAGAAAAAATGAATGTAATTATTATGGATAAAATTACTTAAGAATTTTTGAAACCAACAATTTATACACGTTTGTGTTTCTATAGAGAGGTACTCTGACCAATCCCTACAATTAAACCACATCCAATACTCAGGAACTGATATCCTCACTATATCACTCTTTCCATACATTCACTACCCTCACAGGTTGTCACATACTGCTATAAACCACTCATATATTTGTTATCAAAAATAAATAAAAATTTGTGCTGACAAGTAATTCAATGTTTCTTGTAAACTTACCTTGTCTTTCTCTAGGGCATCAGATAGTACTTTCCTGGCTTGTTCTCGCTCTCCACAAATCTGATTTAACAGATAGTTTTCATGTCAATAAGTTTAAATATTAGATATTGTTGTAACCCAAGTTCAACAAAACAAAAGCTCTAGTAAATATAAGACAATATTACTGACAAAGTGAAGACTCAAACATCATGACAAACTATTTCCTATCTAGTTTTTCGTAAATCTTAACAAGTTAATTCCAAACATTTTTGAGAAATTTATGGTTTGGTCCCCAAGATATATATATACAAGTAGGGCTATTGTTTATCCCTTAAGTAGGGCTATTGTTTATCCCCTATCAGTTGCAGGTACAACATATTGTATTATCAACATACTCTGCATTGTTAACATGTAACCAACGTTACCATGCATATCAACATATTAATCAAGTTTATACATACAATTCGGAACATTAACAATTTGAAACAAGTCTGATTTGTCATGGGTACTGAAGTCTAAAAGAAATCATACCTACTTCAGAAATTACAGATTTTAGCCATGGGATAAAACCTTATGTAACAAATTTTGAGAGGTGCTACTGTATGAGATATTCAAAGTCTGAAAATTTTCTCCATGTTCTGCATATAATTAACATTTGTTTTTAAGAAAGGCACTTTAAAAATTCTTACCTTGAAGAGATAACGAGCATACTTTATTGAGAAGTAGGAGCCTATTTCTGGCTGTGAAGCATTCTCTATGTATTCACGGAACAGAGCCTCAGCATCTTCCTTACTTCCAGTTCTCCTCTCTAGACTGATCCTTCTCATAGAAACCATCACTAGGCCAGGCACAGCTTTGTCTAGATTAGCTAGAATCTCCCAGGCAGCAGAGTGGTTTTCTATATTAAGTGAAAGATAAAACCTATGTTATGTTAGTAAATATTATCAGACCGAGTGCTGTTGATACATCTACATCATTAAATTAAGGACACTTCTCTGCAGGTTAACACGAAAAATTCAACAATAATGGACACATCCCTGCAAGTAAAGCAGAAAAAATCAACAATAATGGATATTTCTCTGCAGGTAAAAAAAGAAAATCTCATATATATAAATATGTATGTGATAAATCTCCCTCTAAATACTTTTCTGATGGGTCTTCATACAGGTATTACCCCTATATATATGAAAAATCTTCAAAAAGTTATCCCCTTTCTGGATAGTCATAAACAATACCATATGTATCCTTCTAATATGATCCTGAAGGCTGTCATTTAATTTATACACATATTTATTCCTAGACTGCTTACCTTGTCGCTCTTCAAATGCTGCCCAAGCAAGGTGGATGTAAGGCTTCTTTGGTAGGTGTATTTTACAGGCTCTTGTGTAGACATTGCGCACACCATTTGCTCCATGGTCCTCCATGTACTTCGCATACTAGGGAAATATTTGTATTTATTTTAGTAAATATCCAGAAAATCTCTTTAAGATATAAATGCCCTGCTTCAATGCCTCCCAAAATTTGATCATGTGTAGAACTTGATATAATAATATTGTGTTGCAAATATGAAACTCTATTGTTTAAGGGTGATCTTAACAATTCTGATGATAGGGGGCTAAAGAAAACTTTTGAATACCTTCATCCAGAAATCTTCGTAGAGAGCACTTGCAATCATGCAACGTTCAAATAATGTCACAACCCTCTTGTAATCCCCATTCTGCATTTCATAATCCAAATACTCCCTCCAGTTTTTCAACTGAGAACGCTCTAATGGTTTTACATGGAAGTATGGTCTTTTTATCTGCAAATAAACATAAATGTTGCATCACATCACATATTATGATTTCTGTAGTAATATATAAAATACACAATAAAATGTTCCAATTACAGATGGTAGTGTTTAGAAAATAAAACCAAGAATCCTGAAAACAAATATTTTACACTTTACTACAATAAATTTGTAAAGAATGACTTTTGACTTTTTTTCAATTAACAACCCCCCACCTCCCCTTTTTAGAATGATTATCATTCATTTACTTACTTTAGGTAGAGAGAAAATTTCTCCAGTTCAGTGATAATTGTGATGATCTAAAGAATTTAAAAACAAATGTTTGGACTAACAACTTATTACTACTTTTCCCAACAGTATGGATTATATACCTGTCTGTAGAGTTTAGGTTTGCTATCTTTGTAAGAGTACCAACACCAAGAAGGACTATTAAGATTTTCCCCTTAACACTTACTGCTTCCTCATAATTCCAGCGCTTGCTGACTTCTTCTTCCGTCTTCTTGAATGTTTCCTCTTGAATCTGTATGATTCTCTCCTTTATCTTGTTGATTTCTGCTTCATCTCCCTAATGAAAATTAAAACATAATATATTTGATAGTGTTGCTTCATTCAACATTGTTTCTGTTGTTGCAGTAGTAACTTGTGAAATTTTCAAGGCTATAGACAAATCATGAAAACTTTAGACAAAAGAATGATCTTCATTGCTAGGAGGCATCCAATGAAAGTATTAACAGATGCCTTAAGTTTAAACAAAAGAAAAAAGGCAGGACAAAAAAGATTTTTACTACAATTAAGGCTACAACTGTACAACTATCATTGAAGAGATAGTATAGCTTGTTACTTTAGAATATTTTTACCTTTCCTCCTACCGTCTCCATACCCGGGGGCACATCCTCTTCCCCAGGAGGGGCTACATCTCCAGGAGATATATTATCTTCATCTTCCTCATCAGGGGATGCAGACTTGGCAACAACATCTTGTCGGAGCTTCAGGAAGTCATCAAGGCTCAAAATTTCTTTAGGATTATGCATGTAAATATGCTGTTTGAAGCTGGAATGTGAAGTAAAGAATATATTATGTAAAATGATCTCTGATTCAAGTGGAATGCATTTTTTCCGTCCCATTCTTTTGGTGTTCACATCAAATGCAGATCTTCAAAATAGTCTCTTTATCAATCCAAATGTTTCGAACACTGTTGTGAAAAAGAATGATAAAAATCAAATACAATTGAGCAGTATGAGCCTATGGATTATAGAAAGTTCTACTAACATGCACTGTATTTTTTCTATCATTTTCAAAGATTTCCCCTCTAAGAATAGGTAGTCTGGACAAAGCGTTAACTATATACTCTCCTCAGGTTGAAATTTCACTGTCATCATTATATCAACAAGAGAGATTTTATTATTCCCTGATAATTCTACTACATAAAAGAAATCATTGGTTGCAAAGAAGATTGTAGAAACTGTTTATCATAGAAGAGAGGTTGTAGCCAGGAGAACCTACTTGTCAAAGTGATGACTGTAGAGTTGTGTGGGTATAGCCAGTAATCGCATGTACAGCTTTGTCACACGCTCTAGATCCTTCTCCCAGGAAATGTACGAATCCCACAGCTTGTCTGACCGAAAGTCATGGCCTGCTGCTTGTATGGCTCTCTCATATAACCTAGAATGGACAAATATTAATGAAAACAGGCTGAAAAATAGGTCTTTCTTTTCTTACTATTTACCACCTGTACTTAAAAAGGCAATGAAATTCTTAAAAGAAAAACACAGACTTTGTTAGCATATACCATCATGATCTCTTACATTAAACAGATCCAAATTTCTAATTCTGTCCCACTTTGACTTTTAAAAAAATTTACAGTGGCAAAAAAATCTGTTTAACGTATTCAGTAACACTATTCATGAAGAGGTGACAAAAGTCAATTTGATATTTTTTGAAGGGGTTCTTCTGAATTCTAAAATTCCATTAAAATTTTTATGTTTTTTTTTTTTAAATTAGAAATCCGACATAGTTATTCAAAACTCTATTTTAGTTTTGAATGTAACCAAATTATTTGCATTTCTGAAAAACAGATTAAACTGTAAACTTTCGAAATTTGTGGTGGAAGTTAACGCCGATGTAACACTTGACTTACTTCACTTCTTACAACTAAATTTAATTTAAACTTGTTTCAATTGGAACTCACTTCCTAATGTCAGATTCACCCTGTTCTGTGCTGGTGTATTCTCCTATGTAAAAGTTGATATAATGTAGCCACAATTCTATACTCAGTGGGATTGCTTCAACACCTTTGTCAAACACCTGCCGAGGAAAAAGGGTGGAAAATTAGTACATGATTACTCCCCTTGTTTTAAATCCAAATCTAATCCGGCATCACATTCAACATCAAATATACAAGACCAACAGTGATTCGCGGCATTACCATCGGAAAAAAATTCCTGTGCAAGTCAACGCGATGTACAAACTTTTGTGTTTCTCTTCTGCTGTGCTGACCATGTGTCCCCTTCTAGGTGATGTCTTGGGTTCCTAGCTTGGGATGAGCAACTAGGAAGAGATTGTAAGATCCCTCATGAACAAAGGGCCAAGAACATTTGGGAAAATTTAAGCAATCATTTCCCATCAGCTTAGACATTAGAGACAAAGTCAAGGTTACTCAATTTCTGCAAAGAAAAACATTTTATCACTGACAAAGGTTTCCTTTTATAGCCCAAACAATCTTGATTTTAATACCTTGCCTTCAGTTTCTGACCCTTTGAATACAATCATGAAGTCAATCACTTATATCTCTGTTGTAAATATACCTAATCAATCATTTCATAGCAAAATATTTTTTGAAAAGGTAATATTTTTTTCTGTTTATTTTTAAAATCTGAATTTACAGAAGTGTAAAAGATGTATTTGAACAAGTGCTAGAAGACAAGATATCAAAATGACAAGATGTAATTTTCCTCCAAATCTCCAAAATTGTTTATGAAAAAAAGTTATGCACATCAGTTAAGCACCAACAATGATATACAAGCTGTATATGAATACATCCTACATTCCATCAGTTTTACAATGGCCGTATCAATCAATATATATTAGAACTCTGCTGAGAGGTCACATGACTTGGCTGTAAATAAAGAGATGGTCTTACCTGTTAATATCAGGAACAAATGTAACTAAAATATGAACCATCATTTACTCTATAATGTTGATGAGTCATGATATATACAACTTAAAATAGAAAGAAGACCACTTTCCCAACATGGCCCCATCTTAAAGTATTCTATAAAATATATATATTTCAAGCTTCATTTGGCTGGTATCACATGCATGGCAAATGACTCTGTATCCAATATACTTACTCCATGACAAGCAGTCATTCACAAATTTTCAAAATTTGAGGATACAAAATATGAACACTGGTTCCTGAACACGCCACACATGAAAGCAGATTTTTTTCACGTTTTGATAATCCAGACAGTGAAAAATCATAATCACATTTGATTTTCATAATAATTTTACACCTCCTTGTCAAACTTAAGATTAAAACATAATTCATTCCAACCCAGCTGCTGGGTCATTAGATTGCATGAAATGGAAATTAGAAAACACAAGGCAATAAAATTTCAAAACTGTCACACACTCAATAAACAGGGATCTGGAATATGACCAGCTTCTGTTTTGAAAACAGTCCTGTTTCTCTGATCAGTCTTTTTTAAAAATCATTTCTGTATTTATTTCAAAATGATAAAAAAAATAAAACAAAACAAAATGAAAAAAGGTTAAATATATGTTTAGCCAAAGAAGGCTTATCCACATGGCTTTGTTCTTTTCACCAGAGCAATTTCCACAGACAGAGAGATAAATGCAGTTTCCCTTTACTTCAAACAATAAAAATAGATTACAATATAGTACTGAGAGAGTCCTTGCACCTCATTAATATTTTTTTAAATAGAAAAATTGGTCTATTTCAGTGCTTAAAGAAAACTGAAAATCACTTCCTTGTGGCAAGTGTGCCTTGAATTCAAGACTATGAAATCACGAAAAAGAGCACCAATCAATATGTTGCTTATATGGTTAATGGAACATTTCCAAAGTAAATGAAATTATCTTTCACATCTCATAAATAATTGAAGTGAAAAATCTTGCACAACAAAAGTGATTTACAGTGATCTTTTCCATTGAAATGTTTTACAACTGAAACATTGAACTGTACCTCTGTTGCTTTTTCGACATTACCATGTCTCTTTTCCATGTCCGCATACTTTTTCCAATACCCATAACAGTACGGATAGTGATCAAAAAATGCATCATATGCCTCTCTTGCTGCCTCAATTTGATTCTGAAATGATAAAAGTACAATTTTGCTTTTCATTTTATTCCACAACTAGCTGATTGCAGCACAATATTAGAGAACCTGCTCAGCTAACCTTAAACATGAATTTGATTTATAAGTACGGCTGCAACAATTTTCTAAATAAATAATACATTATCTATACAAGTAATTTTTGACAACAATAGCTCTTCTGACCTAATGTTACATTTCTTATTGTATATAACATTTTTGTTATGTTGTAATCAATTAATAAATAATTGATTCTTTTCAAAAATACAGTGCTTGAACAAGAGCTGATAGATGTGTAAACAATCACTATTTATACCAAACAAAGTATTTATTACACACACATATTTTGTATGGCACAAATGTTTTGAACTCCATTATCAAAGTGTTTACTTTCTAAATATTACAAAAACAAGTATTGGAAGACATGTCATGAGATAACATTTTCTGATCATATTTACTAGTTATATTGTGCATGTTTTTGTTACTGCTGTTTTGCAACTTCTTGGTTTGATAAAGAATTTGGGAAATTTCTCATCAGTCAAACCAGACCAATGGGTTGTTAGTTAAAACTGTAGTAGCAATGGGAACAGGGTATTTTTTATTACCCCTCCCTGATCTTTTAGCATGTTTCTACCATTTTGCTGAATGAATTAATCTCTTGTTAAAAAGGATATCAAATTGATTTCCATTTCGATCATGAAATTTCTTAAACTTTTCTGAAAATAAAATGAAAATTCTCAGAATTCACATGACTTGAAATGTAAATTAATATATACAAGTTTATTTCTGAAAAAAACTGTATCCACCTCTTGTTCTACATATTGAAGAAGGTAAGTCCATCCTGTGAAATCTGATGAATTGTCCCTCACAGCTTTCCAGTATTTTTCAAGCTCAGTGTTCATGGCAGCAACTTCGACAGGCGTCTCTTTGGCAGGTTCTTCTGCATTTGGAGCATCTTCTTCAGTTTCCTGTTTGTCTGTAACTTCTGTCATAATGAAAACCGAGTTGTTAAATGCACAAACATTTATCAGAATTCGTCAAAACAGGTCATGCTACGTGTAAAAACATCAGTTTTGCATTGCATAAACAAACTCAAAACGAAATGGCATTTCTTATATTTGATGGAATTATGTATATTACCTTAAGGAGCAGTCCTTTTATCTTGTCAAAACGAATACAACGAGAAAACTTTTAATATAATCTATGCCCAATGTTTAACAAGAGGTTCCATAACGCTACCCTTTCCAGACTGCTGATTAGAAGAAAATAAACGCATATAATTAATGCATGTGAGAAAATTACTATCTGGCATGAAAATATGACACTGGGAAAATAAAAAGAGCGTTTGATGTATATTTCCAACGATAAGATTACAATAGGATTACCTTGATTGTCTTTCACGTCTGCCATTTCGTCCTACTTCCAACTTTGTCACATCAATATTTCAATGCATTCTGGGAAATCCGGAAGTAAACAAGTCATGTGCTAGGGAGGGTTCTATAACGATTTCGACATGGGCCTCGGTAATATTCTTGTTCTGTCTCAAGTGACGACTTATTTTGTTTCGTTCATAGTGGCGTTTGTGTTATTCATACCTGTAGCTGTTAATGTAAACGAATTTGATGGACATTGTCTTCTTTACGCCGAAGGAAAATGGGTGAGCAGAATCAATTCGTCTCAAATGGAGCTGGAAAATGTCGTCTGGGGTCCCTCCAGTGCATGTGGCTTCAACATCTTCATGGGTGTTGTTGTCATGTTGATATCTATGTTCTACACTGTATGGGAATCTGCGTATCTGATTAAAGACACCGACAGGTAACGGTTTATTTTGAAACGTATTTATTTTCCTTGTCTACTGAAAATGTTCGATTCCTTTTTCTACTTTCATTTTCGAAGTTGTAACATACTAAACATGTTCCCACACAATCTAGTCTACTTGTCAGCTGAGCAGATGAAGTAGACAAGAAAAAGGCTGAATTAGATATAGAAAAATGACATGATATTTCATTGATGCATAATATGAAACCATTGAGAGGTTTCTGATTTAATCTGTCTGCTATGAAAAACTTGTGTTTTGTGAACGGTCAAGGTAATTTTAAGGCCTGTTGCTACTACAATGAATAACAGGGGGGAGGACCATCACATGCCTTCCAATGCAGTCAAGGTTAGTGTCTTGTACAAGAAACAACCAAGTCAGTACAAACTGGTCCATTTCTTAGCTTCTAATCTGAATTATTCTGACATCCTGTCAACTTTGATATATTGGCTTTGAGTTCACTCAAAGCTGATATATATATATATACATTGATAGAATGTCAGAATAATTTGGACTACTCAGTTTCCTGAGAAAAATAATCTGCCACAAGGAGCTTTAAACCATGCTCATCGGATCTCAAAACTTTATCCATTTGATGCAGTTTGTACATAAAGCAGCTAAAAATGTGAAGGATTCAAGCCTATTTGATTTTGTTACCAAACAAGTGAATATTGATGTGTTTCAGTTCATGGCTGGATGCCTTTGTGACTGCGATCTTGTCATTGGTGATTTTTCTGATGTTGTTTGCCTCCTCTCTCACACTTAGTGTTGGATTTAACATCTGGTGTACGTTACTGACTACGCCACCATCAGACATTCTCCAGTAAGTATAAATCTAAGGCAGAAATATCCAAAGTCTGTCTATGTGTCCAATTTCTGTCCAATGCTTGTCTGTCTGTCCAAAGCTGTCTATTTGTGCAGAGACTGTTGTTGTGTATTGGGGTGTTGGGTAGGTAAGTTGGCATGACCCACGGGTCCAGGGGACGCAACTCCAATTTTGGAACTCTTTTCTATTGAGGTTAATAAAGTTAGTTGATGGGAAAAAAACGTGGCTGATGGGTTGTTTGTGGCAGGCTGTACCATTTCACCACCGATATTATAATTCCCCCAGCTCACAGCGACAACATGGTGGAGAATCCTAATTTACCAGAATGTTTTCTCAATCGATAAGCGTGAATATATGCATGAAGTGTTGTATTTATCTGTATCAAATGAACTTTGAGCCTTTGACAAACTGCGCCACGCCGACCTATTTCGAGCCATACCAGTCACGTGATCAGACAGCCCCATCACTCAATGTCGCCATTTATTTTTTGTGACATTTTCATGGGAATCTAAGGGACACTCAGAATGAACATTCCAGGTCGTAATTTGCCCCAGAACCCTACTCCAAACTGTTCTAGTACCCCGTTTCATCGCGATCGTGTCTTGTTGGGTCCTACATCCATGGACGATTTACATTCCCTCCGGGATAGAGGTGGTGATGAAGCGTACACGACCCTTGATAGGACTGGTTATTCTATGCCAGGTGATCATCATTTTATGGGTCAACAAGCTACTCAACGACCTGTTTCAAGTCCCCATCTTGCCATTCTTGAGGACCCTTCGTCTGGAAAGTCTCTCCGTGGTGCCATTCATCTGGATCGCCTGAAAATGGCCCATGTCCGTAGACCAAACCCTCATTTTTTTTTTCTGGATGAAGTTACTACGTCACACGCATGTGCTTCTGTACATGAACCAGTGTCACTCGAGGACCCTGGGTTGGACACCAGTCATTCTGAAAACGAGGCAGAGACAGCTCTTACAAGTGACAATGTGGATAATGCACCTTTACCTACGCGTCCTCAACGTGTTCGGAAATTACCTCTACGATACCGTGATTCAGATCATGTTGACCCACACCAAGTTAATTCTTCAATCTCTAGCTCTCTCTCCTCAGATGACCAAGGACATGTAAAGGTCAAGAGAGTGTTGGCACAGAGGGTCTCTGATGGAAAGTATCTTGTCCACCTTGTCGGTGAGCCTGCTCAGCACTCCATCTGGGTTCCTCTACACAAAATGGATATCAAAACCAAGCGTAATATTGAGTGTAAACCACCTCCAGTTATTCGCTAGATACCACAAATGCACATGTCAAACTGACTAGCATATATTTAGAGACATAATTAACATTTTGCTAGTTTTCTTCAGTGTGTATAACATATACTTGTTGATTTTCCTACAGTCAATTTGCTTTGCTATGTATCATACTTTATTAAGATGTTTTATGATGTTCAGTATGACTATATTTTGATAAGCCCTAATTTCTTGGTAACTCTTATGACTGGGTGATTCATCCTTAAAATTTAGGATTCAATACACATAGAATCATGGGTCAGGTATCCTTAAAATTTATTTTTTTTAGTTGGTTATCCTTAAAGATATATAGTCATTTAGTATTTTGAGTGGTGATCCTTAAAATAGTTGTTTCTTGTTTTTTTAATGTCAAATTTGCCTTTTGAGATTACATGCCTATGTAATATGTAAAATATAATGTATTATAAGTTTCAAATTCATGATTCAAAATTGTTTCATCAAATTTCAATTTACAGTACAGATAACATTTGGTTATCAAATAATTACCTGGGTATTATTCTTTTTCTTGACTTTACTTGCTTGTCTTTCTTGTGTCAGGTTTGATTTTTCAATAATTACCTGAGACAGTATGAAATATTTGTACATAAAATGCTTTATATTCATTCCTTCTGTTATGGAATAATTTTCATTGATTGAATTATTCAAATTTCAATAACTGTAATGTGTGATGGAATTCATGGATGAAAAACACATGGATACAATTTTCGAGTCTCGTAACTTACCTAAACTTTGCTTATAAGCTTGTATTGATTGATATAACTCAATGTTTTGACATTGTTTGAGGTCAAGGCCTTGCTGAATTAATGTGAAATTATGAAATGTCTGAAGTTACAATTTAAGTCATATAACTGCAAGTGTTTGCTAAGTTTGTGATTAATTGAATATAGCCACAGCGAGCTTGATAGACTGTATTTTCATCATTTGAATGATATAAGAATTTACATATGCTCATATGATTGGCTGATATTAATCAAGTATAGTGCCCATATGCCTTGCATGTTTACTTGTGATTTACAACTTCATGATATACATTCATTATTCAATGTAATATTTCCATGTTTAGAACAGTTGCTTTGTTAAAAAGTGTTATTACTTTTCAATTATCAAATATAAATTGACTTCTGTTTGTACTTTGCCATGATATCTGGATTTCCTATACATTTTCTAATCTTTTTTTAAAAAAAAAAAAAAAAAAAACCTAGCAGTTTGCTTACATTAGCCCTCATTAACATTATTTCCTGTAAGTTAGAGTGTAAGAAAGTTCCAATTGGTACCATGGAAAATGTTAGTGTGTGTGAATGTGATGGAAATTATGTTGGTGATGCATATTTGGTAGTCGATGAATCTTTAATACTCATATGTACTTGAGGACTTCCGGGTGTCATGTCTCAGTTCATTTCCTGAACCACTCTTTTGAAAATAAAATATTATGTAAATTTTTGTTCGAACCTGGATCCTGTATTTCATGTCACTTCCTACCCATGTAAAAATTGTGCCAATTTTTATTTTTGAGGGGGGGGCATGTTGTGTATTGGGGTGTTGGGTAGGTAAGTTGGCATGACCCACGGGTCCAGGGGACGCAACTCCAATTTTGGAACTCTTTTCTATTGAGGTTAATAAAGTTAGTTGATGGAAAAAAAAAAAACGTGGCTGATGGGTTGTTTGTGGCAGGCTGTACCATTTCACCACCGATATTATAATTCCCCCAGCTCACAGTGACAACACTGTTTACCTGTTCAATGTCTATCTGTACAAAGATTGTCAATTTATACAAACTCTTTAATGTAAAATTTTTGTGGATTTTTTTTTATTCGGCATTGACTTCATTGTTACTCTCAGTTCATGAAGTCATAGTATCAAAAAGTTAAGATAAGCATACATACATTTATGGAGCTATATTTTTCCACAAAATCAAGTTCCTATGAAAAAGCAATCTTTTGAAAAACCGCTAAAATTGAACTCCTTGAAAACATATGATATATATGATTTTATATATTTGTCCAATGTCTGCATGCATTTATGTACAAAGTCTATCTTTCTGTCTGAAGTGTTACTGCCATGTTTATAATGATGAAATTTTCTATCTACTTGACATCTGTCTGTCTGTCCAACGTGTTACTGCCAACTTTATACGGACGACAACTGAAATTTTCTATCTACTTGACATCTGTCTGTCTGTCCAATGTGTTACTGCCAACTTTATACGGATGACAGCTGAAATTTTGTCTATTTGACATCTGAAATTTAATAACTGACTTCCAGTTGTCAGCCAAAAAAAACCAGAAATGGATAATAACCTGTGATGATGGGTATATATATATATATAGAAGGGCAGGAGAGAGTTTATTAACACCTGCCTTTACCTGTTTGATTTGTCATCCTGAACAATTTTAGTTCACCTGGCCCAAACAACTTCTTTTCAATAACCAAACCTATAATCATTATATTTGGCAAATAAGTTCCTGGGATGAAGTCAGAAAAATTTTGTGAGAAAAATTGACTTTGACCGGTATTTGAGGTCACAGAAGTCAAATTTGTGAAAAACTTGAAGTGAGCTCTATTCAGTAACCAGATGCCCTAGATTTATCGCATTTGGCTGTAAGGTTCTTGACATGAAGCCCAACATGGTTCACAAAAAGAAATGACCTTGGCTCATATATCTCAATTCACAGAGGTCAAATTTGTTAAAGAATGAAGATGACTTTTTCTCATTAACTGAGATTTGAATGTCAATGATGTGAAATGTTAATCTATTTGTGAATAGCATATTGAATATCAGCTGATCAATGCAGGCTCATTGGACCATGATTCTTAATGGTTGGTGATACAGCTTCTGGGTGAAAAGACAGTAATCAATCTTAGTAGTCTAAATTACTTTAATTTTTTCTGCAGGTGCGAGTTTGGAGATTACATCCAGTTTACAGACAAAAGTACACAAGTGGATACACGAAATTTTTACACAGAAATGACTCTGGCACAGGTAGTTATATGTATTTCACACATTGTAATGGGACATGGTAACACACAAACCTGATAATAATCTACCAGTATATGATTTACCAGTGATACTTTTATTTTCACTGACGAAGGTAATACCAGGTAGGATCAAGACACAAGCAATGTTTAATTGATAAATTACAGATTTTCTGTCTCTGTGACTCTTCATATAGCTAAAGGTTGTCTCGGCAGCAAACGCCAGTGTTCTGATGTGGTGGGCGGGGGACCTCCAACTCTGTAAACTCAGTAAACCATCTTTACTGATGTCTGGATATTTAATAATTTTTGGGAATAGTTCTGGTTCTAATGATGCCTTAACCAAACAATGGCATCTGAGTTTATTTTCATCAAAGCTTGATAATTAGACGAAATGATCAACAACTTGATGATGTAATTAATAACCATCTCTTTTTGTGTATTTTTTCCAGTTTGGTGGTTGGATGTTATGGATTTGCTGGCTGTTATTGACAATTTTTGCCTTTTTGAAAGTGTTCCGGTATCATCAACAAGAAACATTTACAACAAGCATGAATCGAGAGAGACAGCGTTTACTTCAGAGGGTTGGACATCAGACACCAGTAGTATTGTAGACATCAGCAAAACATGAACAGCATTCAGTAGATGTTGATTACAGAGAGCAAAACATCTGATACAAGAAGTTACAGGATGGTCTCTGAAACATTTACAACAAGCTTGAATAGAGGAAGGCCAAGTATACTGAAGAAAAGAATCAGAGGCTGCTATCAAAATAGGTGTTGTATAATCACTGACAGTGATGGGGCCTCTCATTTTCTGATTACATGTACCACCGAAACATTCCCCTAGAGGGAAGGAAATTTGGTGATGGTTACCAGTGTCAAAATAAGTTTTATTAGATATGTGTTCATTCCAACTTACTGGAAATAGTTTAACAAGAAGCAATTGAGGTTTTTGAAATAGTTAATTCTAGTTTTAGAAATATTTAATTCTAGTTTTAGAATGCTGAAGAAAGTGTTCATTTTTCTTTGGAATTAAAAATAGTTATGTTTGTAATTGAATACTATATTCCCAAGATTTCTGAGAATTGCCTTTAAGTGCATGAATTCTTCATTCAATCAAATTGGTCAGACTGACTAGATGTGAATGAGGCAGCTATATTTAGCCTTTTTATCCCATTATGTTTTTGATATTTACAATGAAATTCAATCAAACTCACCGTGTTACTACTAATGCTCCACAATTTTGCACACTCTTCCCTTTGTTGACATTTTTGATACAAATGGGCACTGTTCTAAATAAAGCTGGAGATCACACGTTTTTCAGAAAGTGTTTCCTCGTCAAGCTGGAAACTAAGAAAACAGGAGTAAAGTTTTTAGAGCAATGCCTGTTTATGTGGAAAAATTGAAAGTTCGCCTAGAATTCATTATGTTGGCAGTGACCGTGTTTAACTCAGAAGTCAGGGACTTGGAAACAGGACAATGGATGTACATTGGTTGTTATTGTAATGAACATCTATAGTCATGGGTGAGCTAGTTAGATAAATAGGGTACATTTCTGTGCATGGTTTTGTACTTATGTATCTTATAAAGAAATAACATTGATAATTCTCCACAAGTTATATAGTCAAGTACATCAATGTGTTAAGTATTAAATTATACCATTATGATGTTCACTTCTAAGAATTCTCAAACTTTTCTTGCATAATATGAGCTTGAAAATTTACACTGAATATTATGTAAACTGTCAATATAGAATCTCAAACTTGGAGGTGATTTAAATGTTTTGTAGAAGCCTGTCTAGTTTACTTTAACGTAGACTGCCATGCGACTTGCTTTGATCTGTGAAACAGTAATATTCTAAAAGTAGAATGGAGCACCAAGGATTCCGTGGTTTTTGAGATTAATGTTGATATGTTTCATATGGCTAGGCCATCCATCATCAGAACAAGTATTAGTTTATGTGTGTTCAATGACTATAATTTGTTAGTAAATTGTAATGCTGCAGGTTTTCACATATTTTAATGGTTTGTAGCTAATTCTAAAACTCATGATAATATACCTCTTTTTAAGCTTATCAGAACTATTTACACTGAATACAATTTTTTGGTTTGAGAAAGATAAAACTGACAGAAGGTACAATTACCATACAATTATATATTTTCTGTTGTTAATTTTTGTTCTTTTTCATTTTGCTCCAGTTTTAAGAGTGTTCCAGAACATACATCTTTTCATCCTATTTTCCCTTAAGGTATAAAATTGTTGCAACAGCTTGATGTTTTCAAGGTAAAAATGGAGTATTCGATAGATCATTTACAGAGGGAGGGATTTTTTCCTTGCATTTCTTTGACATGTTATATTTTCAAGATATTTAATATAATTATTCTTGAAGTTATTATATTTGTTAATTACATTCTAGATTGCTGAACTGTATTTTTATTCATGGATTTCAACTTCTGGAGTTAGGATCAAATTGAAGAAATAAAGGGAATAGATTTGTTGTGTGATTATATAGATTTTATAAAAATTGGTCTTACAATTATCTTACCTAACAAACATCCAGTTTATAGATGGACTAATAGGATTAAGTTTGAAGCAAAGTTGTTTTTTTTTCTTGCTGAAGTGAATAGACAATTACAGTATAATTATGTTCATTGGTGTTATTGTCAAGATGACTTCTTACCAAGGTATCTTTACTGTCAAGGTATCTGTTGTCAAAGTATTTATTGTCTAGGTAACTGTTGTCAAGATATCTGCCGTTAGGGTATCTTGTTGTCAAGGTATCTCTACTGTCAAGGTATCTGTTGTCAAGGTATCTTGTTGTTAAGGTATCTGTTGTCAAGGTATCTGCCGTTAGGGTATCTTGTTTTCAAGGTATCTCTACTGTCAAGGTATCTGTTGTCAAGGTATCTCTACTGTCAAGGTATCTGTTGTCAAGGTATCTTGTTGTCTCTGTATCTGTTGTCAAGGTATCTCTACTGTCAAAGTAGTTATTGTCAAGGTATCTGTTGTCTAGGTAACTACTGTCAAGGTATCTGTTGTCCAGGTATCTATTGTCAAGGTATCTGTTGTCAAGGTATCTATTGTCAATGTATCTGTTGTCAAGGTATCTATTGTCAAAGTAGTTATTGTCAAGGTATCTGTTGTCAAGGTATCTGATGTCAAGTTATCTATTGTCAAAGTAGTTATTGTCAAGGTATCTGTTGTCTAGGTAACTACTGTCAAGGTATCTGTTGTACAGGTATCTATTGTCAAAGTATCTGTTGTCAAGGTATCTATTGTCAAGGTATCTGTTGTCCAGGTATCTATTGTCAAGGTATCTGTTGTCAAGGTATCTATTGTCTAGGTATCTGTCATGAAGGTATCTGATGTCAAGTTATCTATTGTCAAAGTAGTTATTGTCAAGGTATCTGTTGTCTAGGTAACTACTGTCAAGGTATCTGTTGTACAGGTATCTATTGTCAAAGTATCTGTTGTCAAGGTATCTATTGTCTAGGTATCTGTCATGAAGGTATCTGATGTCAAGTTATCTATTGTCAAAGTATCTGTTGTCAAGGTATCTGTTGTCAAGGTATCTATTGTCTAGGTATCTGTCATGAAGGTATCTGATGTCAAGTTATCTATTGTCAAAGTATCTGTTGTCAAGGTATCTGTTGTCAAGATAATTATTGTCCATATATCTATTGTCAAAGTATCTATTTTCAAAGTGTTTATTGTCTAGGTTACTGTTGTCAAGGTATCTGCCATTAGGGTATCTTGTTGTCAAGGTATCTCTACTGTCAAAGTAGTTATTGCCAAGATATCTATTGTCAAAGTATCTGTTGTCAAAGTATCTATTGTCAAAGTATCTGTTGTCAAGGTATCTCTACTGTCAAAGCAGTTATTGCCAAGATATCTATTGTCAAAGTATCTGTTGTCTACTGTCAAAGTAGTTATTGCCAAGATATCTATTGGCAAAGTATCTGTTGTCAAGGTAGTTATTGTCTAGGTATCTGTTGTCAAGGTATCTGTTGGCAAGCTATCTGTTTTCAAGGTATCTGTTGTCAAGGTATCTGTTGGCAAGCTATCTGTTGTCAAGTATCTGTCATGAAGGTATCTGTTGTCAAGGTATCTGTCATGAAGGTATCTGTTGTCAAGGTATCTGTCATGAAGGTATCTGTTGTCAAGGTATCTGATGCCTGCGATCTTATTCCATCCTTAGAATAGTGTATTATGGATTTCCTCACTAACAAGTGATGGATTCTGCGACAGATGGAATTAGAAGTTATACAATAAATGATGTTTCGATGGACTCCCAGGGTAGATGACACTAAACAGATACAAATGATTTTATAAAGTTTCTGATCTTTATTACTGTACTTATGATTGACGTATAAACCCACAGGTTTGGATGTACTGATTCTGGTCTCGTGGTACTGTAATAGTGTATGTATAAGATTAACAGTATGGAGCTATAGTTGTATTAATTGTCTATTACAGCTGAATAGTTTACAAGTGTACATTTATATTCTAAAAAGTATATATTTTATTACTTTACTTGATACTTTATAAATATGATAAAATGTAGAGGGTATGTATTACATTTGCATTTAAAATGATTAAGTAATATCAGAAATTTTCTATAGAAAAGAAAATTTAAATAGTTGATATGAAATAATGTATGATATTAAATATAGGATTTTTTAAAATGTAGGTAATGTAATTATCTTGTATGTTATTTATGCTTATAAATTATTCTTTTGTTTTTGTTTCCCTTTTATTAAAAAAAACACCTTCTTTGTTTATTTCGCATGATTCTCTCTGAAGAACTGAAGAAATAGTTCTACTGTTATGTCAGCTTGTTGATTGTTTTTGTCTTAAAAGACCATTATTTTATAACTTTAATGAACAAAATATTATCAAAACAAAGTTATGGTAACTATATAATTTCTGTTTTTAGCGGGATGACAGTGTTTACTGTTCTCATTGTGGGATATAACATGGAAAATACCTGTATAGTTGTACAGTTTTGGCCTTAAAGGTGATTGATGAATCACCCAGCCATAGTTTCAAGTATTATACCACCCAACTACTGGAACATGTTGCTTCAATGTCATAGTGTTCTTTGTATGACATAGTTATGTGCCATAATGGGTTTTCATATTATTGATGCTTTGGTTATAAATTTAGTTATATCAAATAAAAGAAATTTTAATTCTAAAACCAAATTGTGATGTTTGTGTATTATTGTTTATTTTCCAAATAAGGTCTCCTTTAGAAAAGAAATAGGATGATCAAATACTGGTTCTTCTGGTTCCAAATATTCTTGTTTTAAGTAACATCTTGTGGAGACAGCAAGTTGTAGTGTGTAAGTGTCAGCATCCTAATTCTTCACTAACCAAGGGTTCATCTTGTATACTGTCATTGTCCATGCACCACCATCACTGTTTACCTCAGTTATCAAGCCTAGATGTAAGCCTTGATTTGAATGGATGCCTGAAAAGCACAGGTACAATTATTTGAATATTGCTATATCTGTGAAGGTAAATAAATGTATATGAGATGAACCTTTGGTTAGCAAACATGTATAAGAAATATCTTTAAACGCCCTAAAAGTCCTGAGCTTCTTCTCTTGATCAGATGATCAGATTTTCTGAAACGTTTGCAATGAAGTACCAGAAAACGATATGATAACTTTATACATTGTATAAGCAGGCATGTAGACAAGTGATTTTACTGTATTCGAAAAAGGGAATGAATTTGGGGAAGGGGCGGGGGGGCTTGCCCTCTGTGTGAAGTAGGGCGTGGGGGCTTGCCCTCTGTGTGAAGTAGAGGTGGGGGTGGGGGAAGGCAGGGGGGCCCTGTGTGCAGTAGAGGAGGAGGGGGGAGCAAATGATGGAAATAAATTAGGATGATTTGGCAATAACTTGCTTTATTTTGTGATGATGTATTCACTGTTGCATATTTCCGTAAGGCTGAATTTGATCAATGTGGTCCCTTTGTTATTCAAAACCAGCCCAAACCCAAAATAAGTATTCTGTGATTATTACAATCTATATTACATGTTCAGCTTGGCCTCTGAGCCTTTTTCAGAAAGTATTTAATCAAACAGAAATCTTCAGAGTAATCAAAGTCAAAAAGCATTTCACAAGGATGAAATATGGTTAAGTTTATTTAACAAATAAATGACCTAGAGCTTTCTTGATACATGTATCCCAAGGTGGAAATATTTCATAAAATTCTTCATAATAATGTGATTGGGAAGGTCATTATAATGTTGATATCAAGGTGGTATGATGATGATGATGATGATATTTATTAAAATAAAAGACCCTGGTTCATTTTAATTGAGCAAGTTAATATCATGTTTGATATATGATTTACCGCAAGCAAAAATAAAAAAGGGAATCACTGTAATAGATTAAACATCAGTTTATTTCAAATTCTGTAAAATGTCAACTCTTTTCCAATTAAAACATTATAAGCTACAGTCAATACTTACACTAAAAAGCTACAGGGATCGTCTTGATTGCAATAATTGTCAGTTATATCAAGAAAATACTTGTTTATTCAAAATATTATAACCACTCTCAGGATCCAGATTTTAGCTCTCTGTTGGTGCAGTTTGTGGATCTGATACACTGACTGAATGTTATAAGCCACTAAATGTCACACTATACACAAACATTGTCATGAGCCAGATTTTAACTTTCTGTTGGTTCCAGGCACTGGAGTATCTGGGAATTCAATGAGACAGTCAGGTGGCAGCCTCTCTTTCAGTTGTTCAATACATTTAGCTTTGTCACGGATACTTTCCAAATCAAACAGTAAGAGGTATTGTAACTTCCTGAAAAAAAAACCCAAAAACTATGATACTGAACAGGTACAATCAAACATCTTACATCTGGGATGAAAATCCACTTACCGGTGTAAGGATATGTATATATATATACCTGCACTTCCACTTATGTAGTTGTTATAGTTTAATGACATTTGAAGAAGTTGTCAAATGTGACCTTTGACCCTTTTAACCTTTACCTTCTATTACATTGTAGAACTTGATGTTATATTACTACGGGATATATATGAACCAAGTGTGTTATCAATTCCTTTAGGATGTGTGATTTTTGTGGACAGGTGTTAAATACAACTATTGGGTAGGTAACATAAGTTACATAAGAGTAATATTGCATCAACATACCTGAGATCTTCCAGACTGTTTAAGCCGTCCTGTGTGACATGCCTACAGCTGCTGATCTGGAGGTGTTCCAGGGAGTCTCTTAAATAAAACAATGAGGAGACCATCCTATCCGACGCAAATTTACAATTATGTAGAGTAAACCGCTTTACATGCTTGAGTCCACCTGTTTAAAAAAAAATCTTTAGAATCCTTAATTTGCCAGTGGTAAACAATGTATTAATTCAATGAAAACCAGTAGTTAAAGCTAGTTGGTAATAACAGCACTCATTGCAATCAAAACAAAAGATGACAAATTGCTATAAAATTGTTACCATTAGCTAGAAATCTACACAAACAAAATATTGAGTACAATTTCATAAATAATTGCCTAGTAGATCAGTATCATTTCTTCTGAAACATTATACACATATATTTATATAGGAGACTATTAATAGCATGTATCAGAAAAGGATAAGTACTGGGGGTATCACCGTTAAAATGATAAATATATACAAAAGAAATCAAATGTTCACAACAGCATTTGATGAAGATCACGTGTAACTTATAAGTTTTGGTAATGTTGATAGTGAAATATATTTCTATATTTAAACTTAGACAAAGACTAACTAATACTATAAATATACAAAATGGCCACCTGTCAGCCATTTTTATTTTCCCAATTCCACAATCAGTCCTTAAATGAACAGTGCAAACTTAAGGACCAAGGGGAACTAAACAGAACAAGAGGCCCAAGGGGCCTTAATGGTCACTTGAGTCACAGTGCTTTTTGTAACATGTCATAGAAATGATTTTGTTCAAAAAAGCAATATAACTTTAACTGCAGTGTACACATAAAACAAAAGTAAATTGTGTATATATTAACTGCTGTCCCACGCTAAGGCTTCTAAAGAAGTTTCAACCAATAGAAATTAGTCTCAAGATTTGAATTTTCCTATATAGAATCTTCCATCCAGGAACAGTAGAACATCTTTGTAATTTCAGTCAATTTGACCCAGTTTTGGCCTCGCAAAACAGTCTCTTGGGGTCAGTCGAGGTCAGTATGTGCATCTAATTAAACTGTCATCCTAAACTAATAATTCTAACCAGTTTTGAACTGTTTCAAAAAGAAAATAAATAATGTTCAAAAATGTAATTTTCCTATAAACCAGAGTAAACTTCACCTCATCCCCAGGGGGGAAATGTGAGACCCTGAGGTCATGAAATTTACAATTTTGGTAAAGCATCTGAAGGCCTTTCCATCCATGAAGAGTACTTGATTCTACCATATCTGGGATTTGAGAAGAAGATTTTTGAAGTTTCAATCAATTTGACCCTTTTTGACTTGGCCCCTGAGACCCCTGGGGGTTGGGGACCATATAATTTACAATTTTGGATTGCAGTAGGTCAACCTGAGACTTTGTCTCTGCTGATCTAAAAATTGAAAATGATCCAGCCAGTGCTTTTCTAGAAATAGTAAATAATTGTTTTAGAACAAATAGTAGACCATAATTAAAGGATGATTTGAACTGCCCACCATCTGATAAGGAGCTATATGTTAGTATGTCAGCTGGGTCTCGCAGCTTACCTAAGTATCCAAAGCCATTGGAAAGCACAACCGCTTCATCACAAATGATCTCCTCAATTTTCAGTGTCACATTCTGTGGAAGCAAGTTGTAGTCAGTTTCTGTTTGGTGTGGGTTTCCCACCCATCGGACAGCACCACCATTTTTCACTAACCACTCTGCACAGGCTCGGTCAGGTCCTACTTCTTCAATACGATGAGGATACACCCTTAACAGGGAAAAAACAACAGTCACTGTAAGGAAAAGTCTGTGAGCACATTATGCATGTCTCTTGTGACACAGATTGTCATTGTAAGGAAAAATCTGTCACAACATTTTACCTGTCTCTATGGTGACAGATCATCATTGAAAGGAAGTCTATGATAACATTATCCTTGTTATCAAGGAGGCAAATTGTTACTGTCAGGAAAAGTCAATGAGAATATTATACCTAATCTGATTCAGGGAGAATGGTTCCTATTATCTGGTAATACAAACATATACCTACTACCCTGGCTGTACATTCTGGTATATAAGTATATCTACTATCTTAGCTCTGGTATATAAGTATATCTACTACCCTAGCTGTACATTCTGGTATATAAGTATATCTACTACCCTAGCTGTACATTCTGGTATATACATGTAAGTATATCTACTACCTTAGCTGTACATTCTGGTATATAAGTATATCTACTACCTTATCTGTACATTCTGGTATATAAGTATATCTACTACCCTAGCTGTACATTCTGGTATATAAGTATATCTACTACCCTAGCTGTACATTCTGGTATATAAGTATATCTACTACCCTAGCTGTACATTCTGGTATATAAGTATATCTACTACCCTAGCTGTACATTCTGGTATATACATGTAAGTATATCTACTACCTTAGCTGTACATTCTGGTATATAAGTATATCTACTACCCTAGCTGTACATTCTGGTATATACATGTAAGTATATCTACTACCTTAGCTGTACATTCTGGTATATAAGTGTATCTACTACCTTAGCTCTGGTATATAAGTATATCTACTACCTTAGCTGTACATTCTGGTATGTAGGTGTTTCCATCTTGTTACTTACTGGTTGATGACACTTAAAAGCCTCATCCATAGTCCAGTTGGTGCTAAGTTGGGACAACTAGTGTAAAGAGTTTTAGTTCGAGGAACTTGGATGCTTCGCTGCTGCAGGCCACATGTGACTGTTTTTAGGCAATTCTGAAGTCAAGAAAATGTCACCAAGTTACTCTTTTGACTACCAGGTATTTCACATTATAACATCAGAGTCATAATACTGTGAGCCCTGAGGGAGAAACCTTTTCTCCTCACTAAAAAGCTACAAGAGCTTATTACTGGCAAAAAAGATTGCATTCACCAATTACTCCTACAACACAGTGCATATATATGATGTATGGGTGTGTAATTACCTAATACATGGGTTTATTGTTTCAGAAACTCAGAAAGTACTGTATAATCATTATGAACTTTGACCAGTGCAATTTTTATAGTGAACATGTGACACTACTACCACATACAATGTAGTGTTTCTTCTGTATGTTATATTTCAATGTCAATGCAATATCTTTCAACAAGATACTCCTGAAGGGATTTTAGCATTCACCATTCTTTGATCTTTATCTGTTCTTTAAAAATTGGATCTTTTCCTTTCTTTTCACATTGTGATAACTTGAATGACAAATCACAGATAGCCACCCACGAGGCATTTTCTTCCTGGTCAGTTCCAAAATATAAAACACACAAATAAGAACCAATGGAGATTTGCATATGAAGGATCCATCCAGTATTTCTCAAGAAATAGTGATAACAATTATTCAGTGTCAAATTCAAATATGGCCACTTATCATCCTGCTCGGTTTTTTTTATCAGTCTCATGAAATAACTATGGACCAAAGGAAAGTAATGTATGAAACATGTAAGAGATCCATCTACTTCTTCTCCAGAAATAATGATAACAACAATTGTATCAGGGCTTAAAATAGGTGAATGCTTGACAAGGGGATACCCAGATATGAGTTGTAAATAGTGTGTCTTCAGGGACAAAGACTTAAAACAATAGGACCATAGGGCCTGCATAGCTCATCTGTTTCAGTTTGCTGAAACTGATTCATTTAAACTAAAGGAAAATATTCAAAACATTTGTATCTTATTTCCCTTTTTAGGCCCCATCCCTCTTCCCCAAGGATGTTAGATGCAATGTTATAACTTCACCCAAGGATGATTCAGATCAAATTTAAACAAAATTGAATCACTCTTACAGAAGAACGATTTTGAAGAATTTGCTCCATTTCCACTACTATAAAAACGTTAGAAGATTCATGATTGGTATCAATTCTAAAACGTAACATGAAAAAACGAGCACCTAGAATAATGTTATCGTGATTGTTTGGTAAAGGCACGTTATTTATATCATAAATTCCATAAAGTGTTATATCTGAGATATGGACATAAAAACATTGTTTGCCACAGTTCATTAGTAATATGATATTACACAACCACATAGGCTTAGCCTGGATCTCAAGGTCTTGTCAACTTTACAATATCATCTTTACATCGGTTAGGTCTGATGAACGAGCACAACTACTGTATTAAAATGTAAATGATTACAACCAAGGACTGTGTGTTAGTTCAGATTTGCTAGATATTTGATCTATCGGACATGTATACTTCCTTTCATACCTTGACGAAAAGTACTGCTGCCATCGAGTTCTGTCCCTCAAACTATTTATAGCGACTAAAGTGAAACTACAGACTGCGTCGCTCAAGTTACCACAAATTAAAATTACATATCATTGTATATCAATTTAATTATGCTTTGTAATAACACATAAAATGCCAATATGATACTTCATCAATTTGTAAACTATGTTTTATTACATTCTTGTTAACAAAAAGTAAAGTTTTTTCTCATTTTTTAAGCATCATAAGCAAAATCCAGCATGGCTTCCTTAACTGGACGGGTACGTAAAGTTTTTTCGCATGCTAGCTACCATTCATATTCACAGAGTGTATCTTCTTACTTTATTTTCCAACACTTAAAACATTAGTAGCGTAGGGTTCATACAAACGTAGATTAGACTTTACTTTTCTATACTTATATGAAAGCGCAGCTTTAGGGGTAGTTCACCTTGAATTTTGTGATTGTTGTTTTTCGGACTGGCTAAACCCTCAACATATACCTAGGTACACGCTTAAAAAACATCAGTTATATATCAGCAAAGATGCTAGACTGTTGATTATTCGGCACGTGCAGTTTGAGGGGTCCGGTCATTCCTGTCGGAAACAACATGGCTGAATATCATTAGTTTTCAAAATACTGCATAAAGCAAGGTCGGTGCACGCACATATTTCCGGGAATGTTATGCTATTAATTACATACTCAATGGGTTTTAATAGGTTGGGCAACCTCTCATACGGTAAATAGTCCTGCATTTGAGGGATAGTTACTGTTTTGAGTAATCATCAATTAGATACTCAAATGCATTGTCATTCTGAAATAGAAACACAAATTTCATTAAAAAATTTGCTACAAAAAAGGGTGTCATCTTTTTGATATGACCAATGTGATAATTTATACAACTACATAGGGAATATCCTTTTCTTTTATCAAACTCTGTGTTAAATTGACAATATATATCACTGGCTTTGTTCTCCATTGACTACAATGTATACCCAGTGGCAGCATTCAGCACCAATGTCATAGGCGAACATGAATTTACATGTGTTCTGTTTTTATCCACACTGTAAACAGATGATAAACAATGGAGGTGATAAATTTTATAATTTTCAGCTCACCTGGGCTGAAAGCCAAGTGAGCTTTACTGGGATACTGTGGCGTCTGGTGTCCGACCATCATCTGTCTACTTTTAATATATATTGCAATTATTAATGAACAACTGAGCAGATTTTCATCAAATTTGGTCTGAAGCATCCTTAGGTGATATGAAATCAATTTTGTATAAAGGAGGGGGTGGGGGGTCTGAGCCCCGTGGGGCTAGATGGGCGGGGATCAATAGGTAAAATCTATCAATTTCTTTAAAGTGATCCCCGCTGAGTATCTATAGCATATCTGAGCACATGGAGATAAACACAATCATAACTGATAATTTGTCTTTGAAGCCATTGAGATTACCATCCCATAACTTAATAACATTGCTGGACATCAAGATATTAACATCTGATCTTTGTCCCCACCCCTAGGGAATTTGAAGCTGCATCTGTGGGGTAAGGCTCATCAGGGGAAATATTTTTCTTCTAAAGAAATGTGAAGTTTTGCATTGTTGACTTAAATACCCAGGCAGGCAATACAGGCCCTCTGGGCCATTTATACAAAAAGTGAGACAACTTAATTGAACTTAACTGAAGTCAGTCTGACCTACAGTGTGGACAATGACCTTCTGACTTAGTATGTTTTGACTGAAGTCAGTCTGACCTACAGTGTGGACAATGACCTTCTGACTTAGTATGTTTTGACTGAAGTCAGTCTGACCTACAGTGTGGACAATGGCCTGTCAATAGCACACTCTATCTGTTTCAAGGTGAATTTAGGACATGTTAGTTTGTTTACCAGGACTTGTTGGAAAATAATCTTTCTACAGCACCACAAAATTTATTCTTTTTATTCCAGAGATGCCTGTTCAAGCGTAATTCATTAAAAAGAATGTCTACTACTTTTAAAAAAATGCTATACCAATCTACTTCACACCGGTCACCTGCTTCAGAGCCGTCACCACCTAACGACACAGGCGAGAAAACTCGACTTGATCGTATAGTGGATTTTTGGAGTGCAAGTTTGAGAAAGCCAACTCCTGAAACAAAATGGACAACATATCAAGATTTCACTTTAGAGTCTATCCAAGAGATGTTACAGAAGAAGATATGGCAGAATAAAGTTAAAAAACAAAGGTAAATTCAGCTCAATTCATTGCCATAAACTTGTGCTACAGCTGATGTCCCAATGTCTGTATTTTGTGATAGTACATCAATCAATACTATTTAAGCAGTTATAACTCCTTAAATCCTTTCAAGAGTAAGCAGAATCAATACACTTTGATTGAACTCTACTAAATGTCCATCTACTGATATACAGAGTTGTCTGCCTGATCCATATGGTAGTTTCAGTGTTACTGGTTTCTATATGTGAGAGTGTGACATACATCAGAACAGAAAAGACTGAAAACCATCAAACATCACTATTGTTGAAAAGAATATTTACTTGCTAATTGAATCAACTGCCTTCTTTTTTTTATGGTCTTTTTATACTGAATTATTTTATTCAGAGTGTTTAATGGACACTCAAACATATACAGTATGTTCACACCTTGTAGCTAATTATAAAGGGCCATCTCAGAAACTAGAACTACCTGTGTGTATTCTGGGCTTGGAAGGACAACTCTGTATATCCGTAGTACCCAAAGATGAATCTGTATATCTGTAGCCCCATAGATAAATCTGTATATCTGCAGCCCCATAGATAAATCTGTATATCTGTAGCCCCATAGATAAATCTGTATATCCGTAGTCCCTATAGATAAATCTGTATATCAGTAGTCCCTATAGATAAATCTGTATATCTATATATAAGTAGTCCCCATGATAAATCTATATATCTGTAGTCCCTATAGATAAATATATAAGTAGTATATCTATATATCAGTAGTCCCCATAGATAAATTTGTATATCCGTAGTCCCCATAGATAAATTTGTATATCCGTAGTCCCCATAGATAAATCTGTATATCCGTAGTCCCCATAGATAAATCTATATATCAGTAGTCCCCATAGATAAATCTGTATATCCGTAGTCCCTATAGATAAATTTGTATATCATAGATAAATCTATATATCAGTAGTCCCCATAGATAAATCTGTATATCCGTAGTCCCTATAGATAAATTTGTATATCCGTAGTCCCCATAGATAAATTTGTATATCCGTAGTCCCTATAGATAAATCTGTATATCCGTAGTCCCCATAGATAAATCTGTATATCCGTAGTAGTTCCTATAGATAAATCTGTATATCTGTAGCTCCATAGATAAATCTGTATATCCGTAGTCCCTATAGATAAATCTGTATATCAGTAGTCCCTATAGATAAATCTGTATATCAGTTGTCCCTTCAGATAAATCTATATATAAGTAGTCCCCATGGATAAATCTATATATAAGTAGTCCCCATAGATAAATCTGCATATCTGTAGTCCCTATAGATAAATCTATATATAAGTAGTCCCCATAGATAAATCTGCATATCTGTAGTCCCTATAGATAAATCTATATATAAGTAGTCCCCATGGATAAATCTATATATCAGTAGTCCCCATAGATAAATCTGTATATCAGTAGTCCCTATAGATAAATCTGTATATCCGTAGTCCCTATAGATAAATCTGTATATCAGTAGTCCCCATAGATAAATCTGTATATCAGTAGTCCCTATAGATAAATCTGTATATCAGTAGTCCCCATAGATAAATCTGTATATCAGTAGTCCCTATAGATAAATCTGTATATCAGTAGTCCCCATAGATAAATCTGTATATCCGTAGTCCCCATAGATAAATCTGTATATCAGTAGTCCCCATAGATAAATCTGTATATCCGTAGTCCCCATAGATAAATCTGTATATCAGTAGTCCCTATAGATAAATCTGTATATCCGTAGTCCCTATAGATAAATCTGTATATCAGTAGTCCCTTTAGATAAATTTGTGCGTGAAGTATTATACTTGTTTTTAGATTTTAGAGATAGGAAAGGTTGAGGTTGTCATTGTTGAACCCTCCATCACTACTGTACCATTAACTCTGTTTCTACAGTTTTGACATGCAGCGATATGAGTCGCTGGGCCCGGATATGTCAGCAGCTCAGTTTGTTCTTGACAATGGTGGAAAAATAAAAATTGATGGCGTTAAGAACTGGATCCCATTGTCAGAAGAGTCGGGCAGTTCATTAATGTTTCTCAAACCAGATGGTCGCTTAGAAACCATGAAAGTGGAAGGGCTAGACCTCTCAGGAGTACCTATTGTTTTCGAGGCATTCAGGAATTTTGGTAAGTATTGAGTAATTACGTTGTCAGGCCAATTTATAATTGAAATTGAACTGGCCAATTTTTAGGTCATCTGACCAGAAGGGTAAGGATAACCTATAGCCATCGGGTTTCATCTGTTGTTCATTGTGTGTCAATTTCTGTTCAAATAACTCCCTCTCAATAACCAAAATGCCCAGTGTTCTTATTTATGGTCTGTAGCATGCTTGAATGAAGGCTACGAAATTTGTTCAAATGAATGACTGAATGACCTTGACCAACCTTCAAGGTCACGGGAGTCAATTGTGTCAAGATCTTTAAACAACTTCTTCTCAATAACCAAAAATTTAGGGTACTGACTTTGGGCCTGTAGCATGCTTGGATGAAGGGCTACCAAGTGTTTTTCAGTTGAAGGTCCTTTACCCACTTTCAATGTCACAGGGCCTAACATGTTAAAATCTTCAAACAGCTTCTTCTTAATAAATAAAAGGTCAAAGCTAAGTCATTCATTCCAGCAAGCTAGAGGCCCAAATTATGGCCCTTGTGACCTTGCAAGTGGGCCAAGTTCATAATTTTGAAAGAACTAGATAGCTAGAAAATTACTACCAAATGTAGTACAGGGACATGTTTTGACTTTTTGGGAAAATTTTCTGTGAAATGTAGTATACAGGAGCATGTTTTGACCTTCGGAAAATTTCCGCAAATAGTACATGGATTTGTGTGGGCAATAGGAAAATTTCTCAAAAGTAGTACAGTGGTATATTTTGACTTTTGGAAAATTTGCCAAAAATTGAACAGGGTTATGTTTTGACTATGGGAAAATTTACCAAACTGTGTTATTGACTATCCTGACACTGTTTTTCTTTATTACAGTAAACCTACAGAATGTACGATATATCCGTATTTGGGATAATGACATCTTTGATGACTTCAGTTTGACTCAGTTTGCACTTTTTCGTGACAGCCTGGAGTTTCTTGATATTAGCAGGTGTCCCCAACTGACAGAGCGGGGACTGGCGTGGCTTCACCATCTAGAGTAAGAACATTTCTTGTTACAAATATATACCCTATATGTTACAAACATTCTCACACCAGTGAATGAAAGTTTATTCAAAATCATAGAGAATGAATTCTATTTGGTTTGGATTTAATTTGGTATAGCAATTTGATGTTACCAATTGTAAAATTGTGAACTATGAAACTCTTTACTGTAAATGCGTCTGTGACAAAATCTATTGTATAGTAGCAACTCTTGCCAAGTTAAAAATTTCAGCACAACAACAATTTGAAAACAAAGTATATATACATATACAATAAAAGCTGTCTTTTGACTTAGATTAAATTTATTTCTGATTTAAGTCATGCCAGTCATATGACTCTTTAGGTCATCTGACCTGAAGGATCATGATTACCTATTGCCATCATTGTCTGCCATGTGCCGTGCAGAAACTTTAGACATTTCAAACTTTTTCTCAAGTTTCCCTAGTGGGAATGAGCTTAATCTTGCATGAAATGATCCTTAGATGGTCCTGACCAAGTGTTGTCATTTCTGTTGCCATGGCAGCTATCTTGAAATGCATATTTTAAACTTCTTCAGTTCCACTTGTGCCATTGAGCTGGTGGAATTGTTAAGGAATAGTAGTCAACAAAGTGTTATATTTTACCTTATTTTATCTTGGTAGCACTAGTTATTCACATGCTGTAGAATTGATAGTTTGAAGTGTGAGAATTTTAAGTGACATTATTCTACTGTGAATAGCTGTTCATAAAGAAGCAGATATGGCAGATATGTCCCACTACTGGTTGTTCAACAATCTCTGCATTGTCTTATCTTCTCTGTACTGTACAGCTCCTGTTGTCACAAATATTGTGATAACTCCTGTCATGAAAAAATGTTTCTGAAGACATGAATGTTTAAATAAAAAATGAAATAGAAACAGTACAGCATTTTGAAGGTGGTAGTAAAATATAGAATAATAAAAAACTTGATGGTAGAAATGTCCTATCTCATGTTTCAGAATGGTATGAAATGTCCTATCTCATGTTTCAGGATGGTATGAAATGTCCTATCTCATGTTTCAGGATGGTAGAAATGTCCTATCTCATGTTTCAGGATGGATGAAATGTCCTATCTCATGTTTCAGGATGGTATGAAATGTCCTATCTCATGTTTCAGGATGGTATGAAATGTCCTATCTCATGTTTCAGGATGGTATGAAATGTCCTATCTCATGTTTCAGGATGGTATGAAATGTCCTATCTCATGTTTCAGGATGGTATGAAATGTCCTATCTCATGTTTCAGGATGGTATGAAATGTCCTATCTCATGTTTCAGGAATTTGAAGTGTTTAAGATTGGATGATTTGAAGGGTGTAGAAGATCCGGAAGTTGTAATTGATTTAATCAGGGATATGTTACCAAACTGTCAAGTCCAGGGGATTATTGGGACTTCACCAGTTCAGGAGGACATAGAACCTGCCCCACCAAACAGGGACCATATAACAACGTAGTTACAAAGAATGATAACTGTAAAAAAAAACAGACTTCATCTTAATTGCTTTTAATTTTCAAACACATGTGAAATGTTGATGCAGTTGTGAAAATAATTTTGTAAATAAATTTTATTAAAATCTCAGTTATTGACACCTTCTTTCATTATTATATTCTAGGAACCTTCACACTAGATCTCTCAATATACATACAATGTATGTATTTGAAAGTCGGAATTGACAGCCTTAGCTTTATTTGTCTAACATTTTACTGAATAGGAATCCTTACAAGGCAAGTCATCAAGGAGTGGCTAGTATGTTACCAAGGCAACGTAATCAGATACTTAAGGGTTTTCCAATCACAGACAACATATGGGGCCACTTTTAGTATCAATGGTGGTTAGGTAGCAGAATATTGTGAAGAAGTGATTGGATCAATGTATGGTAGCCACTACAATTTTCATGACTAAATTTAATACCCTATGCCCATGCATGTTAATATAAGTACATCAATCCATATCTTAAGTTGTGTAGTAGCATTACAACCAATTACTATTCCAATGTCTTATGATAAGCCCACCCCTGACGCTAAGTCACAGGTAATGTGTTGTCCTGCTAGCCTTAACCTAACCTTTGTCTTGTGATAAACCTGCCCCTGACACTGAGTCAGGGGTAATGTGCTGTCCTGCTGACCTTAACCTTTGTCTTGTGATAAACCCCCTGACACTGAGATGTAATGTGTTGTCCTGCTGGCTTTAACCTAACCTTTGTCTTGTGATAAGCCCTCCTGACACCGAGTAAGAGGTAATGTGTTGTCCTGTTGACCCTAACCTTTGTCTTGTGATAAACCCGTCCCTGACACCGAGTTAGAGATAATGTGCTGTTCTGCTGACCCTAACCTTTGTCTTGTGAGTTAGAGGTAATGTGTTGCCCTGCTGGCCTTAACCTTTGTCTTGTGATAAACCCACCCCTGACCCCTGGCACTGAGTTAGAGGTAATGTGTTGCCCTGCTGTCTTGCCTTAACCTTTGTCTTGTGATAAACCCACCCCTGACACCCCTGCTGGCCTTAACCTTTGTCTTGCTGTGTTGTCCTGTTGACCCTAACCTTTGTCTTGTGATAAACCCTAACCTAATGTGCTGTTCTGCTGACCCAAAACTTTGTCTTGTAATAAAACCACCCCTAACACTGAGTTAGAGGTAATGTGTTGTCCTGTTGACCCTAACCTTTGTCTTGTGATAAACCCACCCCTGACACTGAGTTAGAGGTAATGTGTTGCCTTTGGCCTTAACTTTGTGATAAAACCACATCTAACACTGAGTTAGAGGTAATGTGTTGTCCTGCTAGCCTTAACCTAACCTTTGTCTTGTGATAAACCTGCCCCTGACACTGAGTTAGAGATAATGTGCTGTTCTGCTGACCCTAACCTTTGTCTTGTGATAAACCCACCCCTGGCACTGAGTTAGAGGTAATGTGTTGCCCTGCTGGCCTTAACCTTTGTCTTGTGATAAACCCACCCCTGACACCGAGTTAGAGATAAAGTGCTGTTCTGCTGACCCTAACCTTTGTCTTGTGATAAAACCACCCCTAACACTGAGTTAGAGGTAATGTGTTGTCCTGCTAGCCTTAACCTAACCTTTGTCTTGTGATAAACCTGCCCCTGACACTGAGTCAGGGGTAATGTGCTGTCCTGCTGACCTTAACCTTTGTCTTGTGATAAACCCACCCCTGACACTGAGTTAGAGGTAATGTGTTGCCCTGCTGGCCTTAACCTTTGTCTTGTGATAAACCGGCCCCTGACATCGAGTTAGAGGTAATGTGTTGTCCTGTTGACCCTAACCTTTGTCTTGTGATAAACCCGCCCCTTAGTTAGAGATAATGTGCTGTTCTGCTGACCCAAAACTTTGTCTTGTAATAAAACCACCCCTAACACTGAGTTAGAGGTAATGTGTTGCCCTGCTGGCCTTAACCTTTGTCTTGTGATAAACCGGCCCCTGACACCGAGTTAGAGGTAATGTGCTGTCCTGTTGACCTTAACCTTTATCTTGTGATAAGCCTGCCCCTGACACTGAGATGTAATGTGTTGTCCTGCTGGCCTTAACCTAACCTTTGTCTTGTGATAAGCCCTCCTGACACCGAGTAAGAAGTAATGTGTTGTCCTGTTGACCCTAACCTTTGTCTTGTGATAAACCCGCCCCTGACACCGAGTTAGAGATAATGTGCTGTTCTGCTGACCCTAACCTTTGTCTTGTGATAAACCCACCCCTGGCACTGAGTTAGAGGTAATGTGTTGCCCTGCTGGCCTTAACCTTTGTCTTGTGATAAACCCACCCCTGACACCGAGTTAGAGATAAAGTGCTGTTCTGCTGACCCTAACCTTTGTCTTGTGATAAAACCACCCCTAACACTGAGTTAGAGGTAATGTGTTGTCCTGCTAGCCTTAACCTAACCTTTGTCTTGTGATAAACCTGCCCCTGACACTGAGTCAGGGGTAATGTGCTGTCCTGCTGACCTTAACCTTTGTCTTGTGATAAACCCACCCCTGACACTGAGTTAGAGGTAATGTGTTGCCCTGCTGGCCTTAACCTTTGTCTTGTGATAAACCGGCCCCTGACATCGAGTTAGAGGTAATGTGTTGTCCTGTTGACCCTAACCTTTGTCTTGTGATAAACCCGCCCCTGACACCGAGTTAGAGATAATGTGCTGTTCTGCTGACCCAAAACTTTGTCTTGTAATAAAACCACCCCTAACACTGAGTTAGAGGTAATGTGTTGCCCTGCTGGCCTTAACCTTTGTCTTGTGATAAACTAGCCCCTGACACCAAGTTAGAGGTAATGTGCTGTCCTGTTGACCTTAACCTTTGTCTTGTGTTAAGCCTGCCCCTGACACCGAGTTAGAGGTAATGTGCTGTCCTGTTGACCTTAACCTTTGTCTTGTGATAAGCCTGCCCCTGACACCGAGTTAGAGGTAATGTGCTGTCCTGTTGACCTTAACCTTTGTCTTGTGATAAACCCACACCTGACACCGAGTTAGAGGTAATGTGCTGTCCTGTTGACCTTAACCTTTGTCTTGTGATAAACCGGTCCCTGACACCGAGTTAGAGGTAATGTGCTGTCCTGTTGACCTTAACCTTTGTCTTGTGATAAGCACACCGAGTTAGAGGTAATGTGCTGTCCTGTTGACCTTAACCTTTGTCTTGTGATAAGCCTGCCCCTGACACCGAGTTAGAGGTAATGTGTTGCCCTGCTGGCCTTAACCTTTGTCTTGTGATAAGCCCGCCTGACACTGAGTAAGAGGTTTAGTTTTATATCAGGTATTTATGTAAATGTTACAGCTGCTTTTGAATCAATAACACAACTGGTTTAATCATACATTTCTTCATAACAAGATCTTTTCAATTTTTCATCACACCTCTTCTGACTGGCTATGGCCTAAAAAAAATCTATCTGCATCAAATTTTCTATAATACACAAGACGCAGCACAGATTTTCAAACATAAGTTTATTGCACGATATCATATGCAAATTTTAATGACATTTTTACTTCTTTATCAAAATGTCAAGAATGTGACATAATAAATATCCTGAGCACTTTTATATTAGCAATACTGAGTGAAATGTTTTCAGTTCCAAAGTTATTAAACAAATCTATGACTTTTCATCCCTATAAAGACACGGACACTGTGGGTGAGGTAATGATATGTCAGTTCCCCAGGGTTTATGATTTGTTGTTATGCCACTCCGACCACCATAGACATGGAGGAAGCATTTATACATGTCAAGCTACTCATGACTTCAATGATAAAATCAGGGAGAGTTAATCTTTTCCCTGTGAGTCGTTGATGTTGTACTCGAGCCTTAAGTGACCAACTCAGGGAGAGAGTTGTCAATACCCCTGCCCTAACTGACTGACGTCTAAAGAGAAAGAGTTATCTGTACGCCTGCCTTAACAGACAAATTCAAAGAGAGAGTTATCAATACTCTTGCCTTAACAGACAAATTCAAAGAGAGAGTTATCAATACTCCTGCCTTAACAGACAAATTCAAAGAGAGAGTTATCAATACTCTTGCCTTAACAGACAAATTCAAAGAGAGAGTTATCAATACTCCTGCCTTAACAGACAAATTCAAAGAGAGTTATCAATACTCCTTCCTTAACAGACAAATTCAAAGAGAGAGTTATCAGTACTCCTGCCTTAACAGACCAATTCAAAGAGAGAGTTATCAATACTCTTGCCTTAACAGACAAATTCAAAGAGAGAGTTATCAATACTCCTGCCTTAACAGACAAATTCAAAGAGAGTTATCGGTACTCCTGCCTTAACAGACAAATTCAAAGAGAGAGTTATCAGTACTCCTGCCTTAACTGACAAATTCAAAGAGAGAGTTATCAGTACTCCTGCCTTAACTGACAAATTCAAAGAGAGAGTTATCTGTACACCTGCCTTAACAGACAAATTCAAAGAGAGAGTTATCAGTACTCCTGCCTTAACTGACAAATTCAAAGAGAGTGTTATCAGTACTCCTGTCTTAACTGACAAATTCAAAGAGAGAGTTATCAGTACTCCTGCCTTAACTGACAAATTCAAAGAGAGAGTTATCAGTACTCCTGCCTTAACAGACAAATTCAAAGAGAGTTATCTGTACACCTGCCTTAACAGACAAATTCAAAGAGAGAGTTATCAATACTCCTGCCTTAACAGACAAATTCAAAGAGAGAGTTATCAGTGCTCCTGCCTTAACAGACAAATTCAAAGAGAGAGTTATCAATACTCTTGCCTTAACAGACAAATTCAAAGAGAGAGTTATCAATACTCCTGCCTTAACAGACAAATTCAAAGAGAGAGTTATCAGTACTCCTGCCTTAACTGACAAATTCAAAGAGAGAGTTATCAGTACTCCTGCCTTAACAGACAAATTCAAAGAGAGTTATCTGTACACCTGCCTTAACAGACAAATTCAAAGAGAGAGTTATCAATACTCCTGCCTTAACAGACGAATTTAAAGAGAGAGTTATCAGTACTCCTGCTTTTACTGACAAATTCAAAGAGAGAGTAATCAGTACTCCAGCCTTTACTGACAAATTCAAAGAGAGAGTTATCAATACTCTTGCCTTAACTGACAAATTTAAAGAGAGAGTTATCAGTTATCCTGCCTTAACTGACAAATTCAAAGAGAGAGTTATCAGTACTCCTGCCTTAACTGACAAATTCAAAGAGAGAGTTATCAGTACTCCTGCCTTAACTGACAAATTCAAAGAGAGAGTTATCAGTACTCCTGCCTTAACTGACAAATTCAAAGAGAGAGTTATCAGTACTCCTGCCTTAACTGACAAATTCAAAGAGAGAGTTATCAGTACTCCTGCCTTAACTGACAAATTCAAAGAGAGAGTTATCAGTACTCCTGCCTTAACAGACAAATTTAAAGAGAGAGTTATCAATACTCCTGCCTTAACAGACAAATTCAAAGAGAGAGAGTTATCAGTACTCCTGCCATCAATGACCTTCTCCGGGAGAATCAATTTGTTCTCTGACCAATTGTTGACGTCGGTACTCCCACACAAGTAACGCTCCACTGACATGAACATTGAGTGAGCGGATGATTCCCTGCTGCGGAATCTCCACACATACATCCAACATATTGATCAGCTCCACAGGTATACCTTCACGCTCATTCCTGAAAACACAGTTACAGAGTCACTTTACACAGAAATTTATACAAAAATAGCTCGACAAATTTCCTGTTTGTGAACCAAGGGAAAACATTCGCATATGAATGAGACCTGAAAAATACTCAGGATGTCTTAAAATAACTGGTCAAATCATGGTGTCTTTAGGGACTTTGATGGAACAACACAATTAACTAACTGTTAACGTATAAATTTTGTCCCCATCATTTCCAGCTCTATTCATAATGAAATTTTCAAATATGACTCCGCTAACTCTATTTCTGTATGTGTTTATAAAGCAATTTAACATTATTGTTGATGTTTGAATTCATCCTAGTTTTTATTTTCTAAAAAGTATGTGATAAATTGCATAATTTTATGGTATCAAAATAAGTATGTTTACAGTATGTCCTGCCAGGTTATAAATTCTATATCTTAACTGATTTGAAAATATCCCTAAAAACATCTTTAAAAAGCAGTCTTACCCAAGAAGGAGAAGAGACTTGAAGGGGAACTGGAAATCTGTTAGGGAGACTGAATTGGCTGTCTGTTCCACTCCTACTAATGTGTAACCTGCCTGCTTCTTCTCTGCTAGGAAAGTTGTCAGCTTTGTCTTATAAACCTACAATCAAATGTAATAAAAACTAATAAAATGTGTAAATATAATGTCTTAATTCTGTACAATATGTTATTAATATTTCTTTATACAGTTTCTGCTGGAGAAATGTGAAATTTGTGCCATCGACCACCCAGGTTTCTATCATCAGTCGGACCCACTTTTATTCATTTCTCTGATATCTCACCAATGTGTATTTTAATTGATACCACTCAGATGTTTTATGGTCATGTAAGCATATAATAATGTTCCTCCTTCCCAACTACGGAATGGGACACGACGTGATGGAATGGACTGATACAAAACAATAGAATCTTCTCAGGAGACATAATATAAAGACTATCTATTAGTTTCCTACCTCAGAGATTGGCAGCCATTTCTCTGCAGTCACACTGAGGGTCTGAAACATTTTGTCTTCCAGGTATTTCATCTTGCCTATAACAAATTCTGACACGCCAAAGATTTCGCTTGTACGACACAGACCTGTAAACAGAACAAGATTACATAAGGATTGTATAGTAACAGTTAACTCTTTATTTGTCCATCATATTACATCAAATATGTGTATCAACACAGACCTTGTGGTAAACAGTTTCAGACCAGACATGTAGCTGAAGATATTTCAGTTCAGTTCACACAAAAGAAAGAAACATCACTCCTAAAGCCAGATATCTGTAAGTGTGACACTTGACAACTCCGCAATATTTAATCTCTTAATTTCTCTATTGATATCAAAGCCATATATGATCCTGTGAAAACATTAGCCAGAGTATCAGAGTGAGGTTGTCGTATCAAATGTGGAGGTAAGTTATGCTTGACTGTGCATTGTGATATAAGCAGGATAACAGGTACTTTTATATAGTGGGATAAGCACTGCTGATATATACATTTAACTTCAGGATAACCAAGTTTTTTGAGTTGGATTTTCTAAACTTTTGTTGATAAGATAAAAAAGGATTTTGAGCTTGGACCATAGAAATACTCAACAGTATATTAAATGGCATTATCCGAGTTGGAGTTCCACTGTACATCAAATTATGCAAAAATGAGATTTTAATGACTACTGCAACAGCATATGACATTAAGATAATTGAAGGAATGAATGCATTCTGGTAAAGATGGAAGGACCTTAATTGGTGATAACCACCACTAATGACCTCTGACATACCTCCAAGGTTGGGGAGCTTCTCTATAAGGGAGGTAACCAAGACTAATCCTCCTGCCTGATGGCGCTTCTTACAGAAGTCAAGTTCTTCTTGTGCTTCTTCATCAGGTGTCATCATTCGCCATGGCATGATCTTCTTCTGAAAGTCTCCGCCCTCTTCCTCATCCTCTTCTTCTCCAGCAGCTGTATCTGTCACAGTGGAAAAGGATGATGTCAAAAGGGTAACAAAACATTCATACATCAAACAATGAGTGCAAGCTAAACAGGAGCTCTGGCTGTGATACAACATTTAGTACAGTCAAACTTTGTTAGTGTCTGCCACTATTTGGAGCAGATTTCAATGGCTATATAGTAAGAATACATTTAGACATAACTATAATTATATATAACAGTTCATTGTTGCTTTAAGTCCTATTAACAGCTACGGTCATTTAAAGACTTGCCAAGTTCTGGTGTTGGAGGAAAGCCCGAGTTCCTCGAAAAAACCACTGACCTTGCAACTGTCCCTCTTAGGCCTTGAACCTGTGACCCAGAGGTGGAGGGCTAGTGATAAAGATGGTGATATGCCTTAACCACTTAGCCACCACAGCCCCCTTACTATCATTTTCCATTTATTACATGGAATGTTCGTCCCATATTATAGATATAATATATAGACAATACATCTAGGTTTTAGTGTAAACAATAGGCACTATATCAAATTTTGATAAATGACATGATATCTCCTGAGTAAACACATGTTGTTAAGCCTACCTTAAGCTACCCATCAAATTTCAATTTTTAGACAACATTTCCACAGTTCTTACTATTTTGTGCTATTTTCCAAGTGCCAGCCTCAGAGCTTGCCAGCAAGTTCGCCGGGTTAAGGACAGGTATCCAGGGTTTAGTTTCCTTTGTAGCTCCGTCCTCCAGGAATGTCTGGGGTTGTATCCACTCGTCATCCATGAGACAGGCTAGACGAGGTAGAGTGTGGAAAATAGTCTACAACAACATATATAACAAGATGTATGTCACACTCTGGGCTTATAGGAAGGAAACTATCTGTTCCAAAATACAGGTATACAGGTGTGTTTTGAGAAATGTTTGGGGATATTTTTGTCCCTGTACCATTATGCATGAATTTGCCTCATGTTGATTTCACCTTAGGATATTCAAGACATCAAAAGGTTTTATAAATTGCAACAAATTCTTGCCTCCATCTTAAATTCACTTCCTGTCATGGACAAAAAACAGCAAACATTTGAGGGTGAAAATTTCCTGGTATACATTACGAAATGTGTTCATTTACTAACTTGGTACCTCAAATCCATAACAAGACAGCAATTTATACAATCAAAATCATATATCTAGGTTTTTTTTAAAAGGACATTGTCCTTATAACTTTCCTACAATTTCCATAGAGAAGTTACACATGTTATATAGTGTGTCATCAAATAACACTGTTGATAGATTAAAAACAAATATGAACATCAAACAGAGTGTATTTGAAGATTATCTTGTCATTTACCAAGATGATGTGATGTCATTAAGTAAAAAAGAAAGTAGAAACAAGAAACTTACAAAACACTATTCTAATTAAGGGCAAACTTTATAGGATATTCATCATTTCCAAAAGAATTCAAAATATGGGCAGATTTATTTATTTACAGATTTAAAATACATAAATGAAAAAGTTTAATGGCTAGGAGTTCATCTTCAGCTATATAAAAGAGTTTTTACCTCGATACTGAAGTCCCGTTCAAAGTCAAAATCCTTCATGAAAAAGTTTTCTGTCAGTTTGGTGAGATTTTTTGTAGAATTGTAGTTTCTGTAAACAGAACAAGTTATAAATAAACATCTAATATCAAGTATGTAAACTTCACAATAGAATATTTAGTACTTTGTATTAACTATATTCTAAATGATGTAATGAAATATCTAACATTCTATATTATAATTCTTAATATCGTCAATTAAACTATACTGTGCACAAAAATTGGGAATCACCTTTTTTCATCTAGAACCGATTCTATAATCAAGAAAAGACACTATGTGACACATTGAAGTGTGCAGCCAGTTTGTTGTAAATGTCCTGCTTGCTCCGACAGCATCTGCAGCTGTCATGTGACTTCTCATGTTAACCAATTTTTAAAACAGGAAACAAAATGACAGGACATTTAGAATAACCACAAAATTTGTTGACTGATATGGTGTTAAGTCTACACAGACTTTCAATGAAAATACTCTTTGATTGTAAGCCTGTGTTACATGATATCTTGCCACACTAATTGTTATGGAAAAGTAATTGTGCATACATTGGTGATAAAACAGTGATCAAGGAGTGTCAAGCTTCATTTATTTTAATGTCAGAAAAAATCACCTATATTTATGATGCTTAATTTTTGTGTCCTTTATATATGTAACTTGAAGCAGAACAGCACAAGGGTTTTGTGCCCCATTTCCATCATCACTGGACCCTTATTTTGAATACACAGCATAGTTTTTTAATGATTCCACTTCATTCTAGTTTATTAAAATTACACCAAACTTTCAATAAAATACCAAGCAAATATTAAAGCTATAATCTTCTTTAATTCACAAGTGCCTGTAAATATATACATTGTGTATAAACAAAATTGGATAAACATGTTTTCTTACTTAGTCTCAAAATTTTAACAAGGCAGCATTGTACAATGTTGCAATCCTATAAATTAGTCCCAACCATGAAAACTGGTATTTTAAAAAGTATTTTACCTAAATAGGTGCATTACATGATAAACAAAGCCTTACTTGCTCTCCTCAATGAAACGTGAAACTGAGTCAAGGAATGGAAAGGAGGTGAGGACCTGGCTAATACCTAATGTGTGACATTGGGACCACATTTTCATCATGGCAACTTGGGCATGAATCCTTGTATTGAAGTGGTGTGCCATACACCAGGGTAGTACTGCTGACACTGCTGAGGTGTAGTATTGTGTCTACAAACATTCGAGAGTTCAACATGTAGTATTGTGTCTACAAACATTCAAGAGTTCAACATGTAGTATTGTGTCTACAAACATTCGAGAGTTCAACATGTAGTATTGTGTCTACAAACATTCGAGAGTTCAACATGTAGTATTGTGTCTACAAACATTCGAGAGTTCAACATGTAGTATTGTGTCTACAGATGTAGAGAATGACAAAAATGTCACATACACTTCACAGTATTTATATTGTAGCTGTTGTAGAGAACTACTTCTATAAAGCAGCAGGAAAGAATAATACAAAGGACCACATTGTAGCGTACATTTTAGCGATAGTTTAATAAAAGCGATATTTGATTTATGACCTTCACCTTTGGGTAAGTGATATTAACGAAAGTCTTAGGGTGTATGATTCAGAGCATATATCATAACAGCTGACTACTCATCATGCAAAGTGTTCATCTCTTTGAGGGTTATTTTTGAAATTCTTTTCTATTTTGATCCCTTGAGTTGCCTTTTATTGGTTTTTGTGTATAGGGCACATACTATCATTCTGTGATATAAAAGTTTTAAAAATTTTGTCTAAAACTATTGTGGACAGAGACCATACCATACTATGATCTGGCATACCTGTTTGCTCTCTGTGAGGTGTGGTCCCAATAAGGCTAGTGTACAAAGTAGACTGCATATTACTACTGTGTTTTTCTCATCCAACTGAAATAACACAACAATGAAAGGAATAACATTAATATCAACTGTGATTCGTGTTGGAGTTAAGGGTGTATGCTACATTACATATTACTCATCCAACTGAAATAACATGACAATAACAGGAATAACATTAATATCAACTGTGATTCGTGTTAGAGTTAAGGGTGTATGCTACATTACATATTACTCATCCAACTGAAATAACATGACAATAACAGGAATAACATTAATATCAACTGTGATTCGTGTTAGAGTTAAGGGTGTATGCTACATTACATATTACTCATCCAACTGAAATAACATGACAATAACAGGAATAACATTAATATCAACTGTGATTCGTGTTAGAGTCAAGGGTGTATGCTACATTACATATTACTCATCTAACTGAAATAACACGACAATAATATGAATAACATTAATATCAACTGTGATTCATGTTAGAGTTAAGGGTGTATGCTACATTACATATTACTCATTCAACTGAAATAACATGACAATAATACGAATGACATTAATATCAACTGTAATTTGTCTTAGTGATACGGGTGTTTGCTACACTACATATAACATTCTTCAGCTTTACTGACTGTCACTAATGTAAAGGCTGGTTTGGTTTATTGTTGCTTTAGGTTCTATTAACACCTGGGTCACTTTAGGATTTGCAGGTTTAGGTGTTGGAGGAAATGTCAAGTTCCTGAAGAAAAACCATCGACTGAACTCAGACGTGGAGGGCAAGTGATAAAGACAGTCAGAGGTCCTAGTCAGAGGAACTATTCCACTGCCACTGTTCCCCCCCCCCCCCCCCCCCCCCCCACTTCCACCCTCTGCACCCAAACTTTGTAAATAGATACAATTTATTGTAAGAACCATAAAACTTAAATCATTAATGAAATACTTACATCTACAAACATACAGATGAGTTTATCCAGAAGGTAGTCAAACCTAAGGATTAGACGGAGCATCAGCCACTGTACCAGATTACGGATGGAAGGCTGGTTCGGCTGTCCCATTACATCTCTACACATCTTCCACATCCTATCCACATTTTCCTGTAATATATAATTATCCTTCAAACTCACTTTTCAGAATACTTATATCCAAAAATATGATATTCAAGAAACCAAGACTATTAACAAGTTATCATTTTAACAAGAACATGTTAATAATGTTTTGTAAAAACACTGTGGTGTCTGAATTCTGATGATGTGTGTAAATAGTTAAATGATTCTATCAGAAGGTTGATAGAGTTTAATGAATCATTATGTGTCTTCATACAAAATCGATCAAAACTACATTCAAATTTTGACAAATCAGAAAGCTGTCACTAAATGCAAAAACCTTTTGAATGGGTTTTTCATCCCTGTTATTTTCAACATCAAAACCATTCAATCTGACCACCAGAATGTCCTACCAGGTTGATACAACAAATCTGGTAGTTTTGTTAAAAACTTTCATCTATTTTACAACACTTCATCAACAAACTTCATCAACTTCTCATCACTCTTGCTGGCTATGATAAAAGGACATGCTATACAGAAAAATTGACAGGATGTATGAGGTAGATTTCATGGATCTGATCCAACAATGGTCTGATGCCCTTTATGACAGTAATGAAGAATAGATGAAAAAGAAGAAATGACAGACACTAATTCTATCCCTAAGGAAGTACACAAATAAAACAACTAAAATATATATTTAACCGCTTCCCAATATATTGCTTATTTTACCTGCACAATGAAGGGTTCCAACATTACAAAGAATTGGAAAGCACGGTTTTTCTGACGATGAGCCATGGAATTTGGGAATGTAGTGCCTTTGTGAGCTGAAGTCATTTCCTTGTACCTGTCAATCATTGTATCCATCAATCCCTGCACCACTGCAGTGTGGGCGGGGCTATCTGTTTGGAAGTGTAGTAACAAGGAAATTACCCATCCTCTTACAGATATATCCGTCGGAATGCTGTGGAAAGATAGTTTGAAGGTCACAAGTTTGAAGGTCACGAGTTTGACGGTCACAGGTTTAAAGGTCACAGGTATCACTCATGTGGTACTGAAGAAAGAGACTTACATTCAAACCATATGTTAATGCTACTGGTAACATTTTTGAATTGGCAACAGAAATGACTGAGTGTAGATTTATTTACATATTTTCACACTGTGATTTAATTCAATGAAACATCTCAGCACACCAATGTTCATTTCTGTAATTACTTTCTACAGTTATATAAGAAACAAATGCATTGAAAAAACAGCATACTTTGTGAACAATTTAACAAACTTATTGATCCCCAGATACAAGTTAATTTAATTTATCTCTAATCTTAAACAAGCTCAAAAACAATTAATTTTGATATTTTATTATAACATTGCAATACCTTTTCATGACTTGGTTCACAGAACAACTGCTGCCTAGATCCTGGATGTATGCGTTTAACTCCATCGTCTGTCTGTAAAATATCTCACATGATTAAGATGTTGGAAATTTGGGCGACACTCGGGAGTTTCTGTCTCTCACATGGAAAGTTCAGGCCATATTATTATATTAAATATTAATGATATGAAATAAAATTTTAAAAAATACAAAATATAATAATATCGAATAAATATTATATTGAGTTATGGGGTTTAAATTGGTACATGCATCATCTGAATGAATTAATATTTTATTTATCCATCAATATAATCATGTCTGGTAATAAATCTAGTCACATCTGCTGCAGTTCTAATAGAAATGAAAACATATGATTGATCACTACCTGCAATAAGCCCAAATCCCTAATGAAGTAAAACTTGCCATGTGTTATCCCATGGATTTCTTGTCCGATATATTAAAAAATAATCTACTTCTTGTATTCAATTAACATCAATAACTTATTTCTAATAGTTTCCTTTCAATTTTAATTCAACAATGTCAAGTATCACTGTATGACCATTTAACTTCGTGGTTGTGTGGTTTGGAAAGTTGATGTTTTAATTAACTGTTAAATATGTTTGCCTGATATTTGATTTTGCATTATCATAAATAACCAAAACTATAGTAAACCTATATCTCACTGAATATTACAAACTTATAGTAACTCTTGAAACAGGTTTGTGTATTGGAGTTAGGTAATTATAGGTAACCATTTTGTATCTGAATATATTTGAAATTACCTCCCTTTGCAACATAAATTAATGTTATACGTCTCTCAATATCAGATTAAAATTACCTTTATGGAGGAATGTATTTCAGGAGATCTAAATATGTGACCCACTTCTGTTTTCCAACATGTGACCTACTTTTCTTGTCGTTTGTGTATTGTGCCATAGAGACAGCAGGAGACCATTATGGAGTAGAACTTGGCCATGTGAGGAAGCAATTTGGCATCTGTCCAAAGATTACAGAGGTGAGATGCTAGTAGTTGGAACAATCCAATCTTTCCTTCCCCAAGCTCCAACAATACATCAGCATACTGCAATGTGAAAGGACATTGGTAAACATCCATTTCTCAATATTTGGTTATAAGGATCTAGTCACTCAAGGTGTCCTTATGGTATTCTGTAGTCCCAGATAAGAATCCCATATCTGGCATATCATATTTTCTATTTTTCTTTTTTACACACAATTCTATCCTGATTTAAGAAACATCTGTAACTAGATCTATTTTTACCTGTACAAGCTTCTGGATGATGAGCGAGTCCTCTGGGAGTGAAACCAGAGCTGGTTGGAAGGCCATGTTGATGAATTCAGTCATGATTGTGAGATAAGCAGTACCTCTTGTGTCCTCCTGGGTCATTGCCCAGGCCAACTCTAGGGTTTCTATCACCTTGGCTATTGATCCCTCACTTATTACCTGTAGTTAAAGCAGATAACGATCAGAAATCAACATTTAATTAAGTACTAATCATTACTAATTAGAAATGAGAATTGAAGCCATTGGTGGCAAAATATGGAGACATATTGTGTTATCTAACTTCAAGCTAAATCTTAAAACATTAAAACTTATGAGTTGACAACACAATATTGACTCCTTAGAAGTGGAGCTAACTTGATATTGACTACCCAGAGGTAAAGCTTACTTAATATTGACTCCCCACAGATGGAGCTAACTTGTTATTGACTCAACAGAGGTAGACCTTACTTGATATCGACTCCCCACAGAGGGAGCTTACTTGATATTGACACATCAGATGTAAACCTTACTTGATATTGACTCATCAGAGGTGGAGCTTACTTTATAATGACTCCCCAGAGGTAGAGCTAACTTGACACTGACTCATTAGAGATAGACCTTACATGATACTGACTCATCAGAGGTAAACCTTACTTGATATTGACTCATCAGAGGTAGAGCTAACTTGATAATGACTCGTCAGAGGTAGAGCTTACTTGACTCATCAGAGGTAGACATAAATTGACACAGACTCACCTGAGGCAGGAGTAGTTTGATACATTGTAGCACCACAAGGACAGTTTCTGCCTTGGTTAGGGATAGACACTCCAGACACAGGTCCAACAAGGTGGAAGCAGGGCGGTGAAGAGTTCGCCCAAGTTCCAAGTACAGCAGTTGAACCCTCCATTGGGATGACAAGAACTTGGATGAGAACCGACCCCATTCTTCACGACTTCAGTAAATACCAACAGATCATTTGAAAATATCAGACAAACAAAATTATATACATATTATCATATAACAGGTAGCATTGACTGTCAAGAAGTAATGGAAATAAAATGGTTTTTGGTTTTGCTTTTTTTGGTTTTCAAAGAAATGATAAATCAGCTTGACTGGTAAATGTAGTTCCTCTTACAGGCTCAGACTTCAAGTTCTGTTGCCCTAGGGCTTGAGATTCCTTATTTTAGTCAACACTGTATCATGATCCTCCATGACATCTGATAATTTAAATAATCCTTTTAAGGTGTTTCATGTAACTTATGGCACTTTGAAACAACTGTTCACAGTCCAATTGGAATTATTCTATAGCACTCTAGATTTTCAGAAATTATGACTATGACCCTGGAATAATTGGCCTTCAAAGCAACAAAGGAATAGCTTAACAATGAAATACCTCTAACAACTCCAGACTTAGCTTAACAATGAAATACCTCTAACAACTCCAGACTTAGCTTAACAATGAAATACCTCTAACAACTCCAGACTTAGCTTAACAATGAAATACCTCTAACAACTCCAGACTTAGCTTAACAATGAAATACCTCTAACAACTCCAGACTTAGCTTAACAATGAAATACCTCTAACAACTCCAGACTTAGCTTAACAATGAAATACCTCTAACAACTCCAGACTTAGCTTAACAATGAAATACCTCTAACAACTCCAGACTTAGCTTAACAATGAAATACCTCTAACAACTCCAGACTTAGCTTAACAATGAAATACCTCTAACAACTCCAGACTTAGCTTAACAATGAAATACCTCTAACAACTCCAGACTTAGCTTAACAATGAAATACCTCTAACAACTCCAGACTTGGCTTAACAATGAAATACCTCTAACAACTCCTGGCTTTAAACTCTGCTGTCCAGGGACATGAAATAACCTGTACTGAATTTTTGCAAGTGCATTAAATATGAAATTAATATGAGTTCTCTTTATGACTCCACATGATGTTTAAAAAATCCTGTTAATTGTATCAGTTGAGTAATTAAGCCAGACTGCTCACTATTATCCTGACGACTCTAAGATTATTCTTCTACAGTACAGTTCTCTCAGTCTACAGATTGTTTACCCACCTCTCTACCATCAATGGTCGAGTGAGAGAGACTGTAATGTCAGCTTTCTGTGTATAACAGAGTATGTCTTCTATCAGGGCCTGCTGGTGTGGTGTTAGGTCTTGCCAAGGGACAGTGTAAACACTGGCTACTGCACCAAGGACTGCTCCTGCCCCTACCAACTGAATCTGCCCTTCCATACTCACCTATGGGTATGCAGAAATTTGAGAATCATGGTGTTCCATTTCATCAGAATATTTATGTAGGTGAAAATTTTAAATCCTTAAGATCCTTTAAGTTTCAGTAATGTCTAAAATAATTTTATCAATTTATCAAAATTGTAAACCAATTTGGATGTTATTTGATATAGATAGGAAATTGTCCACATGTGAATTGGCAAAGATTTATTTTCCAGATCAGAGCAGAATTGAGTACCTTGCACACCATTAAATTTAACAGCAGAAATTAGATGTATGATTTCATAGGGAAAATTCTGACATATAATTATGTTTGTCGGATTCGTTACTTATAAGTACAGAGACTGTCACATCTCATTAGACGAAACATACTAAAAATAAATATCTTAATTGGCAGTTAAAAAACCCAAAAAACTAACACAATGATATTCTTTCTTTCTGTGTCTAAGTACTGCAAGCAGCCCATAGTCCACTACCTCTAACTGACTAATCAAATATGGTCGACACAGTTCTCAGTGAAGACTACGATAGAACTGGAGAGAGATTAGAAATATTTGAGCAAAGATCAATTCAAAGCAAACATGCTGAATAGGTGATCCTCATCAACTCCTTAAAGTTTTAAAAGATAGCCTCTTGACGAATTACTAATCATACCAAACATTTTTAAAGATTTTTTTTGTATATATCAAATATTCTAATTAAATTTGAGCAGATATATATAATCTGCAGTTACGACTTTAATTAACAACTAGTCACATGTAAGAGATATACAGCTGATTTCATTCTCAAGCTCTGAGAAGACAACTTACCTTGGACAGGGCAGACACTTCATTCATAGTCAGTATACAGTTTGTAACAAGGTGATGGATACAGCTCACGGAACTGTTTTCATGGAAACATCTTGTCACCTCAACAACAGCTGTTTCACTGAGTTCTATGCTTGGAAGGTCGTTAGTCTGAAATGAAATAATGTATCAGTATTGTAGTGATATGCTAATGCTGGATTTGGCTTTGGAGTTCAGAGTCTACAGTGCCATAGTCCTTGTGAATCGGAGACTGAGTAGCCATGCCATCAAGACCTGTCTACACCCAGGTTTTCCATAATATTCTAATATAGAAAACTAATATATGCAGTTAGTGAAGCATAAAAGAGCAGAATTCTTATAAATTTAGGATAAAAGATGTGAGAAAACATCAATAAAATCACAACATGTCAACATAATCATAATCCGAACTCAGATTCAATAAAACTAGGACAGAAACAACAAAATACCAACATGTCAACATAATCATAATCCAAACTCAGATTCAATAAAACTAGGACAGAAACAACAAAATACCAACATGTCAACATAATCATAATCCAAACTCAGATTCAATAAAACTAGGACAGAAACAACAAAATACCAACATGTCTACATAATCATAATCCAAACTCAGATTCAATAAAACTAGGACTGAAACAACAAAATACCAACATGTCTACATAATCATAATCCAAACTCAGATTCAATAAAACTAGGACAGAAACAACAAAATACCAACACATCAACATAATCATAATCCAAACTCAGATTCAATAAAACTAGGACAGAAACAACAAAATACCAACACATCAACATAATCATAATCCAAACTCAGATTCAATAAAACTAGGACAGAAACAACAAAATACCAACACATCAACATAATCATAATCCAAACTCAGATTCAATAAAACTAGGACAGAAAAACAAAATACCAACACATCAACATAATCATAATCCAAACTCAGATTCAATAAAACTAGGACAGAAACAACAAAATACCAACACATCAACATAATCATAATCCAAACTCAGATTCAATAAAACTAGGACAGAAACAACAAAATACCAACACATCAACATAATCATAATCCAAACTCAGATTCAATAAAACTAGGACAGAAACAACAAAATACCAACACATCAACATAACCATAATCCAAACTCAGATTCAATAAAACTAGGACAGAAACAACAAAATACCAACATGTCTACATAATCATAATCCAAACTTAAGTTCAATACAACTAGGACAAAATAAGAATAAGAGAATAAGACCATGTTTTCCAGAAAAGTAATCGTCTTCTGTATCAAAATATTTCAGAAAACAGAGTTAATAATCTGCTGATGCAGTCATCCTTACCTCCCTCCAGCCCCCTGTCATCCTCTGTTGTATAAATAATAGTAGTTCTCCATGACAACTTGCTAGTGCTTTCTGTACAATGCCACACAATTCATCCTTGTCTGTTATAATGGATATACATAATTAATAGATTTCTTCATAACTTATCATTTTTAACTATATATTCTTTAAATTCCTTCGATTTGAACTAACAGCTGATATAAACACATAAAGAAAATAAATAATTCTTTAAAACTTCCAGATTTTTGGGGGGAAATATTGGTTAGGAGTGTTTGTTTATTATGGAAATAAATAAATTCTTAAGACTTCTAGTTGTTATTTTGGGGAGGTTAAATTAGTAAGAAATGTTTAAAGGTTTACCTGTGAGTGTTCCAAGTTCAGACACAAAACAAAGCAAAAGTTCTACAGCCCTCTCAGCTTTGTGTGCTGACATGTAGGGTCGGCTGTTGACAGTGTTAACTATTTCTGTCAACCCTCCCAGAATTCCTGATAAAGATGGCTGTGATTTATTGATATCAGCTACCAATGGCAACACTTTTGCATCCACAGCCAAAAATGTAAAACGTACAATTTGTATGGTCTCCATTTCACTCCAAATGAACTTGGTACCTGGATAGAAAGAGCAACAAATTAATTATCATCAAAACGTTGATCTTTTTGTCTTTTTTTACTTCTTTTTTCTTTTCTTTCTTTTTTTTCACATGCAAACATATCCCATCTTCTAAAGACAATCAATATTTCAAAAAAGAATCAAAAATATCTCCACAATGACACTAAACTCTTTTTTACTACAAGTTGCCAATAATGCTGAGCTTTAATTCATACTTCTGTAGCCTACTTATCAACAATACCAATTACTTCTGTACTAACAAAGATTTAGGGACAAATTTCAGAAGAACTTACTCAGTTTTTCTGTAAGTACCAAACAGTAGATACCAAACTTTCAAACACATACTGTAGCTACAACTTAATATAAGATTGCCATTTTTCAATGGAACTAAATTCTCGATGGCATATAATACTCATTCTACAAACTCTTTCACATCATCATTTGTATTCCAATGACCTTTTTAAAAGGGATTTTTTTTTCAGTCAACCAATATTTTTTTAAATCCAAGTAAAATCGAAATATACATATCCAAATGAAAAATTTAATTGTGGGAAAGCTCATGCCAAGCTCGATGGCATATAATACTCATTCTACAAACTCTTTCACATCATCATTTGTATTCCAATGACCTTTTTAAAAGGGATTTTTTTTTCAGTCAACCAATATTTTTTTAAATCCAAGTAAAATCGAAATATACATATCCAAATGAAAAATTTAATTGTGGGAAAGCTCATGCCAAATATAGCAAAATCTTCATATAGCATGAAAAGATGTGCCCTCTGATGGGAATAAGTTGTTTATAAACAAATCCATGATAAATGTTTCTCATTCAGGGTTATGATTTACCTACAATTACATACAATACGTTCCATCTCTCTTATTCCAGCAGTGATTCTAGGATTTTTTCACATCAATTTACTGTGTCTTTGTTTGGTGTGACACTCTGCAACTTGAATTTACTCGCTCCCTTGTTGGGCTGGAAGCCATTTTTGTAGATATTCTCCAGACAATGTTTAAGAATTCCTTAAAATTAATTTTAAAACTTAAAAAAGCAAATTATTTTGTCTATATAAGGGCACGCATAGTCCATAAGGAGTACATAACTACAATTCCATAAAGGGTTTTTTGACATGACACAATATTTATAAAACTTGACTAATTAGTCCCTTTAAAAACAGTGAAAAACAGATTTTTAAAACATTAAATTTTTTCGCCTAGTAGTAGATGTACCTTCCGACACATGGACAAAGGCTGTAGTCTCTTTATGAATGAAGTTTTGGATTTCAGGAGGTGACCAAACATCTGTATCTGCTCCACAAAATCTCTCAATCTGATGGACAACTTTTTTCCATAGAGTAGTTCCCCTTTGTAAACTCTCCTTCTTTGAAAACACAGCTAACACAGCGGCCAACTCCTTTGGCAAGACACTTTTCTTAAAAAGCAAACAAATTTATAAATTACAGTAAACTTAGAATAATCTTTCATGAATGCCCCCATGTTGGATTGTGTCCAAATGACATATACTGGCTTAAACGGAAAAAGTCTCTATTGTTGCAAAGTAGGGTATCCATGCATTTAACATAAAGGTTTACAACAAAACATTAAAATGATCACAGTTTTATAATGATACTCTTACGACTCAGATTTCTTTGCTGATTGGAATCAAGCACACAAAGAACACTATACAGTATATAATATTGAATGAATGATCAGAAGAAAGTTACCAATGTGACTAAAGCAGATATCACTGTGATGACCACATTAATTAATTCCCAAAACACACTTTCACCGCTGAAATGATTTACTCACCGTGTCCACAAGGTTGACCAAAGCCTCCGCAAAATAACACTGGGCAGCTCCACGTATATAACTGCTTATTGAAGAAATGGTAGTACTCAGAGTTTTTCTGTCAACAAAAGTGTAGAAACTAACATCCCTGATTTTATAACATGTTATCTCTACAATTGTAAATGAATTTTGTGATGCTTAGTGACGTTCCTTTGCTACTGACTATGGGCAGTGCATATGCAATTGCTCAGTAGGTAACACAATGGCTCAATCAGCCACTGGTGAATGTGTTTGGTTCTAAACTCATGACTCAGGAAGCTAAGAAACAGAGAAGTCCAAGACACTTTATCCCAGTTACTCTGGCTGGCATGTGACAGCCTCCTGTATGTTGTTCAGTGAAGCAATCACTTCAAGTAATACTGCTTCAAAACAACCCTGGCTACTGACTTAAATAATGCCAGCAAATATACTGGGGGTGACAATGTTCCATACTTTACTTCTTCAGTGACAATTTCAGTTTTTTTGGGAGGGATAACTGATTTTAGATTTGATTTCCTATCGACACTATGTATCAACAACCTAAAATTTGCAGTTATTCATGGACAATTTCCTTTTGATCAATTCACCTTTATCCTATTATAAAAGGAAAAGATTCCATTCAAAACTGTCAAAATTGACTAGTTGAGAGCCTGTACCTTAGATTAAGAATGATGTTGTTGTCCAGAAGAGGTGAAGGAGGAACTCGGGACAGCCCCTTACACAGGAATACAAAGGGCAGTGGGCCCCAGCAGTTTACACTCATTGTGTGCATGACATCACGGAAGAATGACACTGTAAACAGCAAAGGAAAACACAATAAATTATTCTGTCATGAAATTTAAGAAACATGAACTACTTTGAAGTTTGCTAATTCAGTTAAATACTTGACATTAGTAAAATTATGTATCATATTTAGATTATGAAAGCCTGATTTCTATTTTTGTGAATTCTTTGAGCATCTGTTATTGGACAGAGGAGTTCCGTTTTTTTTTTCAGTTTAGTTTGTTGCTTTGTGTTCTATTAACAGGCAGGAACATTTAAGGATGTGCGAGGTTTGAGTGGCGGAGGAAAGCTGGAGTTCTCGGAAAAAAAACACTGACCTGCCACCCAGTATATGGCAACAGACCCATGTAGGCATCAAACACTTGGCCTAGAGGTGGAGAGCTAGTGATTAAAGACAGTCAATGAAAGTTATGCCAGTGTTTATTAATAATTATTATTACCTCTCTTCTCCTCTGTTTTCAGTTCTTTCCAACAATTGGCAAAGAAATCTGACAATCCTAGACCAGCATTAGAGGCAGTTCCTTGGAGGGCATTTTGAGGTCTGAAGAATTATAACAAAAATCTTGTGAAGCATTTCATTCACAAATACATGGTTATTTTATCTTTTACTCCAATAAAATCCAGATTCTCATTTAAGATACTGATTCCTCTGTTATTACTGAAGTTTGAACAAAATCTGGAGTTCCAAGTTTTGATTGACATGTTTTATTAAAAAAAATTAAAAAATTATTATCAAATCTCTGCCACTTACACAGACACTTAATTTTCTACCTAAATTAGCCTTTTTCAATACAAGAAATTTCAAAAACAGAATATATGGTGGACAAAGTACATTGCTTAAAAAATCAGTATTCAAACTTACTTGCTGAAGTTTTTACTGTCCTGAATGGTAACAAGAAAATCCCCACTGATGTACTACAATAGAAAATATTATGTATTGAATGGTAACAAGAAAATCCCCACTGATGTACTACAATAGAAAATAACATGTATTGAATGGTAACAAGAAAATCCCCACTGATGTACTACAATAGAAAATAACATGTATTGAATGACATTTGTAAAAATCAAAGCTACATTTACATGTCAATCATTTTGTAAATCTCTCCAAAAAGAAACAGAAATACTGATAGGTAGCTGAAATTGAAAATATTTAGCATCTGTGAATGAAAAATGAAAAGCATGACATCATTTTTCTTTAAGTTCAATGCTTCAATGTTTACCAGCATATTATAACATACCTTTTCCTCCCCTTGGTGAAGGAGGGGACATAACTCTAGGTCTAAAAACAACACAGTTTCTGTCGCCCATCTAATGATGGTGACACTCTCGTGCTTCAGAGCTCTTCTGATTAAAGCTGTTAACCATGAGGTGTGGAGAGGTATAGCTACAAGACCAAACAGACATTTTGCTTCAGTGACTAATGCTGTTAATAAGTTAATGTTGATGTACAGAGACAAAACTTGTGAATTGGTTTATAATTACTTTCTTCTTAATCCATGTCATGAGACAAATTCGGGTCATGACAGTTTTAAGTAAACAAAATTTCAAATCCTGATTCCAAGACGTTACATGTAAATTTTTTAACTAGGATGATGTTTGATTTCAGATTTTGCTGTGAACATTTATAAAATTAACTTTTTATCATGAATTTCCTAAAAAAAACATGTTGATAATATTCATTAAAATGAATTAAATTTTTATGAAGATTTTTACTGCAAGAGAAAGCCATTATCAATATAGTTTGAAGGGATATGACCATCTCTCTATGATTCTATTTCTTAATCATTACCAAAATAACAAATAAAATCACAGAGAGACCGTCAGAACCCTACAGATTAAATATACTTATAAATCTTCATCATACATATCTAGAAATCAACTTCTAACTTGTAATAAATAAATTTGTAATAAGAGTTACAACATAACAGCTGAATGACAAGGAATAGATATGATTCAAAGGAACATGTAAAAGTTTACCTTGATCAGTTGATGAGGTCTTTATCAGGTTCTGCATTCTCGGCAGTAAGGGGTTGATGACATGGACCTACAAAGTAACAATGTATCTTAATCCCTCTATTTTTCATTTTCAATCACTTTGGCATTTGAGGGAGTGATAGTTTATTATTTAAGATTTTAATAATTAAGTAATTCAAAAATATTTACATCACATCAATGGTTTGAAATCAGTTCCATTTTCTTTTTCCAGTCATTGCAGCATGCATGTACACCAGGTAAAGTTTTTTTTATTTTGATGTACACAGAAGTACACACTCAGCACTTACCTGTTTCTCCTCAAAGGTTTCTACAAGCATGATAACATCTTCCCATGTCTTCCTTAAAATAGCCTCTTCTTGTTTGATCCAGCAAAACTTTGGCACATGCTCACCTGCATCTTGTAGCTTTACATCCATCTTTCCTTGCTGACATAAATCAATCGTCCTTTTCAATAGATATATACACTGTTTTCTGACAAGGGTGTTTTCACTACAGATCCCAGCCTGCATGATACTCCAGTACGACTCAAACGTCCTTATATCCACCTCTGTCATTAAGTTATTCTCTACAGGCAGGAAGTGATTAGCTAAGGAACAGAGCAGCATGCTAGGTTTGCAGCTTCTGATGTCTTCTTCCCAGATAGATAAGATTGTATTCCAGCAAGCTGCCAATCGTCCTGTCCACTTGTCATCATCATATTTCAACAATAGAAGAAGGCTTTGGCTTGTCATGTGTAGAATAACTTGCTTGTCAAAAAGTCTTAAAATGTTCAACAAATGTTCAAACACTTTTTCAAGATTCTTACCTAATTGTATATTAGATTGTATTAATTTTTGCTGAAAATCTTTGTCAACACAAATTCTTACCAAATTTTTAACAACTTCGAGAGCACAAATTACATCAACATATTCGGTTTGTGATTCAGACATTCTGTTTGTACCAGCAGTCCTCCCAACAATGTGATAATTCAAGGAATCCGAGCACAAACTAAGAAGAGACACAGACAGACTGATTGGACCATTCTGTGCACAAAGGGCCTGTAGAGACCCCACTCTGGATAGCAACACAAGAATGTGTGAACGGCTGTCAAAAGATGGATGTAACTTATGCAGCAAAGAGAGGCAAACATGATCAGATATATTGTTACAAATTTTCATCACTCCTTCGTCAATCACAGAAAAGTTTCTGACAATGTTTTCCAGAACTCCTAACAAATGTAGGAGATCCAGATTTGTCGACCTATCCTCCGAGATAAGTGGTGTAAGCTTACTAATGACATCATCTGCTAACTTCTCCCTGTCTATGTGTGGACTCCTCAGGAGCTGATAGTCGTTGTCAGTCATTCTGACACGCTGAAACAGTGAATAAAATAAAATATATAAAACAATTATTTTCTCATATTTATCATGCATTTATTGATCGCGGTAATACATGTCATACAGGACAAATTCACAGATCACTGTTAGCATTCCTAATGCTAAGGAGCACAAACAAGGATTAACCAGTTAGGGCCTACATGTATTCATTATCATTTTCATAAGGAGAGGCAACCTCAATTTGAGTCGTAGAGATCGTATTTTTAAAACACACAAATAATATGACAAGACACCAACCTCAGTAATTCATCAACACTTTTTGGCTGATCATGCGATCAAATAATTATCACTGATTATTCTATATAAATCTGACATAATCGTTTGTTGTAAAGAAAATTGACGAAGTCAAACCTTTGCCTTTTTCCTCCTTGTCACAGTATTCACATTTCTCAGACACAGCACACGACAACAATCTCCACGTGGGTTTGATAAATCTTACTTTTAACCGAAACGAAACTAGTCAATATCGTTTCAATATTATTTAACAGATAAAACAATTTATAATAAAATAAACATCAAGCAAAAAATAGAGAATATCAAAATCATGTTATCAAAATATGGAGTAAAACACATGATTCACAGAGCGCTCTTCGTACTATTTGGTTTTAGTTTGTAATATATATCAATCACAATTTCATTTCCTATTTCCGGTCACTTGTCAACTTCGGGTAAATAATCATGGTAAGTTCGTTATATTGTATGTGATGGATAAATAAGGCCAATTGAAACCATGTAAATGCGTTTCGATATTTTATGACAGAATATTTTGCAAAATGACAGGTTCTCAATAGAGACAGAAGAGAGCTTTCAGTGGTGGACTGTTACCTGTTGTCAGGGGGGAGGGGCACATTTTATCATCACTATCGTGCAATCTTCATCAGTTACTTTGAATGTCACTCCTCCGTTGACATTTACTATATTAAACTGTTTATTTCAAAGCTAATACACTGAAATGTCTGTTAATGTTTTGAAATAAATCTCCCACTCTCTCACCTCACCCCCACCCCAAACCCCAAAATAATACATTGCAATCAGTAAATGCAATATACACTGTACCTATAAGTATTACAATGCATTTGTGTATTGTATACATGTGTGTAGTTTTAACAATGTTTCTCATATTGCACAAACTACAGATTCATATAAAAAATCTGTCCTGCTGCCCTGCTCCTTTTAAATGGCCACCTTAAAAAGATTCCAGGTACATGTAACTTACATATGTATAAAGTGAACACTGTATACATGTGCGAGTCTTGTTCCCAGCATGTTCCATATTTAGAAAATTTGTACTGTTCATAACATACATACCTATACTAGCAGCTTTCTGGTGAAATGCTTCTGACACTTAGGTAAGCTTCTCTCCGCACCAGCCACATCGGAAACTCTTGCTAGGTGACTGTAAAAATCATTCACTGTTGTGGAGGTTTTATTCTTGAAGGTGTTTTTAATCCACAAACTTATATGTCCACAAAATGATTAACATATAAAAATGTACATAGTTTTTAGTTCTTGTGGAGTGCCTAAGACTTATCCACTAAATAAAGTGTCGGAGTTGTTGAACCAAAGTTTCATGTATGAAATATTGTTTTGACCATTTCACACTTGTTTTATCACAACCTTTTAAAGCGATTCTGAAATTTCAGGAGAAAACAGATCTTACAAGGACATCCACATCCTCTGATGATGTGGTGTCTGATGAGACAGTTAAAGTGAGTTGTAACAACATGTATTTGTACTTAAATCTCTCTTGTCTTTTTAAGTTTGTCTATAATGATGTACAGGTCAATTTCCTATTTTCTTAGTTTGTACTCTAATTATCAAAGAGAAATGTTGAAGGCTGTTATCTTTACTTACACAAAAGCATTGCTTTGCATCACAATATATTGTGTAATTGTTCTTTACACATTACAAATAATTTCATGTAAGTATGTCATAGATATATATATCAACAGTATGGTCCAATATTAGTACTGGATTTTCCTATATATAGAATCTAGTAAGTAATATCGACGGTATGGTCCAATATTAGTACTGGATTTTCCTATATATAGAATCTAGTAAGTAATATCGACGGTATGGTCCAATATTGGTACTGGACCTTCTATATATAGAATCTAGTAAGTAATATCGACAGTATGGTCCAATATTGGTACTGGATCTTCCATATATGAATCTAGTAAGTAATATCGACGGTATGGTCCAATATTGGTACTGGGCCATCTATTTATAGAATCTAGTAAGTAATATCGACAGTATGGTCCAATATTGGTACTGGACCTTCTATATATAGAACCTAGTAAGTAATATCCGTGGTATGGTCCAATCCATGGTATGGTCCAATATTGGTACTGGATCCTAACAAACAAATGTTCATTGGATGCATATTACTGGAAACAATATATGATCAATGAAGTAATAACAACATTACGGAAAACTGAATTGTAAAGTTTTCGAGGCAACCTGCCCCTTTATCAAAACACAAATATAACATAAATGACATGACATACATAGAACATAAAACAAAATTAAGGGACAGGTTGCCTTGAAAATTTGACAATTCACTTTTCTGTACGTGGTTATGACTTCATTGGTCATATATGTATATATATATGTATAATAGGCAAATTTATCAATATCTTTATAGTGTCCTCCATGTAAAATTGATATCAAATATTTATCTATGATTTGTAAAGATAAATCTTTTTATAATATAATTTATGTATCAAGACCTATTACTACAGCTAGTCTTTGCCACCTATAATTGTATAAATATCTCTTGGACACCCATCAGTCATTGATGTCAGATCATCTATATTCTCTCTGTTGACAATTACATTATAAAACATGGAAGGAACTTGTAGTACAAATCAGTTATTTGAGATAAAAAAAAAATACACTGTAAAACTTCATTTGTTTTTTGTTTGATTCACAAGGTGATTTCTCAGGTTCCGGTTAATTTCTCAAAGGGTTCTCAAACCCTTAAAATGGTTTATACTGTGATTATATGATTTCATTCTTTCACATAAATTTTTATTTTAATTTTGATTTAGAGTTTAATAATGCACCAACAGTCTTGTTCACTGGAAATAGAGAGCAGGTGAAAGATGGTTTCTAGATAGACATTAGATATATACAATGGTATAGAAATTTTAGATGAATTTACAGGAGAGTTCTGTATGAAATCCAATTGCCATGTCAGTAGTATGTTAATATGTCAATATTTACTGTTTATCTACTTGGAGGTTTTGTCAACATTGAAGGTAACGGAGATAAATATGAAAATTTTCTTCTGTGAGCACAAATTGCAAAACAATCAGAGAGAAGTTATTGAAATAACTATGTGATATATATTATCTATAAGAAGTTAATAATATAGATTTAAGCTGCCTCATCCAGGTTATTTGTGTATATCAATTTTTATTGCTATGAACCATAAATTGTTTCATATCATTTCAATGTCTTTCAACATTACAGGGATATAGTGCAGATATGGTTGCAACAGGTTTTGTGAGTTATTTGCTATAGATTGATATCAGTATTTCTCTTGTTTTACTGAACACCTTTGATATGTTAATTTGTAGTACATCTTGATCTGTAATGAATTCTTTATTATACATGTACATGTATATATACCATGAACAGTGATTTCCTGTCTGTAGTCTGGAAAACTTTATGATCAGACCTTCTGGATGAAGTTCAGTGTTATTCATATGTATTGCCTTTTAGATATTTTGTACCATATTTGGGAAGATTTTCCCTTTGCGGTGTAATCATACTATAATTACAATACCTGCTGGCATGCATTACATTACTCTACTCCCTGTTATATAAATGATGATCCTTCAAAGAATTTTATCCACAATCTGTGACATATGATTTGTCCCTGAAATCTGACTGTAAATAATACTGATGAGAGACAGATACAATCTGTGACATTATATAATTTGTCCCTGAAATCTGACTGTAAATAAATACTGATGAGAGACAGATACAATCTGTGACATTATATAATTTGTCCCTGAAATCTGACTGTAAATAAATACTGATGAGAGACAGATACAATCTGTGACATTATATAATTTGTCCCTGAAATCTGACTGTAAATAAATACTGATGAGAGACAGATACAATCTGTGACATTATATAATTTGTCCCTGAAATCTGACTGTAAATAAATACTGATGAGAGACAGATACAATCTGTGACATTATATAATTTGTCCCTGAAATCTGACTGTAAATAAATACTGATGAGAGACAGATACAATCTGTGACATTATATAATTTGTCCCTGAAATCTGACTGTAAATAAATACTGATGAGAGACAGATACAAATTGTGACATTATATAATTTGTCCCTGAAATCTGACTGTAAATAAATACTGATGAGAGACAGATACAATTTGTGACATTATATAATTTGTCCCTGAAATCTGACTGTAAATAAATACTGATGAGACATCTCTTTACAGTAACATTAATTATAAAGACATGTGATATAAGATGTAATTACGGTAATTTTTTTCATTATACAATCACTATGATGTAAGTAATGTTGCCATATGGAAACCATGGTGATGGTTCACCATCAATATGGAAACCATGGTGACAGTTTACCATCAAAATATACAGCTTACACTCTCAATATTGTATAATTCATTGTAGTGAAATCAGCATAAGACAACCAAATATAGGGAATGTAATTAGAAATATTAAACGGTTTTTCAGGCAAATAGTCCATATCATACACATTGTATACTAGCATTTATATCAGTCATGAGTGCCATAGGAACACTGTTCATTGCTCAGTTTACTCCAGCATTTCAAAGAAAAGAAATGACTTCTTCACACTAGGGACAACCTCTTAATAAGTCTTGTTGGATTGTTCTCACACCATCTGCTGTGTTTTGCCATACAATATATTGCATGATTTTACAGATCTTTTATATCGCCATTTTGTAATCATTAAACAATAAAATACTGATTTGTTTCTCTCATATGGCCAATCTTTTTTCTGATATGTACAGGTCAATTAATTCTTTCCCAGTCTGAAAGTTTCTTGGTGGAATTAGGGAAAAATAATTCATGTGCAAGAGTGTAGGAAATCCTGTTGTGTGAATTGATGCTGCAATGTTATGTGCCATTGTCATTATTTTTTTATTTCTAAAGTAATCAATGTTACATTTGCTAGATTAAAGAATGAGTATGTGTGTGTGTGCCCTCTGTAAATACCTAGGGTGTGAATGACGTTTCAGAGAATGAGAGCCCTCCTGACGTTTTGTGATTCTACATATGTGTCTTAGTCAATAAAATGTTTTGCTAAAAAATAAATAGCTGCAATTATTTCTCTGATAGAAGACATCGGTAATTTTTTTATTCTTCTGTCCGAATCCCTCCTCGTCTTCTGGTTACTTGTAAGGTGTTTTCCTTAGAATAATTGACCAGATAGCTTGTTCTTCATCTTCTTAGTTAGAGTTCTAACAGGTGAGGAATATTACAGATCAGTCTTTTCATGGGATAAACTTTCAGTAGTGATGGGGAGGCTTGGGTTGTGGAGAGGGGAGGGTTGCCTATATAATTAACCTATATATATTGAGTGTTTGTAGCTGTCATCAGAGTATTGTAACTAGGGGAGGTACAAGTGGAAATAATTATTGAAGAAAAATCTTGTATAGCTGAGTCTGATGTATCAAACAAAGAACATACCCGGGTAGGTTATTGAATCTTACAAAACTTGTCCACAGAAGGGCGGCGCTGATGTTATTGAATCTTACAAAACTTGTCCACAGAAGGGCGGCGCTGAGGTTATTGAATCTTACAAAACTTGTCCACAGAAGGGCGGCGCTGAGGTTATTGAATCTTACAAAACTTGTCCACAGAAGGGCGGCGCTGAGGTTATTGAATCTTACAAAACTTGTCCACAGAAGGGCGGCGCTGAGGTTATTGAATCTTACAAAACTTGTCCACAGAAGGGCGGCGCTGAGGTTATTGAATCTTACAAAACTTGTCCACAGAAGGGCGGCGCTGAGGTTATTGAATCTTACAAAACTTGTCCACAGAAGGGCGGCGCTGAGGTTATTGAATCTTACAAAACTTGTCCACAGAAGGGCGGCGCTGAGGTTATTGAATCTTACAAAACTTGTCCACAGAAGGGCGGCGCTGAGGTTATTGAATCTTACAAAACTTGTCCACAGAAGGGCGGCGCTGATGTTATTGAATCTTACAAAACTTGTCCACAGAAGGGCGGCGCTGAGGTTATTGAATCTTACAAAACTTGTCCACAGAAGGGCGGCACTGAGGTTATTGAATCTTACAAAACTTGTCCACAGAAGGGCAGCGCTGAGGTTATTGAATCTTACAAAACTTGTCCACAGAAGGGCGGCACTGAGGTTATTGAATCTTACAAAACTTGTCCACAGAAGGGCGGCGCTGAGGTTATTGAATTTTACAAAACTTGTCCACAGAAGTGCAGTGCTGAGGTTATTGAATCTTACAAAACTTGTCCACAGAAGTGCAGCGCTGAGGTTATTGAATCTTACAAAACTTGTCCACAGAAGGGCGGCGCTGAGGTTATTGAATCTTACAAAACTTGTCCACAGAAGTGCAGCGCTGAGGTTATTGAATCTTACAAAACTTGTCCACAGAAGGGCGGCGCTGATGTTATTGAATCTTACAAAACTTGTCCACAGAAGGGCGGCGCTGAGGTTATTGAATCTTACAAAACTTGTCCACAGAAGGGCGGCGCTGAGGTTATTGAATCTTGCAAAACTTGTCCACAGAAGGGCGGCGCTGAGGTTATTGAATCTTACAAAACTTGTCCACAGAAGGGCGGCGCTGAGGTTATTGAATCTTACAAAACTTGTCCACAGAAGGGCGGCGCTGAGGTTATTGAATCTTACAAAACTTGTCCACAGAAGGGCGGCGCTGAGGTTATTGAATCTTACAAAACTTGTCCACAGAAGGGCGGCGCTGAGGTTATTGAATCTTACAAAACTTGTCCACAGAAGGGCGGCACTGTATGTAATATTTCATGTAAGGTATCAGATTCCAGACAAGGTGAATGCATGAACAGTAGGATTCTGGCTGTTGTAGCTAGCTTCTTTCTCTTTGTAAGGTAGAATTGTATTTGTAATATCCCATGTGAAGAAAGCAGTGAAACCAATATCATTCTATATGTATTTTTATCTTAACTTCAATATGTAAAATTAAAATACATTTAAAATTTATTTACGTGCACGGTTTTTGTTTTACAGGCTGCTTCCATTAACTTTTCCACTATACCAGAAGAAGTCAAAAAGCAAATCAAATTACTTCGATTCAGGCAAGAAAAAACCATCGCTGCTATTATATGTAAGTTATAAACGTGGAATGTTTTTGTGATCAAATTCTTTAGTATTTTTTAACTGTGAAATAGATTTTTAGGAAAATAGGAATGCTATAATAGTATTGCTTTATTATTACAGAAATGTATTTTTTAAGAAGACTAATTGCACAAGATTTAACTTTTAGCTCACATGGTCAGAAGGACCATTAAGCTTACCCAGTATGCCATGGTACTGCATCTGTCTTCTATTCACTGTGTGGGTTTTGACAGAAGCATCTTTAGTTGTAGGGGAATTAATTTTATGTACCTGTAAATGGTTGGTCAGCTACATAGGAGCCTGATGGGTGGGACACAATGGGTGGAATTAATTTTATGTACCTGTAAATGGTTGGTCAGCTACATAGGAGCCTGATGGATGGGACACAATGGGTGGAATTAATTTTATGTACCTGTAAATGGTTGGTCAGCTACATAGGAGCCTGATGTTTGGGACACAATTGGGTGGAATTAAGTGAAATCTGTAAACACCTTTTTCTCCTATTTGGCAGGGTTTTGTCTTTTTGTTTTATTTTATGTGTAGAAAAGTATATTATATGTATATTGTAGATGTGACATATACATTATATGTGTTGAACAGTATATTATATATATATTCAGGGCTCTAACACCCCATTTTGGGACTGGGGCCCGGGGCCCTTAGAATTGGGAAAAATAATGGTGTTTTCCTTATAATTGGGAAAACTTGGAGTCTAAATTGGACAAAAAGGATACTATTTTGCATTGGGAATTGGGCCGAATATCGGCCCCAAATCTGGCAGATCAAGAGGCCTGATATTGTAGATGTGACATATACATTATATGTGTAAAACAGTATATGATATGTATAGTGTAAATGTGACATATACATTATATGTGTAAAACAGTATATGATATGTATAGTGTAAATGTGACATATACATTATATGTGTAAAACAGTATATTATATGTATAGTGTAAATGTGACATATATATTATATATGTATAGCGTAAATGTGACATATATATTATATGTGTAAAACTGTATATTATATGTGACACATGTATGTAAAATTAATTTAATCTATGTCTAATGATGTTTTTTTGTTAATAATTGTAGTGAAGATAAACAAGGATGCTGATCAAGTAGAAATAGAGACAGAATTGGAGGTAAAACTTTAAACTTTAAAAAGATATCAATAACTATACACATGATAACTGGGTACTGAGATACTTCTGGGATTTCTTGTTACATAAGCAGTGACAAAAATGTAAAATCCTACCATCTATTGATCAGATTTATTTGTGAGAAGCCTGGTGTTCTGAACTTGCTACATTTATTATCATGATGATAGAAATTTGGAACCTATTTAACTTTTTGAAGAGTGTTTATCCAGCATCAATTTAATCTGTATCTACTATATTAGAAGAATTATCAAAGAATCTTGTTTCATTATCTGTGACTTCATCACTTTTAGCCAAACATTATGTATTGCACTGCTGGAATACCCCCTGCTCCACTCCCTCTGGGCTTACAATTGCATTTCCTGTAATAACAGTAATTGTTGTGACAAAGCAATGAAGTCATGACAAGCTCCTAAATTGATGATTAATTCTGTTATTTATAAATGATCACATAATTGTTATAACTAATATGTTACCTGTGTTTGAATCTGTTCTAGGACTGCACTATTGAGGATATACAAGAAAGTCTTCCTGATCACCTCCCACGCTACATCATCATCAGTTATAGATACCATCATAGTGACAACCGCATCTCATTTCCATTCTTCTTTGTTTACTTTGCTCCTAGAGGTAATTATAAAGCTCCTAATACATGCTAGAAGACTATATAGCATGGTCTTGTAAGTATCCTATTTACAAAATAAGTTGACATTCTTAATTGAAACAGACTATAACTTCAAAGAATTCCCAATATAAACACCTTCCTTTCAAATTGACTGAGTTGGTGTTCAGGGAATGAGCCATAGAAGATCTGTGTAATGTATCATGAAGTTATGAAAAATATATATATATATAATGGGTAGAGGTTTATTCACTATGTTACATTTTGTTGGTCATCAGTCTAGTTTAAAGGTCAAGGTCACTCTTGACAACTTTTGAAATGCTGTAAATCGTTTTTATTTCGTGTGGGTTTTTTATTTTTTGCACATTAATATAGAAGGAGAGACAATTATGAATTCAAATCCCTCGTAATTATTTGTATGAAAATAACTGTTGATGATATCCATGCTGATTCAGTTACCAATAGATGTCTATCCCATTATTTGTGAATCTAAAGTCATTTCTAGATCATTGGTCCCAAAATCATGTATTCATGGATATGTCTGAAGAGGTAAGTTCATGAAATGAAGTATAGACAAAATCTGCTTTATAGTAAAAAGCCCAAAAAGTCCAAATTATGTAATTTTATGTAAATTATGCATGATGCATTTAATGCATTTGTGTAAAAGTTGTTTTAAAACATGAATCTACTTCATTTGTGATAACATTGAGTATTTTGGTTGTAGGAGGTAACACAGCACTACAGGTGAGGTATGCAGGTACTACGACCAAACTACAACAAGAACTAGGAATGACTAAGGTTGGTTTATATTAAAGACTGATTTTATTACAGTAGCTCACTGGGTCTGTTGTCAATCATCTGCCAACAAGTTCTTTAAAACAGTAGCTCACCTAATATAAGATATTATGAAATATACAATATTAAATTCCAACACTCAAAAATCTGTGAAGCCTATATTTGGTCGCTTATAATAAGAATTGATAATGAATGGGCTAACACATTTTCAATGGGGTTGTTTCAGTTCCTAAAGATTGAAGAAACTGAGGGATTGACATCAGAGGTGTTAGATGCCAAAGTGGAGTTTTACCGGTAGTGCAGGGGTTACCTCCCCTAGAAGATTCACATCAAATATTTCTGTCACACCTTTGTGTGTGTATATGGTAAAAAGAAGCCAGCCTGCCTTTATATGGTCTAAATGATTGAACTGGTACAATGGTATTGCCACGGATTAAAGTTGACAAAAAATTTATACTTGTGGAACTATGATTGACTTTTATTTATATAATTGCTTTAGATTAAATATAATCCCACCAAAGACACTTAACCAAAATATTTATTCTTAAATTCCAGGCCATTGTCTTAGGTTTCAAATTTTAAGATTTGACTTGAAACTGCTGTCAAGTTTTGATAGTTTGAACAGACAAAATTAGTGATGAGCATTTTTTTTTTTTTGGTGGGGTTGGGGGGTTGGGGGGGGGGCTTATATTTTGATAAAATCAAAATAGTATATACTTGTCTGAAATACATCATAGAAATGGTTTCAGTTCCATCAAACAATATATATATATATATATTTAATATATATAATTGATATGTGTAGATTGTTATCAATACAAAAATTAGGTATATACAATAAAACTTTGTTAATAGGAAGCATTTGGCTAGCAGATACTTTGTTTTGATGGTCTTAATGTTTTTAGACAGTTAATAAAAACTTAAAGGAAATTATTCATGTTGTTTAAGAATAAATAAAAACTCAAAGGAAATTATTCATGTTGTTTAAGAATAAATAAAAACTCAAAGGAAATTATTCATGTTGTTTAAGAATAAATAACAACTCAAAGGAAATTATTCATGTTGTTTAAGATTAAATGTACATTGAAATCTCTCTCTTATGATATTCTGTCATCTCTTAAATAAAATCCGTGACCTGCATATGAATCTATTACCGAATGATGATAATTCCAGCAAAAAAAATATCTTGTGATCCTACCTGTGACTTTGAGTAAGAGCATGTAAGTTGTTCCCCAGCCCTTAATTACTTATTACTTTTCATTAAGCTTTTCAAGTTTGGCTTGGAAGTCTCTCTGAGCCGTGGGAACGTTATTGCTTATAAGAGATAGAAAAGAAAACTTTCAGAGATATACATAGATTCTGATAAATTGAGTTAAGTGCACCCATATACAGTAATGTATGTTGCTCGAATTCATTGTGGAGAATTTTCTGTGACCCTTTGTAATGTTTGGTTACATAGCTTAAGCATGAAAGGATTAAAAACATGTTTGTAAGTACTTTTTACACCAACATTCCTGGGATTAAGTTACGTCCCATTCTTTGTTGTCTCAGGTTCTGAAACTTTGGGATCAATGTGTATTAAGTTTATGTTACATTGTTTTGTTGCTTGTAAAAAAATATGACCATCATTTTGAAATAATGACACCTACCCAAAGAGATGTTGATGATATATTGAGCACTTCAACAGAAATCCTGATTTCTGCTGAAACATATATTTGTTTTAGAATATCAATGGCACACTAGAGATTTTGGAAAAGTGTGGTCCTTAAAACATTTTTCTATACATTGAATGAAAATGCTGGACAAGAAAGAACAATTTCCAGTTAACAAGGGGAGATGAATTTCCTATACTAAAAATGAACTATAGTGAGCACATATACTGCTTCCGACATATTTGATCATCTTTCACTAGATGAGATAAAAAAATGTTATTGTCTTTGCATTAAAATCTGTTATAATCTTAATAATTCTTTGAATAGTTTTTATTTCCTGTTATTTTTCTATTGTATTTCTTTTTTTTTTTTAATTAAAACAATTTTATGTTTGAGTGTCCGCATTATTTGTAAATTTCGTTAAAAATGCTCAATTTCATCATTTTTTTTTTACCATTTTTTGGAATGTTTAACATGGTTTTGAGAAACAGTATGTATAATGATATTATCATTTGATATAGAAATATGCAAATGTACATACATATGTACTTGATATTTGCAAAACATATCATTTCTGAATTTCTGAAAATTTTTAATTTCTTGTTACAAGACATTGAATTCAACCCATACTTTAGAAATTTACCCTGTTTCCAAATTGTGGGAATGTCAGACTCAACCTAGATGTAATTTAAGGAATTGATATGGTTACATAAAATACAGCAGGACAGATGTGTCTATCAGTCACTCATGTGAGGTAGACCTATTGACATTTTGATCTCCCAGAGTTACTTCCCTTCGTTTCACTCTGTCAGATGGTATAGCTATATATAAATTTGACAGTCGATGGGGGTGTTGAATAACCCAGTGTGTATAACATGGTTTGTTTGGACCAAGGATGACCAGGTGACAAATAAACCATATTTATGTAGTTAAGTTGATCAGATAAATGCAGCTTACTGTTGCTTTATGTGCAAGGATTTTACTTATTTTTATGTAAATATATAGAATGTGTTAACATAAATACAATGATATACACTGTATTTTACAATATATATACACAACTATACATACATGTGTATACATTATTTAAAGGATGTCTGAACAAAAGTAACAATTTTTTACTGTTAAATCTACTTTTAACTTCTGCATTATACATACAGGAGACATAGCTATGGATGATGCAGAAGTCGATTATCTTGGTGACTGTGTGACATTTAGGGTTAAGTAGAGAATAAAATGTATGAAGCATTGAATTTTTGGACTCAAACATTGGAGTCCTGCACATTGTTCCTATGGGGCTCACTCAAATCTAAGAACCAGTTATATCTTTTAGTCTTGGGACTCATCAAATTTTGGTGTTCTGGACTTGCTTGAAAAAATCCTACAAAAACTGCTGATGAAGGGGATGTATCACCATCCAAGTGTCTTCCAGCATTAACTCCCTTCAAGTGTGTCTTCAAAACTATAGCAACTTGTCACAATTATTAAAACAATTAAAAACAGCAGACTTTGTGAGTTTTACTATAAATGCAACATGATGATTTTAGAAAAAGTGCAATTTTGAAGTGCTAGCAGTTTGCAAACTTAATGTAAATTGAAGGAACATATATATATATTCATACCTCTGATTAATGTTTTGTATATCGGTCTAGAATCTTGAATTCTTTTTCCTCTTTTCAATGTAAATAGTAACTAGGACTTAAACCTGTTATAGCAACATTTACCAAAATTAAAGATAATTTTTAAGATCAATTAGACTGCTTAATTATGTCTTTTACAGATCTCAATTACTGATAGATACTGATAACATTCTCTGGTTAGAATGTGGCATACACAGGGGCTTATCATTCTAGACAAAAACACAGGACCTTGCTTATCCAGATCACATGCAAATTAAGTTTGATATTACACTGGGACCTGTTATTATTACATTTAAATGTATTTTTACAACAGGGTTGACTATATACATATGTCACAGTTATTCTGCTTTTGAAATCATGTACTGGTACTTGTATGCTTATATGAATAAATCGTTTTTGAAACCATTTGTTTTGAATTAGGAATTATTTTCCTTAGTAGTCTCCATACACATAAGGTATGAAGTTATTAAAACCTGAAAAACTTTTTCATTTCAGTGAAATCTGCCTATTAATGGTAATGATTAATTATGGACACAGGTGCTTGTATCTGACGTCGCCCTAAACTTTGTTCAGATGTTTGAATAAGATCTTAATTGAAGTTTTTTTTTTCACAAAACATGAGTGTTGCATAATTCTGCCACACGTGCCCTTCCAATATGTACCTACACACACACATTGCTGATTCTGCACATAAGATGGTTGATCTGACTCAAATCGTAATTACAAGTCTCTCCTTTTTTATAAATAAAGATTGATTTAGAGGTTAATTCCTTCCCAATATATACCTCAAAGCTTTACCTTAGCACAGTGTCAGGTTCACGTGGGTCACACAAACCTGCAATGTACTTTATATCTATCAGCTCAAAGCTTTACCTTAGCACAGTGTCAGGTTCACGTGGGTCACACAAACCTGCAATGTACTTTATATCTATCAGCTCAAAGCTTTACCTCAGCACAGTGTCAGGTCCACGTGGGTCACACAAACCTGCAATGTACTTTATATCTATCAGCTCAAAGCTTTACCTCAGCACAGTGTCAGGTCCACTTGGGTCACACAAACCTGCAATGTACTTTATATCTATCAGCTCAAAGCTTTACCTCAGCACAGTGTAAGGTCACACAAACCTGCAATGTACTTTATATCTATCAGCTCAAAGCTTTACCTTAGCACAGTGTCAGGTTCACGTGGGTCACACAAACCTGCAATGTACTTTATATCTATCAGCTCAAAGCTTTACCTCAGCACAGTGTCAGGTCCACGTGGGTCACACAAACCTGCAATGTACTTTATATCTATCAGCTCAAAGCTTTACCTCAGCACAGTGTAAGGTCACACAAACCTGCAATGTACTTTATATCTATCAGATCAAAAACCTCGATAATATTTCGTAAACTGGTGAGAAATACCTTGCCATATAAATCATTATTATAATGAGATTTGAATCACATGAGATGCGCCTCTATTTGTCATATATATATATATGTACAACATATGGTAAACCCAAATGTGTGGAATGTTATATATTGGCGTGATAAAAGTCCTGTGAAACAAACCTTATGGTATCGATATTTTTGTCAAAGTTACATTCCTCTTAATTGCGCTGATTTTTTGTTTTTTGATTTTTCGGGGTTTTTTTAACTTTTTTTTTAACGTGAATGAAATATGTATAGCATGACTTATAAGTATTCAATCACCCTCTGGTTCACACAACTGACATTACTCTGTTGTTTGTTTTTGTTTTCCCCAAGTAACATTTCGGGCAACAAAAACAACTTACATATTCACTCGTAAAACAGCAGGGATAGAAATCTAGAAATGTTTCTGTTTAAGAATTGAATGTTACTTTTCGGTACATGCTGGGATGAAAGTCTTCTGACATAAACTTAGATCGAACCGAGCTGGTATTTCTCCGTCAATTTTAACTGATTAAAAATATATATAAACACAAAAAGTTACATGTTCCTTCAAACGAACAAAACGGTGTATAATTGTGGATAATGGCGCCTTGGTAACGCACTCGCCGTTCACTTAGCCGTGATGAGTTCTCTTCCGACATGACAAGATATGTGGTCACCTGTCTGACCACGTGGGTGTTCCCCGGGTATTCCGGTTTTCTCCCGCAGTAAAACCCCTCACACGTTTCCACCAGGCCATACAAAGGTAGTTAATAAAAATTGGAAAAACTTGTTTCGCAATTGTTTTAAATTTAATCAAGTTTTATTTTTTTTTAATATACAACCACAGATATTTCTCCAGAGAAACCAACGTGAAGTATTTCAAAGTTTGAAAACATTGAGTTTTTAACTCTAACTTTTAATCCAACGTGTGGGTTGCAGATTATTAGTAAAAGAGTGGGTAATTCGT